ATCTATTCTTTAAATAATAAGAATAAGATATAATATCTATACTAAATTCTTCTATTAGTAAAGCTTTTATTTTATAATAATTAGAAGATTTTCTCTTAGCTATAATAATTAATAGATAGAGTTTATATAAAAAGAAAAAAAAAGGAACTTATCTAGACTATAGAATATAGTTTTAAGGATAAAACTAATAAAGAGGGAGTATTATATTATACCCTAGTTATAGGCTAGCCCTAGGCTAAGTTAGATATAGATTATATAATATACTTAGATACTAAGATAAAGTAATTAGTACTAAGTAAGAGATACTTAGTTCTGAGTATTTAAAGAAATTACTAAGTACTCTATTATATATATATATAATTATTCCTAGATAGATTACTAGCTTAATAGCTATTAATAAATAAATATTAGTTTATATATACTATTATAAGTTAATCTATTATCTAATTTATTAATTAACTTCTAAGTAATAAAACTATTATCCCTCTCTCCCTAGAATAACTATTACTAAATAAAGATATTTAATCACTCTTAAACTACCCTATAGCCCTCGAGCATACTATTTATCATATATATATATAGTTTATCTATCAGTTCGCTATATCTATACCTACAGTTATATAGGTAGTTATAGTAAAACTCTTCTGTCTAGCTCTTAAGTATAATCTTAAATATACTTATATACTCAGATTAATAAATCCTGATTTTTTAATAATAGTTAGTAAAGATAAGTAACTTTATATCTAATATATCTAATATATTACTACTATACTTTGTTTTATCAGTATATAGCTTCTATAAGTTAGTTAACTTCTTTATATTAATAATAATTAACTACAGATCAGAATTACTTTAATAGATAGTTTATTATATATATTAAAGCAGATCTAGAAGAGGATCTAAAAGTAGGTCTAGGGTTATATTTAGATCTATTAACAGGTTACTATATATATTAAATATAATATCAGGGTTATATAATTATCTTCTTATATATTATTAGTCTAATAGTCTATTTAAATAACCCTAGTTACTATTAGCTTAACTCCTATATTAATCTTAACTACTTCCTAGCGGAATAAGGTTATATAGATTACCCCGGATAATAGTTAATATTAGATAATTAATTATATTATTTATCTAATAATTATACTAGCTCTATATATTAGCTATTAGATCTTTAAGTAACTAATTTTAAGTAATCTTATTATAGAAGTCTTTATTATCTATAAGTAACTTTTAGAACTCTATATACTTATTACTAATATTAACTATCTCTATCTTAGTCTAAAGGTAAAAGGGTTTAAATAATACTTATTTAATATTAGCTCTAATCTGATTACTATTTTACTAAATAAAAATACTATTAATTAGAAGAAAATATTTAACTATTTCTATTAGTTTTCTATAATTAATAAGTTATATAGTATTCTATTACTCGAATTTATTAGATATAACTTTATAAAGAATCCAGCTGTAGTAACCTATCTGATCCTATAGTATTATTATATATACTATATATAATACTTACTGTATATTAGTTACTATAGCTAGGTTAAAGCTAGCTAGATTCCCCTAAGATAGTATATTAATATACTATCTTATAATAGGAGGGATTGGAAAATCACTATCTAGTAGATTTAGATCTGCTATATTATTATTATCCCTATTATTTAATATATTAATTTTTCTGCTTATTAATAAATAAGTTATTATAATAATGTATTAATATATTAATATATTAATAGAAAAGTAATAATATCTTTAACTTTATATTCTAATAGATAAGGGAAGGAGTAATTAGTTAGTTATAACTAGTACTAAGTAAAAGATAGAAGAAAGTAGGTAAGAATAGTCTAATAAGTAATTTAATAATATATTAATTTATTAAGATATTAATTTAGTAGGAGCTAGCTAAATTAAAATAAATAAATAAATAAAGCTATAAAGGTAAGAGATAATTAGATCTGAGGAGTATAATAACTAGATTATTAAATATATAATAGATTACTATAATAGATATATAGGCTTATAGGATATATTTCTAATATATAGAAATATAATAGAAGGGTAAGGAATTTATTAGATAGATAAATAAAGAATAGATTAGCAGAATAAAGAAAAAGTTAGTAATAAGATATCTGGATCCTCTTATAGACAGTCTTAATAATTCTCCTAGCTAGATAGAAAATTAACTATATATAGAAAAATAAATATATTAAATCTGATCTATTAGTTTTTTCAGTCTTCCAGATTAATTAGTATAGTTTAATAAGCAGCTGTACAGTAAAGTAAAAAGCAGTAAATTAAATAAATATATAATAATTAATAAAAAAGCTAGCTATTAGAAGGTTCTAACTAAAGGTTGGATAAGTATATAATTAACTGGACCTACCGGTCAATTGATAAGGCCGGCTATCGATAAGCCGATATCCGATAAAGCTATCAACAGAAGAGTGTAGGCTGAGGTCGCCATCGAGGGTTATGCCCTTAAGGAGGGGGCATCGATAAGAACATCGCAGCGATCATACTTTCGCCAATCAAGCAATCAAAAGTAGTAAAGATATCCAGGATTCCTTACTCGCTATAATAAGGGTTTAGATGCCAAGAGGGGGGACTTAAGGGGAATATCTTAACGAAGATACTGCACCTAGATATGTATACAATAGGTTGGCTAGATTCTTATAATTGATCTATCTATGGGTGAGACTCTTGCCCTTCCCAAGCCATCCACATGATTTGACCCCTGAACCCTTCTGCATGCCAATAAAGTTTTTTCGTACTAATAAGAATGGCCGTATAGGCGAAAGCGAAAGCGATCAAGGTGCTGACCACCGTGGTCACGTCGAAACAAATTGGAGCGCCAGTCAACGTCACCTTCTGTGAGGCTGAGCAGGGCAGTGAGACGCTAAATTCAGGGGGCCGATTAGACTTATGTTGACAGGTCCCTCGCCGTCTTTATGCTAAAAGCTCGTTCTCGTTTATGGATGAATGCCACATCACATTCTAATCCAAGTACGCAATGCCCATCAAGCGCACCCACCGCAAATCACGGTACGGGTGTGACCAGTGCCGAAAGAGGCGCGTAAAATGCGATGAGAAAGCGCCCCGATGCACGAATTGCGTCAGGCGAGAGGAAGACTGTGTCTTCTCCCGCAAGCCGTTGCAAAGCCTTGAAGATATAGCGCAAATCTCGCCTGATGGGGTACAACTAGAGGCATCCAACTTATCATCAGCTGAATTCCCGAGTCTGGAAGAGACAAACGCCGTGCCGTCTGAGGTGGCACTCATGCATCACTGGTGCACACGAACCTGTCACAGTTTCACCCCAAGAGGGGCGGATCTTTTTCGGGAATATGTTGGCCAAGAGGCACTGAGACACGAGTATCTCATGGAATCCCTGCTGGCATTGACGTTACTTCACATGGCAATTGAGATGGAAAACCCGGCGGCCGCCCAACCGCTGGTGAGCGCCGCACTGCGACACCAGAACCGAAGTCTTTTAGGCTTGGGCGAGGCTCTCCGAACTATCTCTCCATCTAATTGTGACTCTATCTTCGCATGTGGTCTTCTGATCATGCCCAGTGCGGTGGTTTCTTCTCTTCTGCCCACCAGTCAATTGGACCAACCGAAGCCTGCAGCAGAATCAATTTTACTGCTTGTTGGATACATGAATGGCATCTCGCATATTGTCCAGACCAGTCGCAAATGGATCCTGGACGGTCCATTGTCGCTAATGTTCTGCATTGTTGAGCCAACGCCATCCTTAATTCATGATGAATGGACGCATGCCAGAGAGCTTCGTTCGCTATTGGACGCCACCGCTGATCCGGGGAGCCGTAAACATTCAATATTAGAAGAAGCAATAAACGGACTGAAGCAGGTTCACAGGAGACATCACTGCGCAGTCATGTGGATCGTTCGAGTCTCTTCAGGGTTCTTAGACGAGGTACGAAATGGCGACCCATTAGGCTTGGCCGTCCTCATGCACTGGGGTGTGTTATTATACACTATGGACGATATGTGGTGGAAAAGGTATTCGGGGGTGAGACTTGTTGAAGAGGTCTCTAATGCGCTGGATGACCGTGGGAAAGAATGGGAAGCAATGACGAGGAGGTGCCGGGAGCAAGTTTCATTGTGAGGCGCGTTAAAGTTCATACAGTATACCGTATATATCGTTATATCCAAATTAATATAATCAAAGGGCTTACATTGATACTTCGGCAAACTCTCCCACGTCAAGTTGCTCCATGAGATACGGGCAAAGACGGGAACAAGCCTCTTCGAATTCCGGACATCTTGCCAGTATCAAGACAGACTTGGCAGCAGCCTGCGGGTATTGATCAGCACAGCTGTTTGCAGAAGGAGAGATTTCTCAGAAGTGCGTATATTCAATGCAGGTTTTCATCCTCTAAGGACGTATCATTGCATCAGTGTCATCCTGCCAAGGTTGGGTCCCATCAATCTCGCTTAGTCTCGTTCCGCTCATCTGGGTCCAGCTTCGTTCCCGTCTAAGCCACGCTGCATGCTCACCTGTAGAGTATCAGAGGACGTGATAGAAAGGCAAGATCCAATAAAAATGCCATTCGGTTGAGATATATAAATAGTCCAGGTCTTGAACTGCTATTTCATACCGAACAAGTTCATTCCTCTTTCTAACATTTATATGTTACTCACTCCATCGGCTCACTCACAACATCTCACCAATTCCTGAACCGTTGATAGATCTATTCATTATAGCTTACACAGAATGAAGACTATCATTCCCGCCATTATCTTGCTCTACGCCGCTCTGTTCATACAGGCATAGCCGGGAGTGGAGCGCACTCTGGGAGAGCTTCATTCAATCCAAAAAAGGTACCCTTCCACCCCGGAACTGCTAGCGGACCTCATATACCTCAGGGACTACGAGCTTACTCCAACGGGAAGGCTCGTCAAAGACGTGCTAATACTTGAGAATGCCACGGCGCCCTGTGGTCCAAGATACCGTCACCGTATACAAGGCGCCGAGACCGCTTGGGAGCCGCGAGTGTCGCAAGGAAACTTGCTGCGTATGGAAATACGTCGCAGAGGAGGTGGCCAAAGATTTCAGGGGATCCTCAGGCCGCTGCAACATGTTAGCTCGCCAGGCAATCCGCCTCGGATTCCATGATGCCGGCACCTAGTCAAAGACAAAGGCGGCGGAGGGGCTGATGGCTCGTTTCTCTTCGCCGGCGAGATCGCGCGCAGCGAGAACCGGGGGCTCGAAGAAATCAACAATAAAGTCTGGGAATACTACCACATGTTTCACAAATACGGAGCTGGCATGGCAGTTCTCATCCAGGTGGGAGCCAACGTGGCTGCTGTGGTTTGCCCCCAAGGTTCGCGGATTCGTACATTTGTTGGTCGCAACGATAGCCATACTCCATCTCCAGAGGGTAGGTTGCCACTTGCCACGGGGGATGCGATTCCCCTGATCGAAACTTTTTGAAGATAAGACTATTGACCGGGGCGACCTGATTACCCTTCTCGGAGTGCATACATTGGGTCAACAACGATTCGAGGACAATGCTAGGGCAGGTGATCCTCACTCGACAACACCGGGCGTGTGGAGCACAAACTTCTACAGAGAGACTGTGAAGACTGATTCGGCACAGAGAGAGGATATTCAAGTTTCACAGTAACGTGTCTATTGCCAATTATGAAGAATCGATCCCCCTATGAAGTCTGTTCTCCGACCCCGAGAACCGACATAGTGTCTGGAGTGATGTGAGTTACTTTGATATTCTTGTATAGAATCCTTGCTACATGGCACAGGATGGTCTCTAATGCATAAGCTTACAATGGTTCATTAGGGAATGCTGCTACATATACTCGTCTCAGCATCCTAAGTGTCCCGCATATCAACAACTTGATCGAGTGCACCGGGGTCTTGCCATCACGCACCGAGAAATATACCTCCCCAGATCAAAAGGAGGTGAACAAGTGGATCGAATGTGACCGTGCACCTATGCGAGAGGAGGCGATTCTGCTGATGAATGGCGGGTCTCTGAAGCAAATGAAGTAAACCGTATGCTTCGAAGGTTGAGCGGCCCCAGGTATTTATGTTCTTATGATAATGGGATCTTAGCCAAGCCATGGTATCTAAATCATTCTCAGGGGGTAATTCCATAGACTAGGTATCAAATTGGTTAATCCCGTGTTGAAGTAGAATGAGTATTCATCTATTCAATAAATACATTCCTGAAACTTCCTCCCCCAACTTTCCCAATTAATCCCGCCATGCCCCATGGATGATTATCGTTGCTCACAGTGAACGTCAGGTTAGAGTCAGAATCTTCCGAGCTCAGTGCTGCCGTCAATTGTGAGCCCTGGACAGCAAGAGACATGGAGTACCATACGTCCGGTTCAATTCCTCCGGAGAAGGCCATTGAGACCAAGGTGACGGCGTTGTCTGTGTTCTTGTATAGAGTCAAATTCCCGGTAGAGCTTTCGATGGCCAATGTGTAACCGTAAAACTGGTCAAGACCGGGCTTTGGCTGAGATACTCGTGCAACTATGCCTACAGTCCCGTTGCTGCCAATAATCTGTGCATCAGCACTGATTGTGTAGTCTGCCCAACCAGTTGATCCTGTGATCGCTAAAGCAGAAATAGAATCCCCAACTGTGCCAAAGCTGTATTGATCACCTGAAACAGACCAGACCACCTTTCCAGCCGCCCCGGTGTTGATCCAGCCGAGTTGACCATTGGCTGCGAAATCAGCTACATATGGCAAAACACCAATAGGTGCCTCTCCAGTACGCACAGCACAGTATCCAGAAGAACCTTGGCTGGTTGGGGACGTATAACGGATGGTTCCGTTCGAACGAAGAAGCATGTGAGGGCTGTAGTTGGAGTTGCACGCCGACGAAGCATAGCTGACCGCCCAGGGAGAGGGAGCCCAAGACCAGTTACCAACACCATAGTTTTTGTTGATGTATATACTACGTTGAGCTTCGGCTGTTTTTGTGTTAGTAGTTGTGTCCCATGTATTATGCCCAGCAAGAAGCAACTGCTTCGTGGACGGGTCCCAGAGTGTGTAAGGACTGGATCCAAGATAGCGCCCGTCCTCAGATACCACAGCAGTGCCTAGATCATTCTTATCCCACGTAATGCCATCGGGTGACGTTTTCACGTAGACGGGACAGTTTAATGGATCCCGTCCACAAATCTCGTAGGCCATCAAATACTCGCCATTATCCATCAGCGTAACAGTTGGCATTCCGGGGCGATCTGTCTGAACGTCGCTCGCTACTGTAGGGATAACGTCTCCCCAGGTATCTCCGCCATCAATTGATACGACTTGAACAAGCATCTGGCTGTGGGTTGTGGCGTTTCTCTCGTCTGAGAATGCAGCCACGAGTGACCCATCTCCATCCAGGTAAAGGAAAGGTTCCCAGATCCCGGCTTTCGTCGTGCCGCCTTCTTGCCAAGCCCCCACGGGATTCCAAGTGCGTCCATGGTCGCTGGATCTCCAGGTGAAGAACTCTGTGAATGATTTGTTGGTAGGCACAAGGTTGCCGACTAGGAGCAGTGTGCCTTCCGGATAGTCACCAATCTGGCGAGGGAACTCGAAGAAGAATGGTTGCCAAAAGCGGGCACAGGGATGGCCAGGCCCTTTTTGCGTGTCGAAGATGGTTGTCAAAGTGTTCCAGGTCTCGCCGCCATCTTCACTCTCGCGAATGATGAAGCTACCCTCAGTGCCGTTTGGGTACGCAGCATTCCCGGTGGTATTGGCATACCAATGCTCCCAAGTGGCTAGTATTTTGCCATTGCTAGATCCAGCGTGCTGAAGTTCTATAAGCCTAGCATACACATTTGCTTCGTTTTCGTAGGGAGGGTCCCAGACGAAGGAGCCTTGGCCGTCTGCCGCTACCGGCGAGATGACAGTTGCAACCAATGCAATGAACGTCACAAGGCTCCATAGATGAACCATGATGTTTCATCAACTGTACAGCTTTGAGACTTTGTTGGCTGACGGTGTTGGGTCGCCCTAGAAGATCGATCTCTCACCGGGAACGGCTTCGTGACGCAAACTTGAGGTTCTGTGTAATGAGCCTGTTCCGAGGCGCCGTGGTTATGGAATCAATGACGAATAGGCAAGGCAACTAAAGACCGAAAAGGCGACATGAGAGCGATTTGGATACTCCAGTTATAGTTACCTATATAAGCGTGCTGATAATTTTGTTGACTGTAGACGGGGTGGTATAATCGCACTGCATATTGTCGGATCTCGCTTACAATAAGCGAGCCTAGCAGAAATACGACGTAATTCATCACGAGGACGAGTAAAAATGTCACCTGAAGCATAAATATACCTACGTGTGCTGGGGCCTGATGCTTGGCGAATCGCCGACCGACAGATTTCGGAGACTTATCTTGCGTGATTCCGCCCAAGACCTCGATGGTGACGGAGAGAGAGAATGATGGGTCGAACTTGAGGAGATTCGTGGGGGTTATCTCTCGATTAAGGGCTTCATCTAGATAACTAACCCCGACATTAATTGTATTTCCCGTGATTGTGTTGAGGTAATGTCGCAAAGAAACGAGGTTCAGATAGACTGCTTCATGCTATCACCTTGAGAGAGCACCTCCGGGCTTGGACAGATACAGAACGAAGTGACGGAGGCATCTTCGTCTTTTGAATGGAGAATAAATAGAAAGCTTTGTGCTTAAATATCAGTATCTCACGCTCCAACCTACGAGTATCATCATAATAGTCACGGAGAATACGCGATTAATTATTGTCCTGACAAGTATCACGGAAATTTATTGTCCTCACAACCGTCATGGAAAATATTGGTTTAATTATTGTCCTCATAACCATCACGGAAAATATGGGATTAATTATCGTCTACATGGGCCAACTTGCTGTGCATCAAAGTCCCTTTAGCCAATAAAAGAGGCTCAAAATGGCATCTTTTCCCCGGAATAGCTTCGTTGATAACTCTGGCAATAATTGTCGGATCCTAAAATGTGCTAGAGCAGTCTTAACATACGTACAAACACAACTGGGGGCTTTCCTACTCCAGGGATGCTTTTCTTCGTTTCCACTGCAGGATCGTCCTGGAGAAGGTGGCTGAGCTTTAGGTAACCAAAGCTACGAGGATCGAAGTCAGGATGCCGCTTATTGATCAAACCTCCAACTTGAGCGAGCGAGGCCCAGCCTTCGTCATCAGATTCAGCTTCTATGGCCTTATATATGAAGCTTCTTTCTGAGTCCAGATCCTCCGGGTCCTTCTTCGAGATCGCGTTGTGAGGGCGCTTGCGGGATATGAGGTCTTGGGTTGTGAGGTCTCGGCTCATGAGATCTCGACTAATGAGATCTCCAGGGGCAGCGCTAGGTGGAAGGGCCGGGGCAGTTCTAAGATCCGCGGAGAGGTTTTCGGTATAGATAAACTTGTCACAAGCGGTGACTAGAGGCTTGGGTGTCTTACGCTCCCCAAAGCCGTAGACGACCAGACCAGACTCACGGATTCGCGAGGCCAGGCGAGTGAAGTCACTGTCGCTCGAGACGATACAAAAGCCGTCAAATCTGTTGGTATACAGGAGGTCCATGGCGTCAATGACCATGGCGGCGTCGGTGGAGTTCTTGCCCTGCGTATAGCCAAACTGCTGGATAGGCTGGATCGAGTTGGAGAGAAGTTGCTCCTTCCAGCCGTTCAAGTTGCTGGTGGTCCAATCACCATAAGCCCGTTTCACAAAGGCAGTGCCGTACTTGGCGATCTCGGCAAGCACCAGACTCGCTATCTTGGGCTGCGCATTGTCTGCATCGATCAGCACAGCCAGTTTGGCCGTTGCAGTGGCCTCAGCATCCATGACGACGGATGCGGCTGCTGTGGCCAGTTTACGCCGATGCGGCGAAGGACGTGAATGGTAGATAGATGTGAATACTGCTGGATCTAAAAACGGTCTTTCTCCATCCGTTGTCTGAGACAAAGTGGCGGGAATGGGGAATGTTTTGGCTTCCCACGACGTTTTAGGCATAGCGGAACACGGCCCCGCGCTGCCTGCCGCGAACGCGTGGCTTAGTCATCCAACGGCTTCTTTTAGTGTAAACATTGGGCGCATCTAGAAGTCGACAAGCGACTGACAAAGAACATGGCACATAACCTCTAGTGGTGGGTTTTAACACAATATCAATGCAATTAATATAGTAATAGACACAATATAGAGTTAAATAATATAGAATAGCTAAAGTACTATTATCTGTAGTATTATTACCAAGAGATTGGGGTTTTTGACTTGCCTGAAAAGAGCATTGATGTGCCATGTTTTGTGTCAGTCGCTTGGCCGGTGACATCGGAGTACAGCACACCAACTACCCCTCTCTCAATCCTTGCTTTTACCACGAAACATCCACAAATCTCAGCAACCTTCAAACTCCATCCATCAAGTAAGTGGTAGGTTCTCCTTTTTCCATTACGTGAATTGACAAAAAGGTAAATTTAAGATTGAAGGACTTGGACTGGACGAACAGGGAATCGAACCCTGGACCACTCCCAGGAAGCTCAAGCTCAGAGAAGAGAACATGCTAAGGGAGTATTATACCACTAAACCATTCGCCCGGAACTCGGTGACGACGGACCTACCGAATCTTGCTTCTGAGTCAAGCACAAACGTCGCATGAGGAGAGACGCTTCGAATATGACCGCCATAGGGCTCGATCTGTCTCAAAATTTTCTTTTCTCTCTTTAACTTCTGTTCAAACAAACTTTGCGATTGTCACCACTTTGCCTCGTACATAATCGGGTACGTAAAAGACCAGTTGCAAGATAGGTTTCATATCATGACTTGCGCTCACTTGATAGACTCGTGAAAGTGCCTATCTTGGTAATGGTCTCTTTCCAAGCCAGCTTCAAAAGGCTCCCCCTCTTCGGACTTCAAAGAAAGTGTGTTGGGTCTCCGAACATTTGTTACTGACTCTCCATTTCAGACAAGGCTACGACACCTATTCCAAGATGACCTTACTGCAGAGCAGTTTCCCGTGTGTCTCACTCATGTGCTGCATTATCGATTTACTTGATGCCAAGCGGTATTTACCAGTCACGATATCTGGTTGGTTCAAACTGTGACTTCCAGTCTATGTTATCCGTGGTGGTTATCCCGACCATATCGACCAACAGCCTAGGCAGTAACGTCACAACGTGCACCATCGCGCCATGATTTCCGTAGGCGGTAACATAACGCGCTCAGCATCAGAAAAGCGGGTAACCATGCAAGGCGATGCAAGGCAGAATAATTTCTCACCATCCTCCCCCAGTGGTAGGCCTCGCGTGACATTTTATACGGTAACGTGGATACGTAGCTGCCTGGTTGCATCCAGACTCAGCTAGTGGTGGACTGGTGCTCAAAGGTAGGCTAGAGAATGGACGGCCGGTAAGCGATTTTTGGTGCCTTTTTGGGGTCCTGGTGTCGGCTCAAGCTGCCGTTAGCCGCAGATCACCTGCATCTGATGATCTGAGTAAGCGCCAACTTCTGATTAATGCAGCTCGAGATTGAACAGGTGCCTCTTCAGCCCTGAATCATTACAAAGCATGCTCTACAGATGGTCCATCATTACTGGCTCATCCTACCGGTTGTTGGATGAGGAGGCCCAACGAGGCAAACAGACAGGGTTCTGATAGGCTGCTGGACCAACCAACTAATGCAAAGGCCGTCGCCTAACGATGTCTTCTGTTGGTCAAGCGCCAAGCTGATGGGTCTGGGTTGGCCTCTTACGTGAAGATGCGTATGCATGTTGGCTTGAAGAGCTCTCCGTGTTCCTTCTCAGCTGATGTCCACGTCATCTATAAATTTGCCAGAACTCCCGCTCCTTCAAACCTTGACAAAGAAATATCTTTGAACCTTTCGAATCATCACTCCTCTCAATCCAACAGCCATGTCTGAAGAAACATCTACCTCCACCGCTCCTAAGCGGTCTGCCAAAGAGCACCCCCAGGCACACATCTCCCGTTTCTGGCAACGGTTCCACCACAGGACTCCCGGCAAGATCACCTCCATCTTCCCCCGCGAGCTCTACAAGACCATCGACCCGGAGTTCGTGCCCGCCTCGGCCCGGGTCCGCAACGCCGCCCGGAGCTATGAGCTCGCCCGCTCCAAGTGCATCGAGATGGTCAGGGAGACGGTCGAGCACTGCGAGAGCATCAACAGCAGCTTCTGTGACCCGGAATTTGACCTCGAGAGCGACTTCTACCTGTCGACGGACGACTGCATCCACGGTCTCGTGCGGCCCGACACGGAGCCCGAGGCACCGCCCACACGACCGGGCTCCGTCCATCGCGTGCCGTGGATCTTCGAGAACCCTCAGTTCACAGTCGATGGGTTCTCCGGGTCTGATATCATGCAGGGCCGCGTCGGGAACTGCTGGTGGCTCGCTGGGATCGGAACCGTGGCCCACCGGAAGGATCTGATGAACAAGGTCTGTGTAGCCCGTGACGAGGAGTGCGGCGTGTATGGCTTCGTGTTCTTCAGGGATGGAGAGTGGGTTCCGACCGTCATTGATGATAACCTCTACTTGAATGATAAGGACTATACTAGGAGCAGGGACTACGATGCCAGCGGCAAGCAGGCGAGGCAGTGGAGGAAACGCTACCAGACCGGTTCGGAGGCTCTATACTGTGGCAAGTGTGAGGATGAAAATGAGACGTGGCTGCCCCTGCTCGAAAAGGCTGTAGGTTCCCTACCATGACCCATCGTTCTCTGACATTGAAAGCTGACAGTGCTTTTCTCACAGTTTGCCAAAATCCATGGTGACTACCAGGCCATTTGGGGCGGTTGGGTCGGGGATGCGGTTGAAGACCTTACCGGAGGAGTCACGAGCTGCAGTCTCGCCAGTCGTGTGCTTCGCAAGGACAAGCTCTGGCGGGAGCTCGTCCAGGTCGATCAGGACCATGGCGAGTTCGTGTATGGCCTCTCAGCTGGCTATAATGCTGAGGCGACGGAGCACAACGGTATTGTTCTGAACCACGCGTATGCCATCGTGCGGGCGGTTGAGGTTGAAGATGAAAGAGGAAAGCGGGTAAAGCTTCTCAAGATCAGGTCAGTATTCTTTTTCATCGCATTTTAGAAGCTCCATGGAGTCAAGGCTAATTACAATTTTATAGAAATCCCTGGGGCCGAAATTACGGTTCAGGATTGGGCGAGTGGCATGGCCCTTGGTCCGATGGATCTAAGGAGTGGAATGGAGAAATGATCAGGAAGCTCCGTCATGAATTTGGCGACGATGGCGTTTTCTGGATGACCCTCGAGGATATGCTGAGCAATTTCAAGTGGCTCCATCGGACACGCCTTTTCGATGAGAGGTGGACTGTTGCTCAGCAATGGACGAGTGTCCCGATCGCCTGGGTTCCAGGATTCCTCAAGACCAAGTTCATTGTCGAGGTTGAGCAAGAAGGTATCGTGGTAATTGTTCTATCAAAAGTACGACCTATGGTTCCAGCAACAGCGATCTTGATTCATAATCGGAGAGTTTGGCTAACAATTTTGGTTACTTAGCTTGACGAGCGATATTTCCGCGGCCTTGATGGCCGGTACGGGTATTGCTTGGAATTCATTGTTCGTGCTTCTGGATCTGAGAAGAAAGTCGCGGAAGCTAGGTCCAACAAGGTCATCAAGGATAGCCGTTCCGTCAACTGTGAGGTACACCTCAAGCCTGGAACTTACGAGGTCATCCCCAAGGTCCTTGCCCAAGAGTGTGGTTGGAAGCGCCCAGTGGAGGATGTTATTAAGGAGTATGCAACGAGGAACCCTGTTAAGCTTCAGCAACAGGGTATCCAATACGATATCGCTCACGCGAAGGTCGGGGTGCTTGATGAGGATGAGGTACATATCAAGAAAATGGAAGAAGAGAAGGCAAAGAAGAAGGAGAAAAAGAAGAAGGAGGCGAAGAAGGAAGGAGAGAATAGCGAGATGAAGGAGGCAATGGAGAAAATGCAAGCCGCCATGGCAGTCATGCAGGCACAGCTTGAGAAGAATGAGAAGAAGAAGGCCGAAGATGAGAAAAGAAATGGCGAAGATGAGAACAAGAAGGAAGAGGCCCCCGCAAAGAATGAGAAGGCGGAAACTGAACCAGATGCAAAGGACAAGACAGAAGCTGAATCTGCGGCACAGACCTCTCCAAATGCCAGCGAGGGCGACAAAGAGGAGGAAAAGAAAGAAGAAGGGTCACTGGAAAAGGAGAAGAAAGAGGAAGAGGAGAAGCAGAAGCAGAAGGAGGAGAAGGAGAAGGAAGGCAAGAGCGATGAGGAGGACGACGATGATGATGACGACGACGACGAAAAGGATGATGACTCAGATGACAAGGAAGGAAGGCTACCATGGAATCCCGTGTGTGTTATGGGACTGCGTGTCTATGCAGAGGATAAGCAGGTCACCATCAAGGTTGTGAAAGGCGAAGAGTAGGACAATCGCGGTACTTAATCTTACTAGGCAAATCAGAGAGTCCAAATGACTTCAACCTGAGCAAAGAAGTCAAATATTTGCCCAGTTGCGAACTTGCCTCCAAGGCCGCAAGCGACGTGCGGTGTTGCCGTTAGTCTATAAGCGTAGGTTCAAATCAGAGGCTCATCCTGCGCCGTTGGTAGTCTTGTTTGGCCGCGGAGGTGATGCAACGGGAGGGTGCCATCGAAGTTACGGCGGCGCCGGACGCGTCACAAAGTCTAGAATCTATTCTTAGAATGAGGGCCGAATTTGATTCTCCACTTCAGCCCAGTTGATCTCCGCATTCGCATCCGGGGGAATGTATAGGCCGTTCGATCCCAGATCTATGCGCGGGACTAAGTGATGGTGGGCTCGTAAGGCTGTGCCTCCATAACTCGGCTTCACCGGAGCCAACTTCTCATTGGTTGACATATAGAGGTGGCGGTGTAAGAGTTGGGGTACGTAGACGAAGACTTTTCCAGAGAATGGGCCGAATGCTTTGTAGTCTGAACCTTCAAGCCACAACGGTTTGTCCAGCGGCGTCTCCATACCACAGCAACAGCCGTTGACTTCATGTAGCTCCCGCGCTATCCCCTATGTGTCATCGTACTCAGGGAGAATATGATGTCAACTAGAAAGGTTTAGTCCAAATCGAGATGGCAAGATGACCGTTCTCCGGGCCGAATGATGCATTACGAGCAACCACTGAGGCTGAGGCTAGAACCAAGAACTGATACGAGGGCCAAAGGGGCCGACCTACACCTGTTGTCCCAACACTTCACGCGATTGCGTATGATAGGTATCAATGTGTTTAGGAATGCATGAGAATCTGTTGGCACCCATGATCTATAAAATGGCATGACCATCCGCCTCTTGCCATGTCTTTTCTCATCAATCACATCACAATCACAACAATTTCACACACTCAATCTACTACATCCACAACCACCAACAAACAACAACTTCCAACCTCTTACAACTCATTTCAAAATGAAGGCCTTCACTGTCACCGCTGCTTCCCTCGCTGTCGTCGCTTCTGCCCTCCCTCAGGGTTCCGGTCAGCAGTGCACCCCTGCAACCTACTCCTGCACCCCCGATAATCAAGGCTGGCAGGTTTGCAACACCAGCGGCACCTGGGTGGTAAGTTGAGAAGTCTCCAAAGAGTTTCCCATGGCCACTGAGGGTAAGATGGAAAATGCTAACTCAGAGTAATAGTTTGCTGGCAACTGCCCCCCAAAGACCATTTGCAAGTTCGACCAGCAGAACCAGAGCCCCTACTGCGTCGCCCCTAATGTTATCATCTCTGGAACACAGTAGAAGGCTGTGGATAAACGCATAGACTAAGAGATCTATAAACTGGGCAGCGGACAATGGACTGATACATATCTCGTTCATGCATGGCAATTTCCTTCCTTCTTTCCTTCCTTCCTTATTATATTCAGTTATCATAATCAATACGACGCTCCTTAGATAATACTATCATTTAATTTTCTACTTTCAAGTTATCAGTGTTGATTGCTTCTGAAGAGACTTGTGACATGAGTGAGAGTTGTTCAGATGCCTGCGACAGCATCACCGGAACACACAACTAGAAACTACGGAAGTATTCAAAAGTAAAATAGTTATTCTATCCAACAAGAGTATGCACAAGACCTAAGCCACGAGGAAGCCTTACTGGCCAGAGTAAAGAGCTTTTCCCAAATTATGCGTGCGACTATTGTATGTAGGTAGTCTGAGCATGTCTACCTACCAATGGTGATGTTTAGGGTAGGTAGGTAGCCAGATTTACCAGCTGAAGCCTGAGATTATTGAACACCACTTCCACCTACGTCTTCTTTCTTCATCTCTCTTATGATCGCGCTCATATGTTGATTGTACCGCATGATTTATGATAACAAAATGCAAAAGTCCGTGAAATGGCTTCATCATCTTTTTTACTCTAGCAACCAAGCTGCCCCAAATATGTCAATTGGTAGTGAAGTTCGGATGACGACAAGCTCCTTTAACTACTGTTCTTCAGGTTTGACGGTAACTGACGTCATTAATTGACCCATGAGGCTTTGCTTCTTCTTTCGCAGAGGTCTCATGCTGATGCTAATGCATTCTTATTAGGTGCGGGTCGGTACATGTGTCCTTGACAAGGAGAGTTAAGAGACCATCAAGAAGCTTAGCCAGCCCTGCAGTCGCTTATCCAGCTAAATTAGGCATAATATCATCACATCAAATATAATCAACAGGGGTCTTGTGGGGAGGTACATGAGTTGGTGAATTGCCAAGCTGGAGGACGAGGCTGTGATTCGCCGGTTCGCTCAAGCCGCAGTAGTTGAATGAATCCGTCAAGTTAACGTCTGGAGAATGTTGAAAATTCTGCTACCTAATTGGGCAAGACCATGCGATTGAGCGTAGTCAAACGCATTGGCCCAGCCTTTGTTGGAGGAGACAGCCAACCAAGTCCCCTGGGTGGGCATCTCCGCGAAACTCGGCTGTGCGCGACGATTCTAATTCTAGGATGAGGAAACGTGGCTATGGAACCTCCATTTGCATAAGCACTGAAGATCAATGAGCGCCTTACCCAAAAACAAGGGGCAAATGCGACTGGAGTAAGCGGCAGAAGGAGTATTTGAAGAGAGGATGCCGCACACTTCATCTTCCACCATGCTTCTAGACAGCCATCGTGGCATTTACATTCGAAAATGTTTCTTCCGCGCTTATTTCTGGCATCTATCCCCCTCCTTGGGCGATTGGCTCATGGTAGCCCGCACCATATCACACGCGCCGACAACGAATCCCCAATTCGTTGGTCCGAATGCCCCAAGGAAATCTTGACGTACGCGACTCTGCCGATGCAATGTTCTACGCTGAAAGTACCTCTTGACTACACCAACACCGAGTCTTCAGAAAAGCTGGACATTGCCGTGTATCGGGTCGAAGCAGCTGTTCCGGTGGAGCAACGAAAGGGCAGCATCATCTTCAACTGCGGCGGTCCTGGTTCACCGTGCGGCCCGGATCTTGGGGCCTACGCCCAGCGAATGCAAGCGTGAGTAATCGAACGCCGTGTCTACCTAAAAAAATGCAGTTGATTACATCGGTCCATGTTGGCTAACTTTGCTTCGAAATTTCCAGAGCGACTGGAGGTTATCACGATCTTATTACTTTCGATCCCAGGTATGAGACAACAGGCTCGAGCGTCCAAACTTGTTTTCTGATTCTAATTCTCGCAGAGGAACCAAGGGCTCGCCGATACGTTTCATGTGCTACGATGACCCCGTCAGTTTAGCCGCCGCGCCTCCATTCATCGCGGGATATTCACACGAATTTGCTCTGGGCCAAGATTGGTCTGCCAGCATTGTTTTGAGCGAAGATTGTGCGAAAAAGCAGAATGAGACGGGAAGCTTGATTGGCACAGCCTTTGTGGCCAGGGATATGATGCAAATTGTCGATGCCTTGAAAGAGGATGGTCTTTTGCGATACTGGGGTGCGTTGGAGCACTGTTCAATGATTCCATTCAGAAAGAATCCCGCATCTAATCTGCTGACTGAGTAGGTGTTTCATACGGCACTCTCCTGGGTGCTACAGCCGTCGCGATGTTTCCGGACCGAATGGACAAGATTATTCTCGATGGCGTTGTTAACCCTTTCGAATATTATCATAATCAGTAAGGAATCATGGAAGGTCCGTTGTTGATTTCAGCTAGGCTCACAGATTATGAACAGGGAAATCGAGCTGTTTTCTGATGCCGACGCAGCATTCTCGGGATTCTGTCGAGGTTGCGTCGAGAACCCAACCGCTTGCCCGCTTGCCCAGAATATGACGGCCACCGAGCTAGAAGAATCTCTTTACGGCTTGCTAGATATCCTCAAGGCTTTCCCGATTCCAAATCCCAATCGACACCTTCCGAACCAAGTACCAGAGTGGACTTATACATCTGTCAAGGGAAATATATACAGTCGATTATATTTCCCACAAACTTGGCCCGCGCTTGCCAAAGAGATTGAGGCGATCATCACGACCATTCTTACCGATGACTCAACCAGGAGCAGATGGCCCGAGCTAGCGCAGAGGTTGAATGCGTTCATAGATATCTTGAAAGCCGAGGGTACATTCAGTTCCGAGCAGGCTCGCGGCCTCTACTCCCGAGCGGACAATCAAACTGAGATTATCAAGGCCGCGCTGCCAGACCATTCGCTACCCGGAATCAAGTGTAGCGACATGTTCATCGACAGTGCGTCATTGCACAACATGCTGCCCACATTGAAGGCCCGTATGCAGAAGAGCCGAATCGGGGGAGATGCAAGTATCCAGGTCCCTATGACATGCGCCAACTGGAAGTTCAAGGCCAAGGAACGATACAGTGGTGACTTCAAAGTCAAGACGAAGACGCCAGTGCTGGTAATTGGAAACACTTACGATCCTGTCACGCCACTGGTTTCAGCGAAGAATGTCAGCGAAACTCTCGAGGGCGTCCTCTTGCACCAGGATAGCTATGGAGTAAGTGACTTCCCCTCCTTTTCTCTTTTCACTCTGTGTTAACCTGATGATGCAGCATGACTCTTTACCCCAAGCCTCTTTATGCACCGCCAAGGCCATCCGGGCATATTTCCTTCGTGGCGAGCTACCCCAAGTCGGAACCAAATGCTCTACGGAGGTACAGCTCTTTGGAAAGAACGACGGGTGGGAGGATGTCATCAAGCAGTTGCAGAGCGAGCCCTTGTCCCCTTGAGATCATACTCAAAGGACCGTATTGAACATGGATTTAGGGTGTTGTAAATAGACAGGTTTAGATAGACAGTAAGAGAATATGTTCATTTAACGGAAATAATTGAAGGTAGTTGTTGATAAATCCTCTAACCTTACTGGTCTAGACTCTATTACCTAAGCAACAGCTTCCACTTGACGGGCTGGATTGAAGTCGCTGTTTTCTGGCCGATTGCAGCCTCCTTCTTCCCAATGACTTGCCGACGTCGCTGTATTAATTACACTTGGCCAATTCAAATCTTACCACTTATTTGTTCTTTTGTAATCGTCTGCCCGCTTTCTGGGCAGCCCTTGAGGTCCCGTGTCTTATCGCGCCAAGAGAAAGGACACGGGTTAATTCAAGGCCTACTTCAGGCTCATCACAGAGCCCTTAGGCCCGTCTCGGACTTGCCCGTTTGCTATTGAAAATATGAGTAGCCGGGCCAAAGTTGCGACATGCGTCAATTGTCGCCAAATGAAAGTAAGTTCTTCCGCCCTTTCGTGTCTACGAGAGAATATACTTGGCATTATTGCAGAGCATGAACAGTCCAGAACAATTAATGCGTCTTGTGATTTTAGCGCTAATGTGAACTTAGGTGAGATGCGACGCCAAAGAGCTTTTCCCTGCCGCGTGTTCGAGATGTGGCAAAAAAGGATTGAGATGCTTCATTGATCCTTCGTTTCAAAGAACTGCTAAACGAAAGTATGTTTCAATTTAATCATAATCGTCCAAATGATCTAGTCTTGTTCTGACACTTAATCAAAGGCGAGCAGAGGAATTGGAGAAGGAGCTGAGAGAGATCAAGGCTACTTCATTTGCTTCCACTTCGAATGCCAGTGCCGCACCAGAAGACAATCTTCTGGGATCTCCCACTGAACAACCACGAGCGTCTCTAGTCTCCAGCTCAGCGTACCCGGAATATAGCTCTGCTGTTCCAAGCTCAGCGTTTGTGACTCAACGAATTGGCGAGATAGAAGTCTCACCAGCCGCAATAGCAGAAATAATTACGGCGTAAGTGAGTTATTCAGAGGCAAGCTTCAAGTATCTAACAATTTCATCAGCTTCTTCTCATTTTGCCATGAAGACTTTCCGATCTTACCGGATCTGCTGTACTTTGTTCGAGGCTACAACCGATGCAAATTCCTTTTCTGGGTCGTTATCGCTATTGGCTCGAAGAGTACTGAGAATCATCAGCAGCTGTATATCCAATTGCACCCTCATATCCGTCTTCTTGCTAGCGACTTGGATGGGGCCGTTGAACATGCCTTGGGGACCGTCCAGGCTCTTCTACTCCTTTGCTGGTGGCCTTTTCCATTCCAGGCGACCCGAAATGACCCATCCTGGAGTTATTCTGGCCTTGCGGTACATACTGCATTGAGGGCCGGGATACACCGTCCTCATCACTTCTCGGACTTCATGTATAATGACCGTCTTGATGACGCGGGAATTCAGGCGTTCCGAAAGGCTTGGATTGGCTGTTTCATCGTGAACCAATTGTAAGAGCCGCCCATTGAATCGATCCTGTTATTTTGTTGACGAGTTAAAAATGATAGGCTTGCAAGCGAATTGGGTGTCCCATCAACTGTCCCTGTAGACAATACAATTGCTTCTGCGTTAGACGGTCGGACCTCCAGCAGATTACCCAAACAACTCGAACAACATTTGAGAATTGCTTACCACAGCTATAACATTTGCAACACATTAGGAAACAGTGATGCCACGACTTCGGGACTAGTCCACGGTAGCCTCGGAATCATCAAAATTCTAGAAAAGGGACTGCAGGAGCTAGAGATTGAACTCGCACCGGATATGACGACACATACGGCTATAGCCTTGCTCAGAGTCAAGCTTCAATTGCAGTCATTTGTGTTTACGGATGACCAACTGGATAGAAGTGATCTCCGTATCGAGAATAGAGCGGCTGATCATCTATCCAAGGTTGAAACATACTCCACGAAAATCATAGACCTGGCAGCCCAAGCCGCCCCAGTTCGGTCAGCTCCTCATATTTGGACTATCATACTCAGGACGTCTGTTGTGTACGCTGCACATATACTACTTAGACTTCTTGCGTATTCTGAGAACCTCGATGGCGGTCTTATCCAAAACTCTATAGGCCAGGCCTGGATGCTCTTCAACTCCCAGTCGGAACTGGAAAACGACAGCTGGGCGCGCCTCCGTGAGATCATCACCTACCTAAGTCGCATAGGCACAAGTCAGAACACTCCTGGTGCTCCGTCCGTGAGAGCTAGGATGTCGGCAAATATTGCCATTGAGTCTATTTGGCGAGCTCGCGGGCGATTCAGCGAGGAGGTTCTCCGTGAGAGACCTAGCGACTACACCGAAGCTGAGGCTATGAGAGACCTGATGCGATTTGGTCTTGATCTCATCATTGGGGATGACCCGTTTGAGGAAACTGACCCCACGTTACTTCAGGAGTCTCTGCTCCCAGTAGATGACGATTTCGAGGGGGCATAATACGGGGCTGTCGGTATGAGCAAGGCGATATGGAAATGAATACTAGTAGCAATGATACCACTAGAAACCAGGTCTTTTGATCATTTCATATTTACTCCTGTAGCAGCCTCACTTGTAATTTAGATTGCTATAGCCATGCTTCACTAGTAGGGTTTCGATACTTTGTTTTATCAAAAAGATCACCACGTCCTCGATACTTAATAAACCTGTAGGAGATAAAGCAAGCGATCCTTTACTACCTAGATTTTTCTTCAAAAGCTGAACGGTTCGTCTTGGATTTGAATTTGGGGCATCATCTGAGGTGACGGTGGTGTCTGCTGGCCTCTAGCTGATGTATTGCTAGTGGGTCGGCTGGCTAATGTTGGGAATTAGGCGATATCGCTCCAGTTTGCGATTTCGCTTGCTCCGGGGGCGCTCAAATCTTGAGCGGTCTCGGGCTTGACGTCCGATGCCCCCACTGGTTATTTAGACTTCCAATACCACTCGGTACAAAGCGGATTTGCTTGGGGGAGGTGAAAGACACATTCCACTTGCTGTTTGTTGGTGAAACTTCTTTGAAAGATTTTCTGTTGGGACTGCAACATGGCTACTTTCAATGTTCCCGGTGGTCAGGTGGCCAATGTGCGGGTCGTTGATACCGGCTCCACGATTTCACGTATCCCTACCTCACGGCTCATGGCACCTCCTATGCAGGGCTTCGATCATATTCCGACGATGCCATCGTTCTCTTTCCTCGTTGAGTCCGCAACTGGAAAGAAAGCGCTCTTCGATCTAAGCATAGCAACGGATTGGGGAAACTACGCCCCCATCGTCGCCAATTCACTCAGAACCAATGGGTACGAAATCAAAGCGGAAGTTGGCGTGCCAGAAGTATTGCAGAGTCATGGCGTGGATTTGAAATCCATCAATAGTATAATATGGAGGCTTGTTCATTCTTAATCCTTCAATAGCCATGTACCTTTCTAACCCTTGTACAGCCATTGGCATTGGGACCATCTTGGAGATCCATCAATATTCCCCTCTTCCACACAAATTGTAGTCGGGCCTGGTTTCAAAAACGCTTTTTTGCCAGCTTATCCGGCTGGGGAACAATCACCTGTCAGGGAATCCGATTTCAGGTATGTGCTCCTGAGTGGTCACGTAGCCGGAGGTCATTCTCGCCAACCATACTGACGATAAATTTAACCCAGAGGGAGAGAGATACGGGAGGTCAATTTCGACCATTCTTTTAAGATTGGGCAGTTTGATGCCGTCGACTTCTTTGGGGACGGTTCATTTTATTTACTTGATACTCCTGGTCACGCCGTAGGCCATTTGGGAGCCCTGGCTCGCACGAGTGTGCATCCAGACACCTTCATATTCATGGGAGGGGATTTATGCCACCACTCCAGTGAAATGAGACCTTCCCGCTACCTACCTCTACCTGAATCAATCAGCCACCCGATCTCACCAGCCTCTTTATACCCTTGCCCAGGCCTTATTCTCGAAAGGCTGCAGAAGTCTAGAGGAAGACCTGCGAACGAGCCTTTTTTCGATCCGGCAATGGGCGTGTCCGTAGAGGCCGCTATTGAGACGGTTAGAAAAGCGCAAGAGGCCGATGGTAACGAGAATGTATTATTCATATATGCGCACGAACCTTCATTCAAAGAGGTAGGAGAGTTGTTCCCCAACTCGGCAAATGACTGGAAGAAAAAGGGGTGGCGAGAGAAGATGCTCTGGGCTTTTTTAAGAGATTTTAAGAAATTGGTAGAGTAGGATCGTGAAGAGTTAGCCAATTACATACAATGAATCTGCAAACTGCGATGTGAGATCGAATAGCTTTCTTTGTAAATATCTCACATTCACCTCATAGAGCAGCTGGACATCATCATTGCAAAGGTGACGTACTGAACCAAAGAACTGATCACAGTTCCTCCATCACGTTTATTTATTTTGACTCTTAGTGATGCATTTTTATGAGATAAAAATGTATCAACTATATTCCCCTATTGAGTCATCTTCCTGTCATTTCATACAAGAAATGGAATAGTGAAGAACTTCTGTTCGAACTTGCTCGATATGAGGTAGTGAAATTGTGTTCTTTTGTATCTCTATCATTGCCCTCCCAAAAGCATACACCGTATCATTCTCCGGGCTTGAAAATTATCTTTTGATATCTCATATTATGGAAATCATCGTACCTAAGTCAACATCATCAGTGTCATGTGGTTCGGCTAAGATGGAACGAAACTTACGCCTGAACAGCGTCTGACAAAGGTCGGATGTTGTCGACCATGAAGCTGAATTTAATCAGCTCTTTGCTTCCTATCGTAATGAGCGAAGGATTTCTACTTACTCCAGATCATTCTGCTTCTTTTCGAGCATTTCTAATGCTTCGATGAATAAACCTGGAAAATGTTTCAGCTTCTTCATGTGTAAATAGAGAAGTAACACAGAGCTCATACTTCTCACCGGGCATCTGCCCATCTTTAGGGTTAAGTTCTTTGCATAGGCTTCATTCCCGGACCACGGGATGTCCGCATTATGCACACCAATGCTTGATATAGTACCCCAAGGTCTTAGTAGGTCAAAAGCAAGGCGCAGAGCATCGCTGTGACCGACGGACTCGATCACTATATCAGCCCCACGGCCATCAGTCAACTCCAACACCTTCTCCTTAAGCCCACTTAAATTAGTCTTAAAGTTCCATGGGTCCGCGCCTAGCCGTTTGGCTTGCTGCAGTCTCAGTTCAACGGCATCGACAGCCAAGATCTGTTTCGGTCTGTGCTCCATAGCGTTAACGATGGCACAGAGACCGACAGGACCGCAACCGAGGACCACCACAGTGGCTTTCTTGGTGAGAGTTTCAGTGAAACCTGCAAACGCATTTTTGGCTGCAAAGTACCCAGTTGGAAAGATATCCGCCATCAATACTAGCTTCTCGGGGGCAATGTTGGAAGGTGCTTTCACGATGGTAGTGTCAGCCTTGGGCACTCGGCAGTATTCAGCCTGAGCACCGTCGAGCAATGTTGTTCCAAAGAGTGCACTCTCCACACAGCGGGAAGAATATCCATGGCTGCAGTAGAAACATTGGCCACAGTTTATAGTGAAAGGTGAAACGATCTGGTCTCCTTTCTTGAACGCGGTAACACCTGCCCCGATTTCCACAATCTCCCCCACGAACTCATGGCCCATAATGAATCCGGTATCCGATGGCTGGTGGCCCCGAAAAACATGTAGCTCACTAGTAATAGCAGGATCAGTTGAAAGATTATGGTATTTGCAGTATGGTAAAGGAGATTTCGGAAGGATTTGTAAGAAACACTGTGGGAGCATGTTGGCCACAATAGCGAGAATCTTACCTTCCACACAGCGCCGTATATCTTACTTTAACGATGACATCTCCACCATCCTGGATTCGTGGGATCGGCCGTCTTTCTACTGCCACTTGAAGCTTCCCCCGAAAGACAACGGCATCCATTGTACGTGTAACTTGTGACGTTCTCTGAAGTGCTGTACAGGTAATTACGGGCACTTATACCTGGGAAACAATTTCTGACTCTGTATTTCTAATAGTCTTTTATTCACATAACCAAGCTTCATGGGTGGGCCGGTAGCGGCTGAGGATGCGAAATCGCCTCTCGGTGGGGTTCATCCTGCTCTCCACCAATCCAACGGTCCACCTCTTGAGCTCTTGAGACTACTTTGAGTCATGAAGCAACTCTAGACCATGGCTATTCTCGTGTGTGGCTAAAACCATGGTCTATTGTTCAAAATTTCCACATAAACCTATGAGTAAGATATGTTGTGTACCGTTGGCGGCGTTCAGTGAATGGTGGAAGCGCATCACGTTGTTAATCGAGGTCGTTGGGCATTTGGACAACTCTTACCACGGCGCGGATTTATACTAATCCTGATAGATCTACTTTTCTTATATTTAAGTTACGTGTATATTCGACAGTCTTGATTATTTGATTTCTTGTTTTGGTTATCTAACAGGGGGCTACACTGCCAATTGCGTTGTTGAAAACCGTGGTAACTAGCAACTATAGCGCGTGAAAACGATTGCGTGACAACTAGAAACTAACTATTTCATGGAATACCCGCAACCCGGTTGCGTCTGGTGAAGCTCGTCAGAGAGCTCTTTGAACCGCACCCATTTAATGCCAAGTCTTGCTAAAGCCTGTATTTGAAGAGAGGCGAGTTGTCTCCCATGTCAGCCAGTTCCTGCTCAGTGTACTTGGCATGAATCTCCTCAACCGTCATTTTCTCATTAGATTTGTTGATCCGCCAAAGAGCAAAGTCCAGGAAGAGTGCTGAGAGAAGACCAATCACAGCAATACCAAGTGAAACGCTAAACCCAGTAGTATACCAAGGAGATTCCTCCTGGATATAGATGAAGGAGCCGCCAAGCCCGCCAGCGCTGGCGAAAGTTCCAAGTAAACCGATTCCAATGGCACGCTTGGCAGGTCCCGCCAGATTGTTGGAATTCCACGCATTGGCGCTGGGAATAATAGGATACAAACCGATACAAGCCACTGAAATCGCAAAGTAGCACTCGGCGATCCGATGCTTGATGTCTCCTGCATAGGCAAAGCTGATGGCGAACCCAACAATGACAAGTAGCTGAGGTCCGACGATAGAGGGCATTCGCCACTTGTAACGATCGGCGAACCGAGCCGATACGTAAGCGCTGCAAGCCCCGAGGAAGTAGGGCGGGATGGTTAAGAGCTGAGCATTTGCGGAAGTGTAGCCCATATTCTTCATGATCTGAGGCATTGTGAACTTCAGCCCGTAGTTTGGTATCGTATTTGAAAGTGCGATCAGAGCCTGGAGGTAGATCTTCCAGTCGAGAAGCGCGGAAACGATGACTTTGGAGCTCATCTTGTCACCTCTGGCAGCTCTCTCACGACCGCCATCCTCGATTTGCTTGCGGAGAATAAGATACCGTTTCTCGTCATCTGTGAGCCACTTTGAGTGTCGAGGCGTGTCTATAAGCACAAAGGGGCAGACGAGGCCGATCAACAAGCTTGCGCCCCCTTCGAGAAGAAAAATCCATCGCCACCTATTGATCATATTAGTTGCAATCCAGATCAAGCTTTGAATTTTGCATACCCTTCGTAGCCGCCAATTCCGTCCATCTTAGCAATCAGGAATGCCAGAAGACCAGAGAACGCACCAGCAAGGGCACTGGAGGTATAGAAAAGCGCAATCCGGACGCCAACTTCGTTCCAGGAATACCAACTCGTAACAATCAGAATCGCGCCTGGAAAGAAGCCGGCTTCGGTCACACCCAACAAAACACGGGTCACGGCAAGGCCTGCATAACTCTTCACAAATCCGGTGCAAAGCAGGACGAGCCCCCACGTTGATGTCATTATCGCAATCCAAGTCGAGGGTCGGTCGAACTTTTTTAATATCATGTTCGCGGGTATTTCTGAAGCAGAAAGAAAAAGATGTTAGCAGTTATCGGGAAAAAATATTGGCAGGCTTCGGGGAGGTGGATAGGTTGGCGTTGGCCTTCCATGCCGTATCTTACCCAACAGAATATAAGGAACAAAGAAGATTGCAAGGCAGATGTTGTACTGTGTTCCACTCAGGCCGAGGTCCTCCGACAAGCCTTCGATATTCGCATTGCCGATGTTTGCTCGGTCAAGGTAACTGATGAGGTAGAGGAAAGAAAGGAACGGGATCAACCTGATGTCGATCTGAATAGGAATTAATTAGTTAGCATATTTCGGTACGGGGAAATGCCACATGAGAAATTGTAGGTGCAATGAAGAGAGGTCGCAAACCTTTCGAAGTAAGGCCTTTTTCTGTTCGTCTCCAAAGCTAGCCATGAAGGCCAGCTCTTCTTCGCCCATGTCCGTAGTTGCCACAGCTTCATTGTGTGAAACGGTTCCGTCATCATCCAATATGATGGAACTCTCCTTCAGCTTTTCCGCCATCTGAGCTGGTTCAAGATCTCGGGTTCCTTTTCCTTTAGATATATGAACACCGTAGCCGGGGACAAAGGTGAGGATATGGGAGTTGGAACAAGGAAGAGGCAACGATCTTATTTAAACTTCCTGGAAATCTAAGCAAGGTCCCATGACTCGTGAACAGGAAATCAAGGGTTCAAGATGAGAGATCTTCTCCTTTTGGTTGGTAGATTTGCGTTCATGGACTCTCCCCCTGGGGAGAAATACCCCATAAGCTTCTCCGCAAATCCCCGCAGAGCATGGTGTAGTTGGCTGCAGAAGTCAAGGGGCAATAAGTTCGACGGGGGCATCAACCCGTTTTCGCTTCCTGGAGCGATATCGCCTCCGCGAAGCCGAAAGCGCTTTGAGAAGCGATATCGCCATTACGGGTGGGTCGTCATCAGACAACATCCATGAAAGTGTTGGGCAGGGTTGAATCCCTCCATCCTGAGCTGCGCCATTATAATAATTTTGATTTACGTGGACCACCGATTGGCTATTCAAGTTAATTGCTTTGCAGTGTCACGTCTTTCTCTGGGCATTTTGTTGCGCTAAAAGGTTGATAGCTTCAGCCACCCCAATTATTTTGTCTTCGCCTCCGCGCATATATACGCAGGGAAGAACGTTTCGAAGCAAAATCAGACTTAAGCTGGTCATAAAGCCTTTTCTATTAGGATTTATTACTACCATTCCATCACGATGGGCACATCTATTGTTGGATCCAGCGCTCCTGTCGCGCCATTATGCCAAATCGTGACGCCAGTGGGCATGATGGGCTATGGCTTCCCAGAGGATCAAGTTGAGGCAGCATTGGAGACCTTCAGCGACTATCCTACGCCGACTGCCATCATTCTGGATGCTGGCTCGACTGATTCCGGCCCCTCAAAGCTTGCAATTGGCACCACTACTTGCCCCAGATCATCTTATGTTCGCGATTTTCGCAAGCTACTCACCTTTTCCATCAAGTATTCGGTCCCTTTGCTCTTATCATCTGCTGGTGGAGATGGGAGCGATGAGCATGTCGATTTATTCCTTGAAATTATCCGAGAAATCACTCAAGAGCCTGGTCATGAGTTAGTCGCCCTTACCAACCAAAGTATCATTACCTAGCTTTGATCATTAATCCTAACCAATTATCCACAGGAACTGGAAACTGAAGACTCTTGCCATTTATTCCGAGGTCCCAAAGACTGTGGTTGTGGACAGATTGAATGCAGGCACGATCACAGGCTGTGGGGAGGCCGTCCCAGAGCTCACTGTCGACGTTGTTGAACAGACGCCCAGGATCGTTGCCCAAATGGGGCCTGAGCCACTGTTGGATGCAATCAACGCGCATCCCGACTTCAATGTCTTGATTGCTGGTCGATCATACGACTTGGCCCCTTTTGTAGCCTTTACCACCTACCATAGCCTTAAGGCTCGAGGCTTGAAAGAATACACTGACCTAAGCCCCGGCGAGCTTGGAGTGATTTCACATATGGGCAAGATCCTCGAATGCGGCGGCCTCTGCGCTACGCCCAAGGGCACAAGCGCCCAGGGCATCATGAACAACGACTTGAGCTTTGACATCAAGCCACTGAACCCTGCCGCTCGCTGCACACCACTGAGTGTTGCTGCGCACACTCTCTATGAAAAGAGCCGACCAGATAAATTGTTTGGCCCCGGAGGGTACATTGACCTCAACGAGTCTACCTTTACTCAACTTGAAGATGATATATCAGTTCGTATTCGGGGGTCAGTATTCCACGGCAATCGCCGAGAAAACACGACATATTTCACCAAACTTGAGGGAGCCCGCGTCACTGGATACCGTACTTTGACTATGGGCTCCTTTCGAGACCCGATTCTCATCTCGCAGCTTGACTGGTTCCTTCAATCCGTCAAAGACTTTGCCGGAAGCCAACACAACCACGTTGACGAGAAGTGGGATATTGGCTTCCATACGTACGGTTTCAATGAGCATGACCCCGAGTACGTGCCAAGTGAAGTTTTCATTGTCGCCGAGGTGATTGCGGAATCTCAAGACGTTGCAACTAGTCTAGCTTCAACTGTCAGAGTGCATTGCACGCATGGATCCTATCCCAAACAAAAGGCGACTTCGGGCAATTTCGCTATGGGTATCGGCGGCAAGTTCGAGTTGGAGACGAAGGAATGCGCTGAGTTCTCCATCTACCATCTCATGCCACTTTCCAAGGAAGAGGAAGGCGCTCGCCAAAATTCCCTTCCCCAGGCGGATATCGACGGGCAGCGGGGCTTGTTCCGTTGGCAGGAGTACACTTTGGGAAATGGCGATACGTACGCCGAAGTTGGAGTTAAGGTCACTTCGAATGGATCATCCTTCGTCACTCAGAGCGCTGGCACCGTGTCTTCAAAGCCCCCAACTCAACCCAAGCCTTCGTTCGAGCAGACTCCCAAAACTCTCGTTGATGTGGCCAAGGTGATACGATCAAAAAACTCCGGTCCATACGAGATCACTGTGGATGTCATGTTTGACAACAAGGACGTCTATAATCTTGTCAAGGAGTCTGACTTGCTAAACAAAGCGGTGATCGCTGAACTATTCCGTCTAGACGAAGCTGAGGTCTTTTGGGCAGGCTTCTTTGATGTTGCAATGGCTTTTAAGGCCACAATGCCCAGAAAACGAAGGGGGGAGCCATCGTGCTCCGGCGGTTATATGGAAGACGATGTTCATGGTTCCCAACAATACATTCCCTTGGTCAGGCTCTCCCTCCCAGAGGAACTTCAAGATAGGCTCCTAGCACTTGCACAGTGATTATAGATATATAGATTCATGATCCCACGATCATAGATACTATGAAGTGAATTGAGAAAGGAATACTCCTTAGATTTAACAAATTCGCGCAGGGCACGTCCGTCCTTCATGCCCCTCTGAGGAATACGGCCGATCCAGGCGGTTTTTGACCAACACTTATGACAGGGCATCTGCGAAAAGCTAGACGCTAGATGGAATTTATTTCTCCCTCGTCTTACAAGATGATTTAGCAAGTGGCTCGGATCAGTTAATTCTAACTGGTCTTCATTTGAATCATGAATATTACATGGCAAATTATGCATGGAAGCCGATACTTGCATGCAATCTCTCGTTTTCGTTTTCGCATTGATAGAACTGCTGGACCTAACAACTAGGTACTTTCGACATGTTTATCACCGCATACTCTAAAATGCTGGCCGACAAGTGCTTATGCAGCCCAGCGTTGAGAAGTAAGACCTGCCACCACGCCCCCGTCAACGAGAAAGTCGGTGCCGGTAATGTATCTGCTCTCGGGCCCTATGAGGAACGCGACCGTATTCGCAATGTCCTCTGCGGTCCCTTCTTTTCCTACAGCGGATGTAGCCAGCATGTGCCTCATCTGATCTCCTGTCGGGCCTTCGAATTCCTGCTTGCCCATTGCTGTAGCTATGATTCCCGGGCTGATGGTATTCACTCTCGCGCCTTTGTCTCCCCATGGCTTCGCCGCCGCTTTAACTCGTAGAATGTTTCCCTTCTTAGCCATTGCATAGCTCATGGGTGTCTTGTTATCAATCTCGGGATGGTCAAGCAGTATGTCGGTTGGTGCAGTAGCAAGATGGCGTTCCAATTCCGGAGTCATACCACCGCCCAAATGGGCAGCCATACTTGCGATGCAGATCATGGCTAAGCCCGGCAACGCGATTTCATAGAAGGCATCCAGAACATTTGCTGTGCCAACAAGATCGACCTCAAGAACTTGTTGAGGGGGTGCTTGAACGGGTGATACACCGGCAGTATGAACCACGGCATCGACCTGGCCTAGGTTCGCAGCTGCCTTGGCAAGTTCTTGCACAGCATCGAGCTTTGAAACATCGACAGTGTGGGTAACAATATCGTACCCATTGTCACGTAGGTCCTTTGCTGCCACTTCGAGGGCCGCTGCAGAGTAATCTGCTAGGACTAGTTGACGTCCATTGGTAATACGGCGGGCTATGGCAAGACCCATGCCTCCAGCACCAATAATGACGACAACATGGCTAGACATCTTGGTTCGCTCTCACTCTTGGGGGCCCTTGGTGAAATATCTCCTTGGGTGCCATTCAATTCATCTGCAGCGGCCATAATTTATAGAAAATTGCGCATGTTATCGCATCGTTAAATTTCCGAAGATGAATACGAATCCGAGCGGCATCACGGGGCTTGCGAGTCCCCGAACAGGATACCCAACATAGCTTGTGCGGAGAAGTAGAATTTCCCGTCAACAGTTGATGTATATGATGAAGGGCGGAAATCCATGCAAGGGACTAATTTACTTATTATTGGATTCGAAAGCGGCTATCTACAGAGATCAGCCACCATGGAGTGCCATTAAGGAAGTTTCTTGCTTCGCCAGACAGTCTGGGAGTTTGTGAACCCCTTAATGCCACTCAAACCCCATTCGATACCAATACCACTCTCCTTGTGGCCTCCGAAGGGAGAAATAGGAGCAAGAGCAAAATGGGTGTTGACCCAGACAGTTCCGACCTGGAGCTCCCGACCAAGACGTTCTGCCTTCTCCACATCCTTTGACCAGACAGAGCCACCAAGACCAACATTCGTGTCGTTGGCACGCTCGATAACCTCTTCTTCTGTCTTCCAAGAGAGAATAGGGACGATTGGTCCAAAAGGTTCTTCCACGACCAGACGAGACTTCTCGGGAGGTCGGTCAATCAGGGTCGGAGGGATAAAATAGCCTTTTGAGGGCTGCACTTTGCCACCGACGGCAACGTTCCACCCTTCTTTCTTGATATCACTAAAGAAAGTTTTAACACGCTCGTACTGCATTGCATTCTGAAGGGGGCCGTGTGTGGTTTTGGGGTCGGCGCCATCACCGACCACGTAGGTCTTAACATGCTTTACGACCGCATCTCTGAACTCATCAAAGATGGACTCGTGAACATAGATACGCTTGATGTTGAGGCAGATCTGGCCAGTATTGAGGAAAGAGTAGAAAGCAACCTAGGAAGGTTAGTGATGCTCTTGCGAATGTGTTCTCAAGAACTAGAGGATAAATACCTCTTTGGCAGTAACGTCTATGTCAACATCAGGAAGAACGATGGCCGGGTCATTCCCACCCCTAGAAGTCGGTATTAGCAGGCAAAGATTTCAGAGACAGGTCAAAGCAGGGATAACTCACAATTCAAGAGTGACTCGCTTAAGTGTTTTGCTGGCGCTTGAGTGAACCAGCTTTCCAGTATGGGTTGAGCCAGTGAAGCTGATCTTGTCAATGCCTGGATGGCTTGTGATCCAGGGTCCCAGTTCGTCACCTCCACTCAAAGATTGAACAACACCGGGAGGGAAGAATTGCTGCGCCAGTTCAACAAGTTTCAATCCACAATAAGGTGTGAAGGGCCTATTGCGATGGTTAATTCTTATCCCAAAATCCTGCTCGGGTACAGATGGCCGGGTGCTTACGATGGCTTAATGATAATGACATTGCCGGTGAGAAGAGCTGGTGCCAGCTTGGCAGTAAGAAGCATAGCAGGGAAGTTCCAGGGAACAATTGCTCCTACTACACCAATCGGCGTGAGGCGCTGAACAATGGAACGCTCGTCGTTCTCTTCGATAATTGTCTCTTCCGCGACGGGAATGTCGATAATCCCGCGAATCCATTGAATAGCGAATGTGATCTCGCCCGCCGCTGGATCCAACTTTGACGTAATCGGTCAGTTCCTACAAGCTCAGAGTATGACGGGCCTAACATACCGGCTTTCCACCCTCCGCCACGAGAAGGTCACGGAATTCACTGTGCACAGCTTCTATCGCATCTGCGTAAGCGTGAAGAGCTTTCCGGCGCTCTTCTAGGGGCACCTTGGACCAAGATTTGAACGCTTTCTTTCCGGCGAGCACTGCACGGTCAAGGTCCTCCGGTGTCGCAACGGGAACTTTGGGAAGAGCCTGGAGATTAGCGGGGTTAATCCCATTCCGTGTGTTCTCGGTGGGGGAGGCTTTGCCATCAATGGTTTGGACGTAGGCGCTCGTCAGGTCCAGCTTGGTTTTGACTGCCATGATAGCTTGATGTAACTGCGTAGAGTCTTAACAAAGGTACTTAATATTTCCACCAGATCATGAAAACAGAATAATCCTGTTTTAAAATTCTGTGCGACACGTCTTCCTCGTCGAACACTTATATAAGGTCTCGGGTTCCCATCCCGATTGTTGAGGGGGTGTCTCGGAACGAGCTTCATGCATCGGGACGGACAATAGATACGCGTGAAGCACAAGTGAACGAACAACGTTGAGTGGTCGACAGATGGCTGCGCTCCACAGACACAAGCACCCCGCATTCTGTTATCTCGATTCATTACATACTTGGTCTTGGCAAGCATGGACACGTAGCTGAGTCACTCGTTGAAGCCAGATGGCCGATACAGGTGATTCAAAGGACTAGAGACTAAGTTGGTTAGTAGCACGTGAGATGTAATAAGCTTAAAACGGCCATTGTCCAGACTGTGTGGTTGCAATGATCAGCGGAGATATTCTCGGATTAGGTTCGCTATAGACTGTGATATCCGATAATCCTATATCCATCTCATACATGGCTTCACCTTCCCAATCACTCCATTTTAGTAGCTGCCCTACAGTTATTGGCAAGAATACGTAATAGAGACTCATAGCCCCAGCTAATATACGGTGAAGATGGCTAAATTAAAGCAAGAGATGCCCTAGCTAAGGTTTGGTAAAGCCGTTGGACTAAAGTAGGAGAGACCATATGAATATAGTCATTCCGGGACATAAGGATCTAGCATGGCTGTATTTAATGATGAGAATCTGTAGTAGATATGAATTTCGGTAGGCTCGTCGTCATGTGGAGAGCCGACATGTTATCCCTGATCGTTATAGATACAGCGTCCAGTCATATCCACGGGTAGAATTCTCCGTTGTAGCCTTGTAACATAAAAGCTTGGCATCTAATTATCGATACTATAGCCACAGCCGCGTACGTAGATGAAAAGTAACTGCAATAGAGGCGCATCACAGCTCTTTAGCCGAAGGCAATACGGAAAGTATCCGCGGATCCGCGGCTGAGCATCTCCGTCTGTCAGCGATGACTAAAGAACCCATGGTTTCCATCACAGTGAAATGTCACCGCGTAATTGCGACTATTCTGGATGGGGAAGTTACTTTCAATGCCGCTCATATCAATTGTAAATCCCGCCAATTGGTAATCGTGAAGGGAAGCTTATCTCCGTGACGAGCTCCGTGCCAAGCAGTGGGGTATGAAATGATGCAACCGGCCGTTGAACGGATTATTTAAATATCAATCGAGACAGTACACCGGAGAGGATTGTCAACTTGACAACTTAAGTCCTGATTCAACTTCGGCCAACATGAAGCAATCTCTTTTTCTTGCTGCGACAATTGCCTTGTCTGGTGTGGCAGGAAAATGCCTGCCGCCAGTAGCACACGAAGGGACACCTGTTGGTACAGAGATCAAGAACGATGACAGTATGGAAACTCTTCGCTTTGGTGATGTTTTAGATGTCACAGCGCATGCTAAGAGAATTTCTAGTCACTCTTTATGTCACGGGCAAAAAGTCCGACACGGCCGTCTTGTATCTGACCGACGTTTTTGGAATCCAGCTGCCCCAAAACAAACTGTAAGTATGAACGCTGGAGAGTTAAAAGTCCCAAGCTGACATGAAATAGTCTGGCCGATAGCTTCGCTCGCGCGGGATATCTGACCATAGCACCAGATCTGTTCAACGGAACTCCCGCCCCGGAGGATATCAATGGCACGCCATCATTCAACTTGACTGAATTTCTGTACAACCACCGTCCAGAGATTATTGATCCAGTTCTTACATCGGTCATCAAGTATATTCGCAGCATTCCCACGGTCAAGAAAGTAGTGGCAACCGGGTACTGCTTCGGCGGACGTTACGCATTCCGCACCCTCGCAGAAGGTCAAGGCGTCGACGCAGGATTTGCTGCTCATCCTAGTCTTCTCGAGGACGGTGAGATTGAAGCAATCACAGGCCCAGTATCGATTGCTGCCGCAGGTCAGTACACTCATGGTATTATCACGTCTGATTATGGTTATGGGTGCTAACTGAAGAGGGAGCAGAAACTGACAGCATGCTCACGCCAGAAAGACGTGCTGCAATCGAGGCTTTGCTGCAAGGAACAGCCCAGCCATATTCAGTGGCGCTTTACAGCGGGACAAACCATGGGTTTGGCGTGCGAGGGAACATCTCGAATCCAGAGGAGAAATACGGAAAGGAGCAGGCGTTTTATCAAGCAGTGAGCTGGTTTGATGCCTGGGCTTAGGGCAGCAGGAGGTGGTTGTCGAGGAGCATAGTTTATCTCTAGTCATAGTAAAGGTTCGTCTTTATCAACAAGATCCTCTGGCAAATCAAGATGGGCCAAAGTTCGAGATAAGGTTCCACGATTTTGGCTTACCGAAATTCACTATTGCTCATTCTCTGTGTAAAGACTTAGCCATTACTCTCGTAAAAAGTCCAGTCCGCAATCCCACTTACTGTCTCTCTTTAGACCTAAGGAGAGTTCAAGTATAAAGTAGAAAACAGAAATAGAAGATGCCAAGCCCGACATCTCAACAAAATGAATCGCCTATCTTTGGACAGACCTTTTCAGTCTGGGATCGATGCTGAATCTAGCTTATCAGGAGTCCATCCGTGTCATGGATTCAAGGAGGCTTCATGTGTAAAGAATTATGTGCATGGCGTAAATCGAAGTCTTTTATATACATGTCTATAATCCCGCCGCGGACTTCCGTGTACTAGACGAAACACTCAGCTCAACCTCTTTTAGAATTCCGCCCATAGAGCTTGTGCTCCGCGGCAAGATAGCCTCTTCGTCCGTGGAGACCTTTCCAGTTCCTGCCTCGCTAAAAATCGTAGCCTTGGTTTGTGATAACCCCCAGTTCTCAGACCTATCATCCAAAGCCATGCTTCCCGGTTGCCGACCACTTCTTTTGCCATACCCATACTTCGGTGTCCGGGATTTGTTTGTAGAGATGAGGGAGCCGAGGAATGGGCGGAGCTTCTCTCTTATCCAGCCCCACGTCATCGGCAGGTTTGTCGTCGTGATTGCGACGAAGGATTCGCGGCAAGCCCAGGCAGCTCCTTCTTTAGGTCCAGTAGCATCGCTCTAATTTATTTCTCTCATTAGTATGTGGAAAGGAGTAGTAAACTTCAACCCTGGTGACAAACCTTGAGGATGGCGATGCCCCGAAGAAATCCGAAGATCATGGTCAAAAGACCCCCGGAGAATAAAACAGCCAGCCCAATCTTCTTCGCCTTCGGAAGCTGAGCTGTCCAGAGCATAGGGATAGGTATCAGGAAGAGATACATGTCGGTAAGAAAATTAAGGTACATGGACAGATGAATCGTGAGTTTATTCACTGCCGGCTCGCAAAAATCTAGTACGAAAGGTTAGCATCACGGATTTGATTTTCAAAAGGGAGATGAGATTTACACATACTACCGGGGTATGGATTAATCTGCCAGAATTTGTGGAATGGCTGGCAGCTCAGTAATACTGAGCACATGCAGATGATGTACGAGACAACGATGCTCACAAAGCCAATGTAAACACGCTTCCTGTAACCCGGAAGACCGGACTATACGTCTTGTCAGCATAAGACGTATACGTAGTATGCTTCATAGCTGGTACATACCGTCAGGCGCAAATAAAATGCGCACATTGATGCCTTGAGCGTCCAAATGAGTGTCATGTACATTGACCATCCTCCAATAATGGCTTTAGAGCCACCCACTCTGAGAATAAATTGTTAGTTGTCGGGAGCATTTTCAATCGGCCCATCCTTGTCTTCGCCAATTCGGTTCATACCTCAACGCATACTCGTGGCTGTCAGGTGAGAGTGCCTCGCGTTCTTCCGTCGTCATGTCGCTGTTCGTGAGGCCATGAAAGGTCTCTCCCACTTTGTACGCTATCGTGGTTTCGGCTACGAATGGTAGAATGCTGACGAGCATGAGATAGTCCTCCGGGCCCAGAGCACTGATTCCTCCTCCCCTCATCCGACAGTAAGTTCGAAAGGCGATGAGAAGAATGCAAAAGGCGAGATAGGTCAAGGCCTCGATGATGTACGGGTCCATCCCTTGGAGACCCGCGGCGTCTGAAGCCATGGCGCAATACTGGCTGCGTCGAAGACAGTCCCAACCATGAGCATATCGCAGGGACCTTTTCTTATTGCGGGGAGTTAAAAGAGGGGGGGAGGCATGCCGAGATAAATGTATGACTGGCAATACATAAGTTGACGTGCTTCTGTACGCGCGAAGTCCGACAAGCTTCCCCTGGAGTAATATATCGGCATCTAGATCGTAAGCTAGCGCCTGTCGGCAGTCCCGCCTCAGCTCAGCAACAGCCCTGCCCCGCTTCCTCAGTAATGTCAGCTCGTTTCCCTTGCATGGAAGGATTGGCTGTTTCATTCTTTCACAGACTAGCCACGCACCTTCACGGGCCCACTGCCGTTTATGACGTGAAGTGGTTGCAGGGGGGCTATGGCACGGGGAAAGATCTGCGTACTTCGGTTCCGGGCTGGCCAAGTCTTCCCGTCCCGCGCGGTGGCGATGCCACATCGTGTGTCCTGATCACTCTTCTTTCAGATAGAGCGCTTACACATGTGTCTAGCTCATAGTCAACATGGCCTACGTGATAGCTTAGCAGGTCGGACCACTAAGTTGAGCAAAAAGTATGAGAATGCCCGCCGCTTATGAGCCATAACATTACATCATAACCTCATACAAAACATACGCATACTGGCAAAAGGGCGGCTTCTGGTGTATGCCAAGCCCAGCCCGTCATTTGGCCCAGTGGCAAAGTGCAGTTGAAAAGGCGGCTCCTGTGCGCACTGCAACATCAACCGTGAGGGGCCATATTAGGGACAGCTGCCTGCTGGGAGGAAGGATAATACTTCCTTCCCTAATTGAAGCCCTTGAAGCTAGCCATTCTACTATTGATCGGGCAGAGACACGTTTTGGTACTGGTTGCAATCCTGCCACGTCGACCTTCCTGAAAGGGGCAGCCCCCAATCTTCTGACCGACCTGTGTCTAAGCCCCGGCTGCTTATTGGACGGGAGTATTCCGTTGAAGATCTGCTACCCAAGGGCGGTCCTTTGGTTGTCAGCGCGCTGCTTCTATTCGATGTTCACAAATTGTCGAAATGTGAGTGAGTACGAGCATCATTATAGACTTCATTTCCTATACTCTACGGCCCTTCTTCGTCTACCTCTACCACTCGCAAGTGATCCCCTAATTGGACGGATCGGCATAGCCCCCATTAATGACATTTAATGTGACATTAGCGTCGGCACGTCTCGCCTTTTGTCTCATTTTTAGTCCTTTAGCGGTTTTAGATCGCCAAAGATCAATCATGCGGTGATCCGGATAGTTGCATAGCATGAATGATCTGTCGGCCCTACACGACACCTCCCACCCGAATGTAGGTAGTGAGCTGAAGCTACTGCTTCTTAATGGGGTCTCAGTTCAAGTGTTGATAATCCGCTGAGTGATTTCCGTGAAACCGGAAAAATGTACCCCACGGCAGCGCATATACGCGCCCAATAGTCATCAAATGCCACTCACACCTTACTCATCCTCCGCTTTGGGGACACATCCAATTTGGTGGATACGACGAGAAAAGCAGGATTAGAGGAGCTTGGTGACATTTGATTAGTGACCGTAATGCAGCCTATAGCCCTTGCGGCACCTATCTCTACCTGCCGGTTCCGAAATGCGGGCAGTTAATATGCTTCACGTACTTCATAGATAATACCGAGTCCACATCTAAAGGAATGCCTCGGCTCCCTTTGAAGCCATGCTTTGATTGGCGCAGATCCAATCCTAGTCCTGGCGGCGATGAACAAGGCATCAGGCCCTTGCTTCTTTGCAGGGCTGTTGCAGGGCGGCCGACACAATGTAGACTAATTCATGCTGTAAATCCCAATGAGCTATATACAAGCAGATAAGGTTGTCAAACCATGCCAAAACTATATTATCCTTGAAAGAGAAGATCAAATGACCTAATTCTCGATTTCATCACTCCACTTCAACAGATAACTTATCCATGTATAGAATAAAACCATCTAACAATACGTTAGTGGACACAAAAGTTCAATTGTTCATTGGTTGTTCGTCCTTTGAATGTTGAGGATTTATAATTGACCCTGCTATAGACATAGTTTATATCAAGCAGGAGCAGAAGAAATTTTTATAATTTCATGACCACCCTATTTTCCCTTCCGAAAAGAAAGCCATTTCCGTCGAAATTCTACCCGTCTCCACGGTCATCGTTGAGGTGCCCAGCGTCGAATAGATTGTGATTTATTCTCAAGTATACAGCAACTATTATCCGGATTCAATTCATATAATACATGAAAGAGTTCACATTACATATTAGGCCTGATCAGTCCTATGAAATGGTAGCCGATTTATTTGGCATGCGAGGAGTCGCATATAACCTCTAAATTAGAATTACTCGACAACAGACAAATCAACTCACCGTAACAACACATGCAACCAAACAAGAAAAATAGGTTACAAGCAAGAATGGAAGAAGAAGAGTGAAAAGTGACATGATATCGACATTGTGGTGAGTTCACATTTACGTACTATTCTCACTTGTTAGAATCCTCTTCTCGAGACCCACAATAATCAGGCAGCTAACTTAACCCAGTGAACTTTTTAACGGTTTAGAAAATGAGTCTCACGCTTTATATACCTCAGCGATTCCGTGTATCAAGTGCAGCATATTTCAGTCGAAGCCTATCGCTTTCTTGTTTCCTTGTTTTCCAAATTTCGTTTCCCAGAGCAAAGGCATCTTCGTTCACTATGGCGGCACCATTAGAAATCTGGGGAATGATAATCAGGAATTTTGTCGAGCCGTTTGGGCAGCGACCAGATGCCTCCGAGGCAACAATTCAGGAGGAAGTTCTTAATCGCAGAACCATTGCGATACCCTTAGAAATCTTGGGAATGATATTCAGCCATTTCGTCGAACCGTTTGGGCCGCGATCAGATGCTTCCGAAGCAACAATTCAAGAAGATGTTCTTAATCGCAGGACCTTGGCATCACTTTGTCGTGTCTCCAAGTCATTTAATGCTGTTGCGACCGGCTTGCTGTACAGCCAAATACGATTATTCAACGGAGACATTCGTTTTCTCACTCGCACAATCCTGCAGGACCAGTCCAAGACAAAGGGAAAGCTAGTAAAACGACTGAGCCTTGAGTTTGAACTAGCTGGCCATTGGGAACCAGAGACTATTGAACCGGAAAGGGCCGCCCGTGTGCCGGCAGCCCGAGAAGAACAATGGGATTATGCACGTTGTAGGGACGAAGCACTTTCTGTTGTCGGGCTGGAAAATGCGGTGACGTCTGCGGCCGATGGTTGGGAATTTGATGCCTCTGAGTTGGAGAAACTTGATCTCGAGGACAAGTTCGAAGAAGACCTGGCAGCAGTCTTGCTCTTTCTCTTGCCGGGGCTTCAGTCTTTGCGAATCAAATTGGATCCCATGACTAGTCTGGTTGACTCAGAGGCTGCTGGGTACTGGAGATGCGATATGTTGATGCAGACTCTGAGGCTACCTTATTGGTATTACTACATGAATGCTGGACAGCATCCTGGTAGCCATGGGACTGAAGAACACGTCAAAGGTCTCATTCCGGCGTCGATTCTGAACCTCGTGCAACTCATCATGTGCAATCCATTTGAAGAGCCCGGTACCATCAAATCCACATATCCACCCTTGGTGTGGTCCCCTCTCGAAGACCTTCACCCGTTGTGGGCGCTCCCAAAACTCAAATCTTTGACACTCGAGCGTACCTCATGGGGTTATGATCGTGCCTCATTCGATCGACCGATCTTCTCACAAGAATATTACACAAATTCTACTTCATTGACACATTTCACAAAGTCTACCTCACTGGAACATCTCGAGATCCTCAACACGGCAATCGCACCGACAATACTACCACACCTTCTAGAAGGCTTCCCTTGCCTTCGTTCTATTAAATATGAGCTCGCAGATACATACAGCCTATTGTATCAAGACTATCACGACCCAATCATGACAGTTGACATGCTAGATGCGCGTGGGATACAGGATACTATCAGACGTTGCAAACCTAACTTGGTGAGTATACATGTCGAAGCGGTTAAAAGGGAAGACCTTGATGAAGAAGAGCTAGCCGCTCTGGAAGGCACAGGCGAAGAGCAAGAAGTGGATGATGAATAGGACAGTTGTTGAACAGCTAGCATAGTGGATCGGGAGTTGACTGTTAGGCGTCGATGTCATCAGAGCAACCTTCATCGAGATACCTTCCTCAACCACTAATCTCCAATACGGGGGCTTCTTTCTTTGCTTCTTTCTTTCTTAGCCAATTCTCGGTGTTATCGGTAGTTTTCGCGTTGAGCTCTAGCTGTATCAATATTTTCTGGACAACGCTCGTCATGTGACAGTGTTGGGATGCCAGTACTACAGAGGCTCCCAACTCCCAAAACCACTCTTGTTTCTTCTTTATATATCCCTAAGCACTCTTACTTTTATTTCCTAATATCTATAGCCGAGATTCCCCCTAAACAATCATTATTATGATTATAACCGTGATTAGCGTTCCAAGACCATGTAGATTGAATAAGGAAAGTGTCTGTAGGGTAGGTCGCACGGGCTTTAGATAATTCGGGTCCGACACTCCGACTCCGACTCCGACTCCGACTCAGTAATTACGTGCTCCAGTTACGCGTTGGAGACTGAAGAGGTGAGATTTTAAGCTCTTATAAACCCGAGACCGGCGGAGGAATTGGGGGGCGGAGAGCAGAATCCCCCATCAATCAAACACGCCGTTCACGCCACCAAAGTACTAAAATGACAGCCCCCAAACATGAACCTCTGCAGCTGGAATTAGCAACAGTGGAGGATGCTCCAGAACTGACCGAGGTCTGGTTCGCCGCGTTTCAGGACCCAGATTTGCGGCGTCTATGGCCTGACACTGACGGAGTGCGCCAGTGGTGGACAGATGCCAACAGCCACGATATGCGCCAGAAGCCCTTCCAACGCTTTGTTAAAGTTATCGACCCTGATACCAAAGACGCGCGAGGACGGCCGCGGATCGCTGCCTATGCCAAATGGGATCTGTCCATGCCTGATGAGAGGGGACGGCGATATCCTCCCTGGCATGCGGACATGCCGGGCGAGGAATGCGATGCTTTTTTCCTGAGGGAGGAAAAGGAGAGGGAGCGAGTCATGGGCAAGGAGAAACATTACTGTATTGCCCTCAATTCTGTCTTACAATATTTTACAGCTAATTGTGCAGTAGACCTCGACACAGTCGCGACTCATCCTGACTACCAAAGACGAGGGGCAGGTTCGATGCTGCTGAAATGGGGATGCGATCTTGCGAACCAGAACAGGATTTCTGCGTATGTCGATGCTACCAAGGATGGGGCGCGTTTATATGAAAGGTTTGGTTTTGTGGACGAGAGCCAGCCGGACTCGGGTAATGTAGCCTCAATGGCTCGGCGGCGACAGTAGGATGTTGATGCGATGCAACCATCTCATCTCATCTATTCCTTACGCAATTACTTTCGCGCACACAAGACCTTGGATCAATAAATAGAACCTGATATGGTCGTTTGAATTGTCAATTGTCACGTTCAACATTGATAATTGAATAGAAAAGTGCCAACTTTTGGTTGACACAGCAAGATATATACACAAGAATGCGCAACTTTCTTCAACTACTAACAGGGTGCCAAAGAATTCTCTGCCTGATCCACACGCCGAGTCTCAATAACAGAGGTTCTTAAACTTAGTAGGGCTTCTCTCCGATGCTGTCGAATTGTTAGTTACCATAGCTAGCATGATATTGAGGAGAGATACTCACTAGTTTCCAGGTGGGGAGTAGCGGGCAACAACATAAACAGAGCCATCGCTTCCCGAGGCCTTGGCCATGCCGACCTTGGTAGTGCTCTTCCAAATAACCTGGGCTTTAAAGAGGTGAGCAATGTGCAAATGCCAGCAACGAAAGAACTTGGATGTCTATGCTTACTGTAATGGCCAAAGGTCAGGTAGTTAGATGAGTCGATTGCTTCTCCATTGTAGCTGCTCTTCTCGGAAACGAAAGCCTTAACAGCATCAGTGTAGGGTGTTGAGCCCGTGTACGTCTGGAACAGACACTCGCCCTGATCCGAGACGCTCGAATGCTCAAGGCTACCGAGGCTAGCGAGATGATCGGCCCACTCCTGGGCATCGGCGACAAGACCGGTATCCCACACAAGATCAGCGTTGCCAACTTCAGCTCGGGCGTCGTTGTGGGCGTCAAGGGCGGCCTGCTCATCAGCTGTAAGAGAGGAGGTGCCCGGAGAAGAAGCGGCAGATGAAGTGGCGGCAGGAGCTGAGGAGGAGGTAGTCACGACAACCGAGGACACAACGGTCTGAAGCGTTGTGGGCTGGACGACTGGCGTGGATACAGTGGGGATTTCGATGATATCCGTTGGCCACTCAACAGAACCGGGAGGAGTAAACTGGCTCGATGGGCGGATTGGTTGAGAGCTGGGGGTTGGGATGGAAGGTGTCCTCGTTACTGCACTTGTTGGTCGTCGAGAGCGAGAGTGGTGGGTTGAAACTGGAGTATGCGAGACTTGGGGGACAGTTCTAGTCTGCCCGACTTGTCCACTTTCGGAACAGGGCTTGCCTCGTGCAGCAATGGCATTGCCTGCCAGAAAGGCAACGGAGAGGATTGAGAAGCGCATTTTGGAGTTTGTGTGTACGAAAACGTCGCCAGGACGGGTTGTTGGTTAAGAAAAAAGGAGAGTGGTGGACTGGAATCAACCAGGTCGCAATGCTGTAAAAAAGGAGTGACTGAAAGGATGACCTTGATCCTGAAGATCAAAAGATTTCGTGACACTTCACGGAACACATCGACCTTTAATATACAATTAGTGGTGTTGGCAGTGGATGAGGAGTCTTGGCCATATTTGCAGCGGAGGCTCGGCTCCGTGTTTCACCAGACTGTCCCAAATCTGCGGACGCACATTAAGGAAAACTTATGATACATGACACACTGGGAAAGAAATCAGGTATTTTACGCGAGCCAATATCCGCTGGGTTAGGCAATTTAGACTCACATGGCATGCTGGTCAAGGACCCTGGTGTGCGTTGCAACAAAATTCATCAACGACAATCAATGAATGGGTAAGAGTAAGGAGAATAAAAGCAGCCTTTTTCTATTCTCCCTTTAAACAACAAGGCATTTATCATTTTTTATACAAAGTAACTGTTGGATTACGAGGAAACATCGACCAAAGGCGCAGCCTGTAACCACATATCGGACCAGAGTGCTTTTTTCACACTGGATCGCCTTCTTGTCTCAGATCTGCCACGCGTTTCTCGGGGATGAGAGACCTGTTGGGTCAAATTTGCAGAACGTCCACAGTGAGCTCCATGGCGACATCGAGCAATCTTCGAGCAATTTTGAATGAACGCGCCTGCTCTGTAATTTGATGACTAGAAGGGCTAATTTTTGGGACGATCACAGCACTTCGTTTGAGTGCTGGTTTCAGACCCTTGGCTCCCGTGTCGTAATCCCAGCATTCTGGAGCTGATGCCAGGGTCGAGTCTGAGCAGCATCCGACCTAGCCGCTTCATTTCGTAACAATCGCATGACAGCACGCAGGAGTTTGGAGATTCTTTGATTGATCAATCTAGAGAATTGTTTGAGGCTGGCTGCTCAATTCTGACCACGACGATAGCCGATTGCGACATGACGAGTTCTTCAGGAAGCGCCACGTTGTCAAGTTCGCATTCAACGAACATCAAACAGTTAGCGTTTTAGGTTTCTGATGGGCGCTTACAGATGTCTCAATAACCTTTCAAGATGGCAATGGTCAGAAAGTATCTGAAATATTATTTACTACCAAAGTAACCCATCATTCAACTCTTGTTGGCTACTACTGAGCGCACCGATTGTCTGAGAGCAGAGTGACCAGGTCTAGCCCTAAATCTAGACCAGGCCCTGTGGAAACTCGGAGAGGTACGCGAGGCAAGGGGCTTCCAGGGGCGAATTTAATCATCGGTCTCGATTGATGCACGCACCTCGTGCCGAATGGTTTACTTGCCTCTCAGCTCGTATAGCTGTATCCTGGCCTAATCTCGGATCACGGGATGTCTTTGGAGAGCACAGGCTCCATGGATGCCCGAAATCATGTGTTATCCTCATTTGGTCTCTTTAACGTTGCTCTCTTTGCAAAATCGTATCTCAAGGTTTTGCCTAGCACCAGAATTTACCCTCTTATAACATGTACATTTCCTGGCCGAGATGTCAGGAGACATGCATAGGAACTATTGGTTCAAGTCAACTGGTACTAGTATCAGTCTCCCACCGCAGTCACTCAATAGTTTGCTGTCTGCACTAATGCGCTCGATCGTCCTTGGAACAATGTTTCAACTATATGACTGCAGCATGAACATAGTTCAGGCCACCCTTCGTTTACTACAGGTATTTCCTAGTTCTCTTGCGTCTACTGAAGACTGCCAATGATTGCTATGGATCAAATACAACCAGCTAACAATGAATAATGGCAAGACAGAAATGGCGGGCAACCTCTACAATGGCGCCACCAGATGACATTCGATGATGCGTTAGGCTTGGGAACTGACTCATGCGCTTTGTTATCTTCATCCTCCCGTTGATCCCTTATACTTCTCGATTTTCGTTCCGAGGCCTAGAATTATTGCTTTCACTAGCTGCGCGACTACTCAGAATGCAGCCTTTGGTCATCTTGAAGATCTGGTCAGCTCGCGGGAGGGAAACCGACGAGTCTCCCTTGGTGACAACGAACCGTTTTCTGCAAGTAGTCACTGTTCCGCGGGTGGCGTCTCACCCGTGGGCTGTAGATAAACCAACGAGTCAGGATTCTAGGCCCGGCATTGCACCCAAGCGTGGGCTAGAGACCAATAAGGAGGGTGCTTTGTAATGGCGGCTACCTATTAGCACTTCACGTGTGCCCTTCTCCCCGACATTTTTGGTTTGTCGGCGAGATCACCCAGGAGTGACATGCCCTCGGTCATCTTTCCTATTCGCCGGGATCAGCAACGTTCCTTTCTAGCGCTGGCTGGCTGGAGGAAGAGCAAAATTATTTCCCCACATTCACTACCCCAGAACGCTCCCCCGCAACCCGGAGTCTTCCCCTCAATCTGTATAGATATGGCCATGGCCTGGATCTCATTGTCCTGATTATAAAACTCCCCAGGACAGTTCAAGCATACCTGGACCGTCTCATCCAACGAACATTCTTCAAGTTGGTTATCTATTCAACATCATGTCGATTAATTCTGGTACCATTACCAAAGACATGGAGGGTGGCGATGTCAAGCACTTGGAGACGAGCGGTAGGGGAGGGCTCACGGCCGAAGAGATTGACTTTGTCGACAACTTCCCCGAAGAGAAGCGCAAGAAGGTGCTCGCCAAGATTGATGTAAGTCTGCCGCGCGGTTGTCTATTCGAAGATGATCAACTCTAACATGCATAGTGGCGTCTGATGCCTATGCTGACCATCCTCTACCTGGTGGCCTACATCGACAAAGCGAACATTGGCAATGCTAAGATTGAAGGCTTACTCGAGGATCTTCACATGACGGGAGATCAATACAACATTGCGCTCTCCATCTACTTCATCCCATATATCCTTGCCGAAGTCCCAAGCAACATGATCCTCAACAAGTTCGCGCGCCCGTCCCAGTACATGGCCTTGATCATGTTTCTATGGGGTGGAATGGTTGTGAGCACCTCTTTCATCCACAATTTCGGACAGCTCTGTGCCGTTCGCATTCTGCTCGGTTTATTTGAGTAAGTTGGTATTTCATCAGTGAACAAGAGAACATATTGCTAACGAAATTCTCAGGGCTGGCTTCTTCCCCGGTGCGCTCCTCATCATCTCGAAATGGTATCTCCCCTTCGAAACTCAAACCCGTGTTGCGATTCTATACACCTCGGCCGCTACCGGTGGTGCCTTCTCCGGAGTTTTGGCCTTTGCCATCGCCAAGCTCGGCGGACAAGGTGGCCTGGAGTCGTGGAGATGGATTTTCCTCATCGAAGGCCTTTTCACAGTAGTGGGAGCGATCGGAACTTATTTCCTGCTCGTTGATTCTCCTCAACTATCTGGTTGGCTCACCGAGGAAGAGAAGCGTTATCTGACTCTCCGTCAAGCGGCCCGCAGCGTCGTCAACGTCGGAGAAAAGGGTGAACTGAAGGCCTTCGACCGGGCAGCCCTCTTCGATGTCCTCAAGGACTGGAAGGTATACCTTCTCACCATCATGTCCTGGTCCAACGCCGCACCCAACTATGGCCTGAAGTTCTCCATGCCTTCCATCACCCAGGGTATGGGCTTCACATCTGCCAATGCTCAGCTGATGACTATCCCACCCTATATGTGTGGTGCCATCTCGTCATACGCTCTCTCACGACTTGCTGATAAGTTCAAGTGGCGCATGCCCTTCATCGTTGGCCCCCAGATCTGTGTGTTGGTGGCCTTTTCAATTCTCATGGCCAAGGCGGAGTTTATCAAGCAGAATCTTGGTCTTTGTTATTTCGCTGTCTGCCTTGCTTGCGGTGGCATGTACCCTATCCTGCCTGGTGTTACCGCATGGAACGTTGACAACACTCCTAATGCGGCGAGGCGAGCCATCAGCATCGGATATCTTGCTTGTGCCGGTACGATTGGAGGTGTCTACGGTAGCTACATCTACAAGGACAACGAGAAGCCAAAGTATACCACTGGATACGGTGCTTCACTGGGCTTTGCTGTTGGAGGAATTCTTGCGGCCCTTAGCATGGAGTTTATCTTGTTCACGATCAACAAGAAGCGGGCTCAAGTCAGCGAGGCCGAGGTTCGGGCCAAGTATACTGAGGATGAGTTGGAGATTATGTCAGATCGCAGCCCGCTCTTCAAGTATCACCTGTAAAGTGCTCTTGGCTACTGGATTATTCGGTAAATTTGAGGGGTAGTGTGCTGAATGATGGATAAATCAGACGAAGTTGTTTCTTCAGGATTTCAGTTTGTCGTATCTTAGTAAGGAATTGAAGAAGATAATTGGGAGAGAAACTCAGAAGTAATCCAACATTAAGCATATATTTTGATGTTAACATGAAAAATCCCTTTGAACTCATGAGCGAGTAGAAATTGAATATGGCTGACTTAATTCATTGCTTTTATCACTATTGCCATACATTGAGATATTGAGGTTTAGACTGCGTAGTTGCTTTTGCCCTCTGTCTAGTTCTCCAACTTTATCTGTGCATAAGGTAATTGATAGCACCACTCTCCTGAGTATAACTCAAGTTCACTTTTTGCCTTGTATGATATATGCTGATTCGTGCATTCATTGGGTGCTTGAAGTATAATATTAACTTGGGTTCATTTTTATTGTTTATCTACCACGTAGTCCATGAACGCTTGCTCTCAACCTCGCCCAGAACACCCAAAGTCTTGACAGCCCATGCCTTCATCTCCTCACTCACAGGCTGATACGGCCTCCTCATCTCCCAAGTCTCCTCCTGGTCAAGCCCGATGTTGCGGCCGAGGAAATACCAGCCTCCATACTTGGTGATCGCGATGCCCTTCTTGCAGGCCCACTCGGCATTCGCCACCAGGTCTTGCAGCTTCTTAGCCTGCTCGAGCTTGCCCTCCTTCCAGAGATCATACACAGCAGCGGTGGAGCCGGGGAAGATGTTGCCCATGCCCGTGACGCAGCCGCTTCCGCTGGCGTGCAGCGTGGGCAGGAGATAGTCACTGCTTCCGCCGTACACACCAAACTGCTCGGGGCTGAAGATGCTCGTTAGTCTTGTGAGCTTGCCCACGTTGCCACAGGTCAGCTTCGTGGCGGAGATGTTGGGGTGTTCTGCCAGTGTGGCGAGTTGATCTGAGTCGAGATCAATGCCTCCCGTGACAGCTGGGAAGTTGTAGACGATAATGGGGATGGGAGAGGCATCTGCGACCTCTTTGAAGTATGCTATCAGAGCAGCCGAGGAGAGAGCCTTGGCCCAGTAGCTTGGTGGTAGAAGTAGGGTGAAAGAGGCACCAGCTTCAGCGGCGTCCTTGGCGTTGATAATGGTCTCATAGGTGGACTGTGCGGATATTCCTGCAACGATGGGGTAATCAGGCTTCCCAAGGTCTTTGACAGCCCGGACAGCCGTTACGAGGATGGCCTTGCGTTCTTCTCGAGTGAGGAGAGCTAATTCTCCGTTGGTGCCGAGGTAAACGAGACCGTGCATGCCGGCCTGCACCAGAGCCTGGCACTGCTTGTACATTGCATCATGGTCAACTGGTTGGGACTTGTCACCAGCCTTGTACAGTGTTACCACGGGGGTATACACGCCCGGGGGCAGGGGTCGTGCCTTGGGTGCCAGGGAAGCTCTCTGCATGATGGATGTTGATAGAGGATGGGCGCTAAACAAAGTAGGATAGGGTGGTAATCGGCTGTGGCAGAGGTGTGCTTGTAGGGTAGAAGATATGCCTGGGGCTAGGAGCAGGAAGAAGTGTAATTAGGCCGTAGATTCTTGAGGAATGCAGTGTGTCAGCCCTCGGGCATGTGTCCGAGGCCAGTTTGGGGCTGTTCCGCACTCGGAGACAAGACCGGCCCATCACGGCTCGCTTCTCCGCACTGCAAGTTGAGCTCGCCCCCCTGAGGCCGACCGAGGCCGAGAATTGTTGGAGGAAATAAGGGATCGTGTGGAGCTAAATCCAATTTATTGTTTACCCTCGTGATGACTCCTGCATTTGTGCGTGGACTCTTTCTCTTTTAGTCAACAGGGGATGCAAGAGAGAGCTCCGATTTATCGCACCCTTCTGCGTTACTTGCGTCCTGCTCCATACATATCTAAAACGGCACTATGACAGCTGAATCAACACAGTTGAAGAAGTTCACATTGAATGACTTGCAGAAACACAGCACACGAGACGATTGTTGGATAGTTGTCCACCAGAAGGTGTGGGATATCACAAGTTTCATAGACGAGCACCCGGGCGGCCCTGCTGGTAAGACTCTTTCTCTTCGCATGTCTTATGAATCTTATACTCATGCTATCTTAGTAATACTCAAATACGCTGGAAAAAACGCCACGTCGCTTTACGACGCAGTTCACGCACCAGATATCATCACCGAGGAGCTCCCCAAAGACAAGCTCATGGGTTTGTTAGAAGACGTCTCGCCAGCGGATGGCGACATCCAAGCTGCCCCCGAGCCCAAGCCAGTGCTCAAGTCAGTTCCCAAGCCAGTGGAAGAGTCTGTCGTGGAAGATGATGAAATCCCACCCCTTAGTGGGATATTGAGTTGCAAGGACTTTGAAGTAGCAGCCTCAAAGGCCCTCACCCCCAAGACATGGGCGTTTTACTCGTCAGCCGCCACAGACCTTGTCACTCACCGCCTGAACAAGGAAGTTACGCGCCGCATTATGCTTCGCCCGCGTATTCTGAGAAATGTTTCTAATGTTGACATGAAGACGACAATTCTGGGCAACCCAGTCTCAGCACCATTCTTCATCTCACCAGCTGCCATGGCGCGACTTGCTCATCCCGATGGTGAGCTGGCGCTCAGCCGAGCATCTTCCAACCAGGGAATCATTCAAACAATTTCCTCCAACGCTTCTTTCCCCATGCGTACCATCATGGGTGTTGCGCCACCTGAGTACCCTTTCTTCTTTCAGCTCTATGTCAACTCCGAGCGGAAGAAGACGGAGGAGATTCTGAAGACGGCGAGGAACCTCGGCGTCAAGGCAATCCTGGTGACGGTGGACGCTCCCGTACCAGGAAAGCGAGAGGCAGACGAGCGAGCTGCGCAAGAGGGCACTGTCCGCTCGGCTATCAGTGGTGGAGAGAGCAGCAAAGACAAGAAGGGCAGTGGTTTCGGGCGATTGATGGCGCAGTACATTGATAAGTCCCTGAACTGGGATGACTTGGCTTGGTTACGCCAGATGTGCGGCGACATGAAGATTGTGCTGAAGGGTGTTCAAACAGCAGATGATGTCAAGATTGCTGCTGAATATGGATGCGATGCTGTCGTCTTGAGTAACCACGGTGGAAGATCGCTCGACGGGTAAGATAATGCTGTCCTCATCCTGAGTCGAGACTTTTCGCTAACCACACGCTCGTGCACATAGATCGCAGCCTAGCATCCTGGTTCTTATGGAGGTGCGCAGACGGTACCCCCATCTTCTGGAGAAGTTGGAAGTATATGTCGATGGCGGCTTCGAGCGCGGCTCTGATATCCTCAAGGCGCTTGCTCTCGGTGCTAAGGCCGTTGGCATTGGAAGGCCATACATGTATTCTTTGGTGTACGGCCAAGAAGGTGCAGAGCATCTTACAGAGAGTAAGTTCTTCCGTTCGCATACGCCTCATTCATTCCTGTTGTTCTGACTTTGTGTATAGTCTTGAAAGATGAACTGGAAACATCAATGAGACTCGCAGGACTCTCATCCCTTAGTGAAATTACTCCACGACTGGTCAACACCAGAGATGTTGATCATCTAGTAGACACGGGAGAGGATTCATCCATTGTCCGATCCAAGTTGTAGAAGAATCGTCTTTAGAGGGATAAAACAGGATAGAGGGAGACATACATGTAGATAGCATTTTGAGCAACTTTTTGGACTTGTCAAGAACATGAATTAAGACAATAATACTCCTTTGCTGCTTGACGAAAACGACCAAGATACAATTGCATGTGATCTGACCAGCAAAGCCTATCCCATTCTGAGCCAACCTGATGAAGCTAAAGCTGAAATTCCAAACGGATGAACCCGGTAAAGGAGATGAGATTAACGGGGCCAGACTCGAATCATGTGACAGTCCCCGCGGAAATGGAGGCCTTCCCCGCCTTTTTCGACGGGGAGAAATAAATCAAGCCCTGTCATGATTGCAAATACCACCAATTCTCGTTGGTCGTTCCAAGCAGTTCCCCAACCTTCGACGCGGCCTGCTGCCAATCGCTTCTGCCATGTCCAAGCGTCCACATGAAAGAGTCAACGGCTCGTCTCCGGCTCTGGTGCGTCTCCTCTCTACCCCCTTTTCCTGGATCTCGCTCCACCACTCACCGTGCCCAATCCCGGTTGCCCCTTTTGCACTGATGCTGACAAGGAATCCAAGCATCCGTCCAAGAGATATGTGGGAGGGGCCCAGAATTCTCACAACGGGCATCCGTTGCCGCAAATATCGCGGAACATCAAAGCATGTACCGTTTGCCGAAAGCACAAGGCAAGTCGAAACGCGACACACGTATTGCGAGCCAATCATACTGACAATTGACCAGATCAAATGCTTGATGTCAGATGCCGGGCCTCCGTGCCAAAGGTGTCATGAAAAGAAGCTGGACTGCGTTGTGAGCAAGAACCTACAGAGCATTATCGATGAGAAGACACAGTGAGTTTTACCACAGCTCAACACGGTCTCTTAAGCTGACCTGGTCATAGATTATCTGAGGCTGTGCTCTCAGATCTCGAGTATCTGTATGCGGCCGTTGGAGAGATGCGGGAGGCTATCGGCATGCCTGGTTTGCTGCCAATGCAGATCACACAGTTTCAAGATGGGAGAACATCTGGCCCTACGGCACCTGCACAATCCCTCGCCATCCCACCGGCTGGAAATGAGGCAATAGGGCCGTCGTGTGACAACTCCCCGAAGCTTTCTCCCAACGACAGTGACCTACCACACATACCAATCCACTCACTGTATACACTGACCAAAATGCGCGCTCTTCGATCTCCGGACAGCCAAGAGACAAGGCAGACGGATGCCATTAACGATTTCATTTCTCATGGGAAGCTTGCCCTTAATGATGCAGAACGGCTCTTCACTTATTATCGGGACACTCTGGACGGATTTATGTACTCCATCGGATGTCGGTACCAGTCGTTGGATGAGTTGCGCCGGAAGAGCCCGATTCTCTCCGCCGCAACCTTGACGGTAGCCGCGATGCATGATCCTAGTGCCAACGAGCAATATGGTGTTTGTCGAGCCGAGCTACGTAAACTAGTGGAACGGTCTATGCTGGGAAGGCAGGCGGACAAGGACTACTTTCGAGCTCTAAGTATTGCGGCATACTGGCTGAGCGATCTCTCATGGACACTATCAGGACACGCCATCCGCCGAGCCACCGAATGTAATATTCACAACAGCTTCAGCCAGGCTGTGCAAGAACAGAGCCAAGACGCGGTGGACTGTGCGAGAATATGGTCTATCCTGTACATTTGCGACCAGCACCTGGCAACTTTGTATAGCCGTCCAGCCATCATTCAAGATGATGGCTCTACGCAAAATTGGGAAGGCTTTCTGAATGCTCCTTTCGCTACCAAAGAGGACGAGAGACTGATGAGTCAAGTTGAACTCATGGGCATCACTCAAAACATAAGGCAGCTCTTCGGACCTGACAACGGGCAGCCGATTCCAAAAATGTACTTGAACCAGATATCACACTATAACCGACAGCTGGGACAATGGATCGCCAAGTGGAATGTCCGACTTCCAGGTAAACCCCCTTTCTTTCATCACCCCCAGACATAAACCCCAAAGCGCTGACCTCTTCATAGCCCCCGGCTTTCCACGGAAAGGAGCCCAACTGCACATGCATTTCGTGCAGCTCTACCTCTATTCGCACGTCTTTCGTGGCCAGTCCAGCCCATTGCCTAGCTACTTCTTTGACGCTGCTTGTGTCGCTGTGGCTGCCGCTTCCACAATCATGGAATTCCTCTTGACTGACCCAGACCTCTGCGCTGGCATTGTCGGAATGCCTTCCTACCTGCTCTCCATGATTGCGTTTACGGCCATGTTCGCAGTCAAGGTTGCTTCTAAGTTCAAAGACGATAACTTGTTAACAATTGAACAAGCTCAGACCCAGATCCTCAGGCTGGTGACACTCTTCCGGTCATTGAATGTGGGCAAGTGGCATTTAGCAAATCTGATGGTGGAGGGGTTGGAAAAGCTGGCCAAGTTTGTTGAGCCGACTATGGAGAATGGATTCCATCCACATGACGGGACGAATGCTTTTCCGATGCACACAGCTGATGGCATGGCTGTGTTTGCCCAGACGATGCCGTTCAATCATGTCATGCCCAAGGTTGATGGAATTCCTTGCCCTGCGCTCGACACAACGTTCGGTCTGTCCCCTATTTTTGGCTTCGACCCATCGTGGCTAGAGGATGGGACGCTTGGTGAACCGATGCCTACGCATGATGATGACAGTCAGCATATAGCATGAGCAGTTTGTATGTCCTGTATTATGTACAATTCAATCTATACCAAGCTCTTTACATTCCCTGTATTTTCCGAGGGCGATACTCGCTTTCCAAGTACTCCAACTCCTCTTTCGTGAAATCAATAGCCAGTGCCTGAACTACTTCCTCCACTCTCTTAACAGAATTCAACCCTAGAATCGGGTAACATTCCTTCTTTAGGACCCAGGCGGTTGACAACAATGCCATACTGACCCCCTTCTTCTTGGCGATCTCCTCGACTCGATTGACGATGTCCATGTTTGCGTCAGCAAACCATTTATCTGTTTTCGCATCCAGGCCACTACGCAGTGACTTTTCGGCTTGGTTCTCTTTCTTCAGTGGTTTCGCCAAGAGTCCTCTTGCGATGGGGCTCCAGGGGATGACGCCAACTCCGGTTTCTTTGCAATAAGGGATCATTTCTCTCTCTTCTTCACGGTATAGGAGATTATGGAAAGGTTGCATGGAAATAAACTCCGTCCACCCGTTCGACTGTGCGATGTACTGCAGTCTCTGGAATTCCCACGTATACATGGACGAGGCTCCGATGTAACGGACTTTGCCAGACTGGACAACCTCGTGCAGAGCACGCATGATCTCCTTGGGCGGTGTTTCTCGATCCAGACGATGAATCTGAAGCACATCTATATTTTCACTTATCAGCAAATCGTTGCAATAACCACATATTAGCATATAGCCCTGTTACGGTTCTTACCGATATAATCAGTGCCCAATCTTTTCAGTGATTGATCAACTGCATGGAAAATATGCTTCCGGCTCAACCCCATCTGATTCACCAAGGGGCCATCATTGATCGATGGTGGTCTCGACTCATCATCCATGACCGGATTGAAGATCTTGCTGAGAATAACAACCTTTTGTCTAGGGATGTTGAACTTCTTCAACGCCAGACCGATGATTTCTTCCGACTTGCCGTTGGAATACGTATCAGCCGTGTCCCAGGTGTTGATTCCATTATCGTACGCTGCCTTGAGCAGTTCGAGCCCGTCCTCGGTGTCTAGAATCCATGGTGAACCTTCCCATTTGCTAGAGCCGAAGGACATGCATCCTAGGATGATCTTAGAGATCTTCAGGCCCGAATTTCCCAATCTGTACACTGTTATTAAGGAGAGCTTGAGGAGGGTCGGAGGCCTGAACGTACCTTACGTATTCCATTTTGAAAATAGGATGGTTCGCTGATGATTTCTCCTGGGGTGAGAGAAAAAGCTATTGATATTTTAGCGGAGTAGGTATTCGGTCCAGGAGCATTCCTACGCCGAGTCCCATGAATGATTGGCCGTGAGGGGCTCCCGGTGGATATCCGTAACTCGCAAGAAGTTGTCGGACTTGTTTCCGAGGGCGGGGAAGAGAGCGCGTGCGGGGAGAAGAGAGTGTTTCGTCACCACTGTGGAGACGGATCAAGAAGCGATCCGTGGCTGGAGGAGAAGCGACCGGGCGTCTCCCGCGGGATGCGGAGATTTTGGGCTGGAGAAGAGGGCACGGGGGACGGGGTAAGTCTCGCGGGGTACGATCATGGTTGTTTGCATACAGAGGGCCGTTGATTACATACCATACGAACAAAGGCCAACAGAGGCGTCTACTAAGATAACAGATACAGAAAAGTTCCGCAGTCAATACATACAAGCAAGCGCGCAAGTGGTTGCTTATGGTTTCAAATAGATCATATATGCAAATATCTCCCTATAACTCAACCCAATTTTCTACTTCAGAGATACGAATGTGCTTAATGTACTGCCTATGGAATGTGAACGCGACATGGAGAGTGTCTTTCCCTTCGACAGCTTCTACCCATGCGCTCGGATAGCTTAATTCCCTGTTCTCCTTCCCTGAAGAACTGTTCGTCATGCAAAATCCGTCTCCGTCCTCAAGAACCTTGGTCTTCCAAGTGAGACCGTTATCGTCAGAGATGCCCAGAGTGAGCTTCTTGCGGGCAATTCCCCAAATGGCTTCACGGCCACCCTTGGAAGCCTGGTTGGGGCGCTTGTCATCTTCGGGAGTAATATCATCATAGAGTCCTTGTCGCTTCAAATCGTCTGGTGAGGCGGAAGAGTCATTGAAAACAAGAGCAATCTTTCCGGATGACAGACGGGCAGCGCAGATGCCGCTGTTGGGGTTGGCAAGATCGAGAGGCTTCGGTGTGTCCCAATCGAGACCGTTGGTTGATGTCGCTCGGTACACTCTGTCTGCCCAGCGGCTGCGATAGAATGACACCCAGTTTGTCTTGCCGTGCTCCGGCTTGATGATGTTCATGTGGACAGCACCAATTCCATCAGACAATTGCTTCTCATGCCATGTCTTTCCCTCGTCTTTGGAATAGAAGACCCCGGAAATGTCATCGTTTCCAATCCATCTGCATCCAGGTTCATTTCTGCAGTAGAAAACGGGGAGCACCCAAGTGTTGTCGTCAAGAACGACAAGGGGCTGTCTGGAGAAAATCCCCTTTTTCTCGCCAAGGGGACGCGTTGGGCCCGACCAAGTCGCACCCCCGTCATCTGATGTGCGGGCTACCATGTAACACTCATCTTGGTTGCCAGCTTCTTGAGACGTATGGAATAGCCAAATTCGGCTTGAGTTTGGGGCCTGGAACAGGACAGGGTTCTGGCAGCTCCGACCCTCATCATATGAAATCCTGTTTGGTTGAGTCCATGCTGAAGCTCCAGGCTCTAGACGTGATAACCAGATGCTGACGTCTGGAAGGCCTTCTTGGGAGCCTCCAAAGAACACGCATAGAAGGGTTTTGTCAGCTAGTTGGAGAAGGTTTGAAGCATGACACTGGATTGTTGGGGTTGGGATGGCGAGACTCTGTGCTTGTGGCGCCATGACGAATGCTGGGTACACAAGTAAGATACCAAGATGGGGCAGAGAGGGTTTGGATGTCGGAAATTTCAATGATGGTCCTGGGTGAAAGATATTACTCCTAGTTATTCTTGATTCTATTCAGAGTTATAGAGCCGACGCTAATGGATCGCTAAAAATATTGCTCGGTCTCCAAGATTGGACGTGAATCAGGGCTCGGTCATCTGTCCGAGCCAATCACTTTCGCCATCGAAGTCTGTCTGCTCCACAGCAAGGACTTCTTGTCACTGACGTGATCGTGTTTCGACTGTTGGTCTGAAATTGGTACCCTTAATCCCAATCCCATGGATCTTCTTGTTCGTTTGACAGCTAGACTTCAGTCAATTTAACAAAGAGAATTTATACAACGTTTCTGTAAGATTGAGTGCCAGGTTCTTCGCCTATTTTTCTTTCTTCTTTTCTTTTTGGATTTCGCCTGCTTCTTTCTCTGTTTGGGGGACACTTGGAGGCAGACTATTTCAGTCATTCCTATACAAAAGGTTTCTTGAGAATAAGCATTCTCTACAAAGGAGGTTTTGACGACTTGGTAACTATCCCCTCACAAGACGACCACCATCTTGCTGCCACCTCCACCTGCTTCCATAATCCCATGAGCCTCCTGAATTTCATCCAGCCTGAAAGCCTTTACATTAAGTCGAAGCTTCCCTTGCTCGACATCCCCGATTAGCTCCTCAAAGGGTACTTGATGGAGGTCTTGAGGACCTCCTCCATACGCACAAAGGCGCACGCGATTTGGTAGCCCAATGAAGAATGGAGAAAAGTTCTCGAGCATCCATGAACCACCACTTTGGTTGCCAACGACGCAAACTGTACCTTTGTCTCTGGCACACAGAATACTGTCATTTATAGTCGGAGTTCCAACCAGCTCCATAACCCTATCAAACTTCTCATCATGCTGAAGCGGTTGGGAAATCTTTCCACCATCGATGATAACCTTGTCTGCTCCGACCTCCGAGAGTAATTCTTTGCGACCGGCGTTGCGTGTAGTTGCAGCAACGTACGAGGCCCCAAGCTTCCGAGCCAGTTGTATTGCACAAAGACCTATGGAGCTCGTACCGCCCCGGATCAAAATTCTGTCACCAGGTTGGACATCTAGACCAGCTGTGAGGGCTCCCCAAGTTGCCTGCAGCATTTCTGGGAGGGCTGATAACTGAGCAACCGTAAGGCTTGTGGTTGGTACCTCTCGCAAGTTTTCGATGGAGGCACAAGTGTATTCCGCATAGGAGCCGGGGATTTCTCGGCCCAAGCCACCCATACATGTAAAGACGCGCGATCCTATGGGAAGTCGCTGAGCGGTCTCAGCTTCGTTATAGCCCGAAATCATACCATAACACTCTATTCCTAGAATCTGGGGCAGGGCCATATGTCCTTGACCTAGGCGAGACAGCATTTCTATTCAAAAATGGGGAGGCAGTTAGCGTTACATAATGAGTAAGTACACAATATTCATTTTGGATTACTTGCCTCCGCGGTTGAGACCGAACCCCAAAATCTTTATGAGCGCTTGGCCAATAGCAGGTGAAGGAACTCTGACCTGGTGCTGGACGAGGTTTGAAGGGGATCCAGGTGCCTCGCAAATGATGGCCTTCATGGTATCTGGTGGTGACATGGTTATAGTAGCTAGAATAAAGCTGTGTTTGAAGTGAAGTCTCCTGTTGATATCTTGGGAAGTTTGAACAATAATAGAAAGGGGCCGAGTTCAAGTATCAGTTCTTGAAAGAGCCTTTATACCTCGTCAAAGAGTATATTAACTCCTGAATCCCATTACGATGCCTCCCACTTAAACCATAATTGTCCGATCTTGCGACTCTGAGTAGACGCGGGGATATTATCCCCGTTGATGTCCTCTGAACGCTGTTGGGGCTCCACACCACCGACTAAATTGTCGTCTCCGTGCGGAAATACCACAAATCCCCATTAAGAGAAAAGGGTATTGAACTAAAATGGTGGAAATAATAAAATCGAGGGAGATACGGGCTCTCGGACTACATGGCAATTGTCATGATGCTCATCGATACTCCTACGTATGATGTGGCGCCCGGCTACGGCAATTTCCAAGCTCTTGGCGTCAGACAAATAAAATAACACTAAGCAGACTCACAAATCAATTATTAGATATCGTTAATGTATGCACCAAGTAGGTAATCATAGTGGCGAGCCGCAAAACACGTCCCCGATATGTTCGCATCTTTAGCCCGTTAAGTATTCACAAGCTACCCTAGACATCACATTCTCTAAGTTACGAAGGCTAAAAATTGTTTTGTTATCGGACATAATAAATCTGCGTATCGGCTATGTGATGATCGGTATCTAGTGATCTAAGATGAGAGATCATGAACACTCTTTCTAGGTAAATTCAGATTAAATATTGGAAGTCTCACCTTCTGAGGTCTATACTGCGGTCTATTCCGTGGCTCCAAAACACTGGCTGCAGTCGCAAGAGAGATCAAACCCAGACAATACGAGGGCATCTTCAATCCAGCCAAATGTAATGAGAATTCCGTGTTTTTTATTTCATTTCGTTAAAATTAAGCCCCTTTTGGCTTTTCGCTCTTCCATCCGGTCCATAAGTACAACATAACATAGGTAACAAGTCATTAAAATGCCATCTTACTGCGATCCAGCCGTAGCACGAATGAATGACTGGAACTCATCCATATTACGAGTCTGCACATATACAGAGCCCGGCCCAGTGAATCGGCAGACGAGACCCTCGCCAGTCTTCAGACTCGTGCTTGCGCCGCCACCAGCTCGCTCAATCTTGTAGTCACAACTCCAAGCTACCAAGTGGCCGTTGTCCACAATGTGTTGCTCACCAGGTTGAAGCTATCATAAGAAGTTAGTTCTTATGCCCCAAGATACAGATTATAAGGGGGGTGCGACTTACATCGAGGCGATCAACGGCACCGAAACTCGTCAACCACATAATACCCTGGCCCTTTACATGGTAGACAAACAGGTCCTCGCCAGAGAATAGGGCCTTGCCAAGGCCTTGGGACTTTGACTCCTTCGCCACGTCTGCCGTGCAGGCAAGGAAGGCATCCTTGCCAATGATCCAGTTTTGTCTACCGTCAATGTGGAGGGTAATAATGTCTCCAAATAAGGTTGGGCCAAGGGCGACCCTACCAGGCCCGGTGTAAGTAGACTCAGACATCTCACCGCCGGTGAAGAGCTTCTTCATGGAGAATTTGACCTTTCCGGTCAGCTTGATATCGCCGGACATGTGGATCATGGCTCCCGGCGCGGAGCGAACGTTGGCTCCCTGCTGGACGGTGACATTCAGCACGGCGTTCGTGTCACGGTGAGTGACGGCATAGCTGCCGCCTGGGAACTGTCCACTGTCTGAGGGGTGTTGTTGTTGGTGTTGCTGCTGCTGAGGGGCATGGAACTGCTGTTGCTGGGGATGACCCTGAGCTTGGTGGCCAGGGGGGGCACCAGGTGGGGGAGGGGGGTAGTAACCCTGCTGAGGAGGTCCTTGGTGAGCCATGATGTTTTTGGGTATCTTTGAATGAGAAGGAAAGAGATGATGAAGGAAGAAAATAGACAAAACCTTCTATGCTGGTGAACATATGTGCCTATTTATACTCGTGGACAGGATTCATCAGGCCTTGGGAATAGAAAACAGACACAGCCTAGATTAGCTAATTGGTGGGTGAATCAGGGTCCTCCACAGGGCTCAGCATGATGAGACGATCCCGTTTGTCCACTGATTTGCTTGTGATGGTCCCTTGTCAGACGGTTAGCATGGCCCGGCTGGCCCGATGGAACACTTAGGCGCCACGATAATGGACATGCTACCCCGAGACCCAATGGATCAGCATGCATCAATGCCCGCATTGCTACTTATGGCCTGTGTAATACTGTGAATCTTACCACGGAGGGTGCGCTCGGCGTCTCCATGCAGTCCGTGGACCAACGAATGCCATTGTTTCCAGCACTTGTCCTCACCAACCAACATCTAATGAGGTAATTACCGTAAGCACTGCATTGCTCTAAGTGAGACTACGTCATCTAGGTTGTGAAACACACGGTACGGCGAATCATCGAAGAGAACCACCAAACCATGTGGTCCCATCAGTTGTTCCGACTGCTCGTGTGGCTTAGCAGCGCTTGGAGGCAAGCCCCAACAACGGTTCAATGTAATCAGATATGTCCAGGATCGGCACACTAGAGGGCATTGCCAAGTTGCTTTACGCAATATTGTGGCACACGCATGGCCCACCCAATGAAGTATCCGTCCCATGTTGTGGCGGAGTTTAAGCTCAACGTTGACAGTGGCGGTGCTTGCGGAGTCCGGCTATTGTCTGAAGATGCAACACATCATAGGAGGCCTCGATCACTGACATAGCATACAGGCAGTGGTGCCGAGGGATGCGCATCACAGCAAGTCAATTCATGTGCGAAGGTTTGTACACAACAACGGAGAGACCACAACTCCGCCCCTAAAAGATGTCCGAATCGGGGCTCAATTGTATTTGCTAACATTATATCATAACAAAGTCTGTTTCCTCCCGGCAATATTCTGCTGCTCCTTCTCCGTGCATGATGCCGTGAATATATGTTTCTCCCACAAATGAATGATATTTGGCCTTGTTCTGCTTGCGCAACACTAATGGAACGGTGACGCCGTGGAGAATCGAGATTATGTCCCCTTCCTCGGCGTCGAGCGGCCCAAGCCCTATATATCCTTTCGCTGTAATAAGCAACGAGCGATTGAAACAGCGTGGCCGTATGCTCGCATAGAATAAGCTACGGTCTGGCCCTTTGGCTAAAGAATCGCTTCTCTTCCCATCCCTTGTCGAGAAACTGGCACTGGGCTCGATCCATTGTAAGAATTGAGCGTGACAGTCAGCCTTGGTGATGCTCCCAAGCCGCCCCCCAAGGAGGGCCATGAACATTGCCTCGAACCGACCACACGTATCTCGGTATGGATCAGCCTGGATGCCCCGAAGGCGTCGCTGCCAGCTTTTGATTGCATCTTGGAGCTGTTCCTCGAGGGAATTGAAACGTATGTCGTCAATGCCTCCTTTAGGAGACAGACCTGTTGGTACGACAATGATGACCTCATCGAATTGGAATCCCTTGGCTGCCATGAGAATATCGCTGGATAGAGTAGACTTCGGTGACCCTGGCCGGGTAAACGGGACCTCATCACCGGTGCGCTCGTAGATAAACCGAATCGATTGGCTGGTGTCTCCGCAGGCCTCAAAGCGTTCAATCTTCTGTGACACCGACTGCGACGAGCTCACCGCGTTTTGAAACCCTCCGTATTTATCACCGCTGCACCAAGATGGAAGGGTCAACCCCCCAAGTGACTCAGAGGATGGCAGAGTAAACCGGAACGTTCTGAAACCGTAGATCTCAATCAGGTGGACAAACAAGCGAACGAAGACCATATGATCCGATCCCCAGTAGTCAGGCTGAATATTAAGCTGATCACGAGCGGAAGCCAGTGATAGAACACCGAAAATGAAGTCCCGTAGAATGCTCTGGTTGAAATCCCGAGAAAGTGTCAACCAAACTGGAAGAGGAGCCCTGTGAATAGAGATATCACGCCGATACGTCTTCCACTGCCTCAGTAAATAGTAGAATGGGCATTTTCGGAAGAGCTCCTTGACAAGAACTTGCACGTCTCTCGTCACTGATAGATACTGAGCATGCCAGGTAGCTAGCTCCGCGAACTTGTCCATGCTAATAGATTCATTCCCAAGAATCACCACTGGTTTCTTGGAGAAGAATGCTTCTTGGATGACCCATCGCCGCCCCCACCAAGGCAGGCTGAGAATGCTGTTCAAATGGTCCCATTTGGCCAGCGGTGAATCCTTGTCGGTCCAGACGCTGCAGAACCTCCAATCATCGATTAAGGGGGGTTGGAGCTGGGGACTTGCTGCAAAGTGTTTCTGGCAGTATTCCTCCAACGTCTTCACCTCATCCAGAAATTTTTTTGGAGTCAGGGAGCGAAGGAAGCCCATGGCTATTCGGGATGACGGCGACCCTTTGCCCAGCCAAATCAGAGTCTTGGATGCTTGCTGATAGATGCGCGACATGAGGCTAATTTGCCAGGCCTTCTCGTTCAGGTCTGTCTGATTGATACATACTGCATCGACCCATATTCGAACCGTCTTCTCATCTTGGCGAATTCGCTCGATGGCAAGCCAAAGATTCCGATTCACGTCAATGCGGACGGAATCTACAAGAAGGTGGCCTGCGCTACGCGTGCCTTTTCGATGCGATCGTGGGAAATAATGGCCTGACTCCCACACATAGGAAAGGGCGAAATACTCGGCAGGGTCGTCGAGTGACTGGGTAGTCAAGGATGCCGAGATTGCATTGCGTTCGGAATGCGCCGAGAAGGGTTGTGTTTTCCGGGGGTGAATGGTAAGAAGGCGGATCTCATGCCGATCCTGGTCCAGTTTGCAGTACAGAGTGCTTCTTTTGCGTGATCTTTTCAGATTCTTCGATTGCTGTATGGCTCGAGTTGCTCCCTTTAGACCTGATGCTTGGGGAGATGGGTGCGCCATGCGCTCGGTGTTGATTATTGGCTCTGGAGCCATTCTGGCAAGCAGTCAAGGTTGTCCCGGTCGGAATTGATGATGAAGGAGGGAACTGTGGCGATGCTCGTCGATGAGGAGAGAAATGCTGATTTGTTCGTGGCGGAGCAACTCTTAGGTAGGCTTATGCAGGGTTGCTGAACACGCCAATCAACGTACCCATAGTCAGCGGGGAAGGGGCAGACTTGTAAGCATAGCCGTCAAATCAGTCCAACAGGATAAACTTCCCTAAAGATGAGTGCAAATGGACCAACTTTAGGACTTATATGTTGAAGCAAGTGGGCTGAGCAGAGGAAGATCTTGAATGGGTCTGTGGATAGACTCAATGGCACACACCTGGGCACGTTGCGGTCCAGCTTGCTGTATTGTTAGCTCTTCTAGCGAGTCTCGTCTCAAGAGATAAAATGTTTGAAAAAAAGCTAGATAGTACCCTCAGTAGCTCCCAGTTATAGGGCAATGTGCTTTCGAGCATATGTAAACGATAGAGTGAGTATCAGAAAACTAATAATACCCAACATCACAAATATGTAATTCATGGAACCCATATCAACCGACAGAGTATATAGATTACTATAGAATAAGAGTGATTGGCACCCAGCAAAGAAAGACAATGTTAGCCGAATGTCCCGGTCGGGATATCAGAATAGACCGTGCGGCAGATTTTACGGTCTGACAGGAGTAAAAGAATAGTCGGAAGAGCGTAACTGGCGTATTGCAAAACCGTCATTGAGGCCATTGTCCATGCGAAACGAGACCGCCAAACATGAATCCCTCAAGTGGCATCAACAGTTGAAATGAAGATGGGCATTTGGTATCTATTAGCAGCTGCCTCATTCCAGCTAAAAATGTCCTACATTGTAGACATGGCGGGGGTTTAGGAGGCAATCTGTCATGTTGACACACAAGGCGACGACTATGGGCAGGCCGGTGGCAAAGCCAACTGCAAAAGTCCACAAAAGGGCCTTGGGAACATTAACACTCGGGTTTGGGATTTCCTTTTAAATGTGAAGGATTGGATCGAGGCAAGAAAGCCCCCAGTTAAGCCCGATCAGAAAAGAAACGCTTTCTGGCCATGTAGAAGTAATAGACGACGTCACTACCTGACCGTCTCTCACGGGCACCAGCAAACAACTTAACGAAAACGGCGATCAGTAAAAGTAAGACGAATGTTAATATGCCTTTAGTGATTCGTGGTAGGAGGTGCTCGAAGAGGCTCAGAATCAACGTGATAATGTCCGTAGCCTCGTAGGTGACGAAGTACACCCATCGGCCGGGCTCAAAGCTTTGGTTCAGCAAACTTCCCAATTGGAAAAGCAGCGATGGTCCGACGACACAGACTGATGCACCTGTACTTACTGCGCCAGTCCAGCTGAGCAAGGCTATAGTATAGCGTAGGGGGGAAACGGCACGGACCCTAGGGAGAGAGCGCGGCAACCCACACATACTAGCCGCCGGCATCTGGAACGGCGGACGCCAGCTGAGACAAGCTGCAAGCTGCTGCGAGTACTACTCCTGCAATGAACGTGAATCCCTAAAATAGAGTGACACTTCCGCCATTGGCTGTGATACTGCCGGTTGTGAGAATGATGCCGATGGCTATATTGGTTGTTGATGCGCCCACGGCCATGGTCGAGAGCGTACTGGATGTTTTCTCCATCTGAACGAACTCTCCTGCTTCAGTGTCCTATTTCGGAGACGCGCGAGCTTCGTCTACAGAGGGTTTATCTTCGGAGCTCATGATGGGTGGCAGTATGCAATAAAATGGGACGTGCTTGATGATAATAAGGAAGCGGTTGAAATGGAGTATGTTGCGTCTTCCACTTCATGCCTCTAGTCGCTTGTCCGAAATCGATTACACGCGGGCGTCTTCCCGATCATGTTGTCTGTGAACCCGATGCTCACAGTGTTGTGTGTTGGTGAGTGTGCTGAACTGGTCGCACAGAATGCCGGCTGGAAGCGCGACACGCCGAGAGTAATTAGCGGCTGAGACATGGCGATCGGGAGTTCAGATCAGCTCGTTAGTCGCTAGCTTGGAGAGACTGTACGTCGTTAATTTTCCATGATTGCAAGATGGAATCGGGCGGGCCTTAGGCCAAATGGTGGCCAGATTTTTCCTTATCAGGGACCACACAACTACCGGATCATCAACGCTAGACAGAAGCCTCGATGTAACAAGAAAAAATGTCTTGATGCCCTATCCAGTATATGTTTTTCGGTTCACTGGCTCCTGGAGGCCTGTCTGCTGAACTGTAGCGAATCAGACGCAGTGTCACAGCAGCCCTGTCGCTCTAGGCCACACGCTAATCGCTCTTCTTGCGCCGATCGACGTCATGACCTCGCTTTTAGCCTGTTGCCGAAATCCAGCCAGGTCCTACAGGATACGTCATAGGCGCCCTCATGATCATGAATGGGGAGACAATCCAGCTTCTCATCACCGCTAAATCAGAGAAGAAAGTCTCTCGACCATCATAAATGTCTCTACATTCCACCCGGTCGCAGTGAAACTTAACTCTCCTTTTGAGACCAACATCACAGCGCAAACCTCACCCCGATTCATCATTTCAACCGCCAGTACGTGAATAACCATGGGCTTCGCCAACCTGGACAAGAGTTATGTGGGCTTCACCATTGCCCACTGCTGCACCTTTGCCCTCGCGATTGCAGTATGTGGCATCTACGGGAGCGACATGCAGTACGCCAGAGAAACCCACCAAGGCGTCAATTCAAGATGGGTAAGAAGCTGCTCTGCGCGCTACAAAATAAATTCTATTAGAAACAATTATCTAACGTTGATTAACAGATTTTCGCTGTGGTGGTCGGCGCACTGTCCGCTCTTACATGCGTTATATACGCCATACCCTTCATCTTTGCTAAAGGCGCCTTCTTCATGATCTTTTGGGACGCGATCCTTTTCATCCTATGGATTAGTCTCTTTGGCGTTTTTGGAAGTGTAAGTCCGAGGCATCTACTCCATTACTCCTTTTTTCTTTCACTTTTCATATTCCTTGGAAATTAGATTAACCGGAACCCTGCAGATGTACATCCATGCAGACGCAAAGGGAGATCGCGATGTTGAGCGGATGAAGAACACCGTTTGGCTCGACCTGACCAACGCCCTTCTCTGGCTCATCATCACGGTGGCCATAAGTCTCTACTGGGTCAAGCACCGCAGCGCGGCAAGGACAAGATGGTCAGGCCGAATGAAGGTCTAGGGAAGTAATGCGTGGGGGGGCTTTGGCTATGGGGTGAGGGGGTGTTAATTGAGAAGGCCGAGTAATTCGAAGTTGACCGGCAGGCGCAGTTTAGTGGCGCTCAAGGAATATGACGGGAATTTTAAGCAGCGAAGACCTGTTGTACCAAAGACTTGGCTGGATAATAACGAGCATGTATTTTCAAATGACTGACTTCAATGACTATATATGTCTCCTCTCTAACTCCAAGTCCAAAACGGCCATCGATAGGCAGTGGTTGCCGACCCGATCCAGAAGTCAACTTCAAAGTGCCCAATCTGGCAACGAATGACTTCCTAGGTAGTTGTCTGAAGTCAACCACCGAGATATCCAACTAGTAATTCAAGCGGTCAACAGGGCATGGAGAACGTGGCAGAAGCGGGATGGCAGGTAGCGTGGACGCAATTCTTCAGCAGTAGGTGACTACCTAGTTATGGCCACGGCTGGAAGCCTCAGCCGAACTGTCACAACTAAGAACGACCACCTCAAGTCCACGCGCAAATGACTGTAATGTAGGATTTATTCCCTATCTGATGACGCAAGATATGTCCCGTTCATAAGGTATTTCCGAGAACCTTGATCACGAGATAGTGGCTATTGACACAAATTACATTTCAGATACTGCGACTCCGTAAATCATAGCATTTTCTGTCTCAAAATCTCAGCCTTACGCCTCATGTCTATGCTAGCTTTAAGCATTTCACAGTTTCTATGGTACGTGCGAATCATTCAGGTCAGGCTTTGGGGGCGAAGGGAGGAAATATGAGCGCAACGACTATGTTATCTACGAGACCGTCATGGCCAGCGTCACAGCCGGCTTGTAATCTTTGCCCACCATATCAATCAAGGATCCTAACAAGACTTGCATCATTCAACAATACCCATAGAATCCATCGAAGGAACTCAAAACCTTATTTTATTTCATTGCTCAAATAGAAGAGCATAGCGTTCCTATCATTAGAAAACAAGACTATGATGCTCTTGACGATTGCACTACCATGCTTATGCGGTTCAGTTTGAACTAGTTTTCCTCGCACGCCCACAATCTTCTCAAAAAACAGAAATTTCAGCACACTCCAGTTTTGGACAATGTGTCAGCCCGATACGGAGGATCGAAGCCGGCCATTACTTCTTGGAAGCAGCAGCCTTGGCAAGGTCAGCAAGCGCATCGCGGCGCTTGAACTTGGCATCTTCAATAACGCCTTCACATGTCTGTCAGTTACAAATTCTCAAAAACGTCCGCGTGGAGAAAGCTTACCAGCATCAGCATCGCTTGAGAAGTTGCCGCTCCACGTGACGAAGGTCTGGCCCTTGTGGTCGCCCGACGTAACGGGGTAGGCTCTCACGGTGCTCACGACGGACGTGTAGCTAAGAGCGGGGGTTGACGAGATGACGCTGTAAGTGATGTAGTGGTCGATAGTCTTTTTGAATGGCGACAGACGTCAGTTCCCGCCTCCTAGCCAATCTGAGGTGCGTGTAGTCCTTACCGAGTGCTCCTCCTGCTTGACTTCGAGGACGGTTCCATCCTTGAAAGTCCACTTGACGATGTCGGTGTCGGGCGAGACGCCCTTGACCCACTCGCTCTTCTCGAGGGCAGTGTTGAACTTGGCGAAGTCCTGGAGCTTAATGAGGTGCCAGACGTCGGTGAAGGGCGCCTCGATGACGGCCGACTCGAGGACGGAGGTTGAGGTGGGGATGCGAGACATGGTGAGAGATGGAGTTGATTGTAGTAGTTTGATGCGATGGACAGATTGCTTTTTGATGATGCCTTGGGTGGTGATTTGGGTCAAGTTGTTGCTCTGGCGGTGATTGTTGATGCAGGAAGATGAGGAGGAGAAGGAGGAGACGGTGGCAAAGGCAAGAGCGATCGTTGGTGGTGATGCTGCATGTCGTCATCAGTCAATTGCGTATGCAGCTGCTAACCGAGACCGCTAAAATGCTACGTTTCCAGCTAGACGCGCCCAAATGCAGTTGCAGCGGGACAGTCGCTGTAACTCAACCTTATTTCAGCGCCCATCGCCTGTCATCCAGGAATTGATATAGAAGCCAGGTTTTGGCTTCGAATCCATCGATGCAGCAGAGGAAGAGGACAGTCGTCATATGTTCACACCCGCAGGAAACGACAGCGCCAATCACGGCATGTTCAGCCTAGGTAGTTAGCCAATCGCGATAGGCATCAGTTTCCACGATACATTGAATATTGATGGTCAATATGAGATAATACAACAGAATTGATACATGATAAATCTACTCGACGTCTATTAGAAATGTAAAATGCATGTCTTGGTGCCGAGCAAACACCTAGAGCAGGGGTATAAGGAGCTCTCGCTACATCTATAGTTAATGAAACCTTGTCTCTCCCGTCTAAGTCACAAAGTCTATCGATTCTAGGGATGTCTATGGCGTCTTGTTTATTTGGCGATCTCAACACCGTTGGTGGCACCTAAGAGAGTGTCAGCCAGGATCAAAGGAGCAAAAAGAACAAATCAGCTGCTTACCGAGAGCCTTCTTGATGTCACCGTAGATGGCGAATTGACCAGCAGTAAGTCCACCAACCATGACTAGACGGGTCGGCAGACCAGCGAATGAACCGCGGAAACCCAGCTCGCCAGCGATCTTGACCAGGCGGGAGGCAGTGCTCTCACCAGGGAGTCCCTTGGTCTTGTTGATCTTGGACAGCATGGTGTCGGCGGGCTGGGAGACGACGGCGGCGGCCATACCAGCTAGGAGACCGGATCCCAGGTTCACGGTGGTCTGGGCACCAGAGGAGAGGTTGTCCTTGTTGAACTGGCGGAAGATGGCCTCCGAGATCTTCTCGAAAGCCACGAACTTGGTGACAGTGTAGGGGACCCTGTTTGCCAATGTCAGCTCACGTGTTCGAGTATCCAACATCACGAGCTAGCTTCATGAAATATGAACTCACTGCTTGAAGAGGATAGGCCCGAATCCAGAGTAGAAGGCACCAACACCCTCGGTCTTGAGGATCTTGGTGAAGCCGCCAACCAGACCACTGGCAAAGCCGGGGGTGGAAACGAGACGGATACGGGTGGCCTCAAGAGGGCAGAGGGCCACGGAGGCGAAGAACTCAGCGGCGGCAGCAGAGACGGAGTAGACGAGGCCACGGTTCTTGCGGGCCGTGTCGATACCGAGGATATCGATGGACTGCTTCTTGAAGAACTCGTAACCTCCAAACTTGAAGCCACCCTGGATGAAATAACCGGTGACGGTAGGACCAAGACCAGTCAGCAGAGCACCAGCACCCTCATTCTGGACGACCTGGCGGAAAGCAGCGATGGTACCGCGGTTGTAGGTAGCCGGGTCCAGCTGGATCTTAGTCTTGACTCTACAGTACAGGAGGTTAGTCAACGAGACTATCTCATGGTGGAGAAGGACTGAGGCTGGCTACGAGGGATGACATACACGTCCACCGGTGTGAAAACACCGTGAGTCACGGAGCAGCCGACAGCACCAGCAAGGGCAAAGCGAGAGTAGAGGTCGATGCCCTGGGGGGCCTCAGAAACAGGAGCAGGAGCCATTGTGACGGTGTTGAAGGCACAAAACAGACGGTACCAGGCGATTAGAGGGGAGATTGGTGAAATGAATGAAGGAGCGAGAAAAAAAGAGAGAAGGGGCCCAAGTCTGGTTTACTGGTTCTAAGATTTTAGTCCAAGTGGACCTGATTCATGATACAGGGTTAAACCGGAGCAATGTGACATCTGCACGCACGCACCTCGCCCTATTAGAGCCATCGGATTACGGCACCCTGCTCCATGCCTCACCAAGAGTCTTCCGTCCGTCAGACTTTTACTTGCTTTGGAAGTCCTCAGCCGCGGGCTGATGCAGCTGAGTAACCGCTGGAATACGAAAAGACTCGTCGAGCGTCTCACGAAAGAATCCGGCTTTAAGCAGCGGTATCACCGGGGTTCCTGAGCAAAGAAGTGGGAATCTCGGCACTAACCATATTATTGCGCAATTCTGGGCGTTGAACCGTGCTCGGCCGGCAATCCTTCCTTCACATGCGTTGCGGGAATTCGACGGTTCTCAGAGGAACTGGATGGCCATGCCACCTGCGTACATGGTCTGCCCGATGCATTGCTGCAGAGTCACGGAAAGCATAAATAGGCGAAGGTGCCGGATCGAGATTTATATGTTTTAAATCTCGCCTCGATCAATCGAATCTAGCTTGCAGAACGGCGCATGCAGGCCTAGCCGAGCCGAGATTAGCCCCACTGCCACGCCTTTGACACGGAAGAGGCTGGCGGAAAGGCGGTGTCAGACCGTTTCTCTCCGCTGGGAGAACCTCGATGGATGTTTTGTCGATGTCATCGTGCTATATGCAAACACGTCCCGTGCCATCCTGACCCACCTGATCGAACCGGTGGGTAGAATGCAACTCTCTTCAAGGGAACTCATCCACAATGATGCCTCCTCGAACACTCCAGCCGTTGACCTTATTATTTTTATTGGTGTTGTGCGTGACCCATGATGTTTCTGATGATAGAATAGGGTAGGCAAGCCCTATATACCCTGTTTTATGCTACCGTTCTTGAGTAATAAGTCGGATATGGCAGCTCGTGATGCTTGCGGACTAATATCCGGGCAATTCCCTTGGGCTCAAGACACCCAGCTGAGCCTCAATTCTTCCAGAGTTCTCACGAGCGAGGGAAATTAGTGGGCTGCTGCCACGAGACAACATATGGGACAATCCGGAGGCCGCCCCCCTTTCCCCCCGATATCGCCTTAGCACCTTGCATCCTCGCCCGATCGTCCCGTTATCAATCTCTCCACATCCGCCCAGACCTTTGCCATGGACGTCCATATCACACTGGACTCTCTGCCCTCCGAGGTGGTGAATCGAATATGCACCTTCATCAGTCCTCGAGATCTTCTGTGCTTCCGGCTCTGCAGCCGAGCCACTGCTGCCAAGTCTCGCCATCAGTTCGGTCAAAGATGTTTCGCCTGCAACCGATTCCTCCTCACCAGCAAGAACACGGCCATTCTTGAAGCCATAGCCCAGCATGACCATTTCCGTACCGTGGTTCGTGGAGTCTACATTGTGCCGGCTCTTTTTGAGGGGAGGTATTCCATGGACCAGGTGGAATACCGCCAATGGGCCTCTCAGTCGAGAGCTAGACGGACACTCTATCCTTCCAGAGCGCGTCGTGATGATCTTGAGATCCCAGACGACAAGCTGCTCAAATATTATCCAGCATACAAAGAAGTCGTGGCTGATCATCTCGACGTCGTCTTCTCCGGCAAATTGAGGGAAATACTTGCATATTGCGCCAGCCGGTTCCCAAACCTGACCTCGGTGGGCTTGTCGCATTACAACGCTGAGCGCCAGGATCTCCTCAACCTCAACCGCCGCTTGGATTGCCCGGAATGGAGAGACTTGGTTGCCAGACTCGGATGCGATCCGGCGATCCCATGGCACATCACCTCGCCGTTCAAAGAAGGCACTCCTAACGTGAGGGCGAGTGTCTTCACCTCTCTGCTGAGGACGTTGATTACTCCTGGCGCGGAAAATCTGGCATTGAAGGAACTGAATACCTGCCATACAGCATCCAAATATGTCTCATGCTGCAGTGGGCTCATGCTGGGAGAATTGGACCTGTCCAGCGACGAGCAGGAGCTCATCCTCGCGCGACTCGAGTCCATGAAGTTGGAGAAGCTTCACATGTGCATCCGAGATTTTCACGGGCAAAAGCACCCTGAGTATTATTTATTCATGAATAAGATCGTTTCCCGGGTCTCACCGACGTTGTCATATTTCAGATCTATGAGGTCGCCCACGCACGAGGGATACGAATATGCAAAACAGCAGATCTCTTGGCTGGCGCACAACACCTCTTTCAGTTCGCTATCCAGACTTGAACTTGGAGGGATCAGCACAAGCATGGGCGACTTCAAGCGTCTCTTGGCAACGGCAGCCTCGACACTGCGCTATGCCACCCTCTGGGACATCTACTTGAGAGTAGACAATCCACCCCCTGGATCCGAAGAATGCGCTCGTTTGGGAAGGCAGCTATGGCGTGAGATGTGGACTTGGCTCGGAGAGAACTTGGATCCCTTGGCAATCACAATTTCATCCCTTTATGGCCCAGGGCATGGAGGAGTACGCATCCGCGACAGACTGCACGGATTTAGAGGCACTCATCCGACTATTAATGCGTCCAATGTTGGTCAGTATCGGAAGACGAAGTCACATGTCTCTTTCAAGGAATGGATTTCACAGTTGCGGTTTGAGAAATTGATGTTAAGCCCCCGGGAGAGCAGTGACGAAGAGGAGGAGCTATATTCGGAGTGATGGGTCACGTCCCTGATCAAAGGTGAGACATGTTGCGCCACGTTCGACTCTCATTTCTCGCATTGTAGGTCGGAAATGGTAGATACTTAGCAGATTCAAGGTCGCATCTAGGGATTTTGAAGTCATCCACATGGAAGCACAGCGTAAGGAGACACCGCAGTAGAACAGAAGTAGGATGAAGACTAAAGAGTGACGTAGCCCTATTGTTGAAATAGAACTGCCCAGTACTGATTCTTTGATCATAACAGGCCCCCATAGTATAACCAACACGTCCATGTCCCATAACCCTAAAATAAAGCCTTAAACATCTTTTCCAACTTGTAGAGGTCGTCTCCAATCTGAGACTTCACCGACTCTTCAGCCTTATCCACCAACATCTCCCAAGACTCTTTGTCATCAGCGTAACACTTCTTCAAGAAGGCGACGGCACAAGCAGTGGCCAAGATATCCTCCTTCCTCGCATGCTTGAGCACTGACGCGGGAAGTTTCATACTGAGAACCTTCTCAGCAGTGACTCCAAGAACTTTCTCAAGGCTGGAGCCCCACAGCCAACTGCCGCTGAATGTCTGGAGAGCAATGAGCGCCTGGAGCTTGTTGGAGGGGTCAACGGTGGAAGATCTCTTGGCTCTTTTTCTAGCAGGTGATTCCAGCCCCTCAAAAGTGACCCTTTTCTCTGGGCTGCCTGTCTCGCTGTCGGCTTGTTCCCCATCATCTTCCATCGTCTCTGTGAAAGTTGAAATCCTTCTATGTCTCAGGGCTCCTCCAACACCCAGTCCAATACCTCTTTGTACTGTAGGAACTGGTGCTGTGGAAGGGGCTGACTTCCTGGCAGCTTTCGACGCAAGTTGCTTCCGAGGAGCCGCGCCCCATGTGCTCACGGGAGCCGTAGCTTTAGCAACACCCATGGATGACGAGCCAGAGGATTTGGCGGTCTCGTTTCTCTGAGGTTGCTTCCCTTTTACATCGGCTTCATCGTTCGCCAACCCCTCGACGGCAACAAAGGAGCACCATTTGCCGCTGACTTGGAACTGTAGCCCAAGCCTGACAGCTTCTCGCTCAAGCATGTCGGAGAATCGCCCATCTAGCTTGTTCTTGAGAAGCTGTCCGTCGCTGTCCTTGGCCTTGGTAAGCCAACCACGACCCTTCTCGAGCTCTCTCATTTCTTTGCGGGCGGCAAGCTGATGGATGGTTGTGGACTCCCGGGTCAGATTCACAACCGGGATCTCTAATGTGAGATTCCCCTGCTGGCTTGTTCCGGTCAAAAACACAGACTTGATTTTCCTCTGCGGCGTCGACTCTGAAAGCAGGATGTAGACATTTGTTCTCGAGAATGGGTAGAGCGGTGGAATCTCAGTCGGGGTTTGGAGGTATCGAGGAGTGTCAATTTGAGGAAGATGCTGATACTTGTCGACGACATTATCTCCACTAGCCTCCAAGGTGTGATCGCCCTCATCAAACTCTGAATCAAACAGAGGCACACTCTCGCTAGGCTCTGCGGGCCACGCCTGCGGGCTGCTTGGCTCACTCGTGTCAATGTGTAGTGAATCCAGCACATACTCGATCACTTCGAACCCTTCATCCTCGTCCTCATCATCCAGCTGCATGTGATTCTGTTCGCTCTCATACTTGATTTCGAGAGTGTAGTCACTCACGTGGGGCAAAAGAGCACCCTTGAGCATTCGCATCAGCTTCTTATCCATCTTCTCGCCGTCTTGGATATACTGTGCGAACCCATTCCCTGCGCGGGCAACACCTTCAACCAAGGAACTGCTAGCTCCCGATCCGATTCCAAGGCTGAAAACCCGAGTTTTCCCCTTGGTCTCGTCAACTTGGGTCTGAATGAGATTAAACAGGCGGTCTTGATCCCAGATGTCTCCATCTGTAAGTAGGAATACCTCTAAATTCATATCCTTATACTGGCGTTCAAAAGCGGATTCCACTGGAGCGTACATTTCAGTGCCTCCATAGTCAGAACTGAATGTGTTGATATGCTCTGTAGCTTCGTCAAGAGAATTCTGATCGTATGTCTTGGACCTGGGCCAGAGGAAAGAATACTTTGAGCCAAAGCTGGCTACATTGAACTTGACGCCAACGGGCAAGGACTTGAGGAAAATGTGAAGAGCGCTGACAAGACCTCGTATTTTCCCACTCATACTTCCACTGCGGTCGCATATGAAGACCACCTCTGGCCTCTCTGAGGACAGTCTGAATTTGGGCACAAGCGAAACCATGAGGGCACGTTGGTCAGGGATGGTAGGGTGCGTCTCCAAGAATGCGCTAGGCTCGCCTAGTTTGGTGGCCGCCACCTCAATGATGAAGTCCTTATCTAAAGCAGAGACATCTTGAGTCAAAGTGGCAGATGCCTTGGAGAGAGAGGGCTCAGAAGTGCCTTCTAGCTCTGTGGACAGCTTGCCGATGTTGATCGAGATAGGATGAGAGGGTGATTGGAGAGACTTGATAGTGGATCCCTCGGCCATTTCAGTGTCAACAGTGATGGACATCCCTTTCTCCTGGACCAAAGAGCCCTTGATAGTGGAGTTCCCATATCGTGGCACGACACGAGTAGGGATAGTAAGACGAACGCCATCTATTTCGGCATCGTGCTTGAGCTCCCCGAGATAGGTAATAACGACAGTCACTTCCCCGCCTGCAGGTACATTGCCGACGGAGGTGAAGAAGACATCCGCAGCCTCAAGGGATTGCTCGAAGAGGCCGGCGGTTTTACCAAGAGACTTGGCTTCTTCATATACCTGTTTGGCCTTTTGTCGTTCTTTGACGACGCCTGTAATGGTGCGGTCTCCAACAATGCAAGAGACCGCAGTCACAGAGACGCCATCAAAAAGGGGGAAAATATATTTGACTTCTTCAATAGGGACGTCTTGAGAAGGGTTGATGAAGGTTTGTGTAAGAGTTGTGTGGGAGATGGTATCAAGGATGGTTGCGTGAATATCAACCATGACGTGGGGGAGGTACATGGGCTTATGATCAACGAGAATGTAACAGCCACATAAGGGGGCCCAAGCACGTGAGAGCGTCATGGCGATGGAGGCACGGGCTGTTTGCTTGGTGCGTGCCATTGTTGAAATGTTGAGGAGGAATAGATTGAGTAAAGGATAAGTTACGTGTAGTTGTGGATATGACGAATGATGATGACCACTGAGTGGGTTGAGGGGGAGGATGGTCCAGGGGCTATGTAAGAGGAGGGCTTGGTGTGACCCTTAGTGCTGTTGATAAGATAATCGAGAGTGTTGGGATGGGATAAAACGGATAGGTAGATGATAAATTTGATTGAGTTTGATGGAAGAAAGAAAGAAAAAGGAGAAAGAGGGGAAGAGGAAGAAGGGATGTCTGCCTGCTATATATAGGCGGCTGCTTGATGTGTCAGCCACCCACACTCCTTCGAGGCAACCCAGCATCCTATCATTCCCCTCGATACTACTTCTCGATGAAATGTTGATTAAAACTAGGTTTCTAGTGGGCTCGCTTCTGCTTGAGAGATGAGAAAAATATGTAGCATGTTCATATTCACACCAACACCATACGAAGTGGGAAACCGTTCAGACGATACTAGTGCACTTCTAGCCGACTTGAAGGTATATTAAGAGCGTTCTGGTATCAAGCTTGATCCTACCTTTGGTTGCATGCCCTTTGCAACATCTGCATTCTCTTATTATGATACTGACATAGCAAGTCGTGCTGGTTGATATCAGTCAGTGGGAGGTGGGGGATGAGGTTAAGTCCATGGAGGCACGTGACTCCAAGTTCAACCCCTGCACCTTCAACCTACATACTCAACCACTCCTCGTGACGTGAGCGGTGATTTCCCAATCTGTCATACTCCCGCGTTAATCTTCCTAAAATAATCTTTCAACTGACTTGTTTTGAGTCACTCAAGTACGAGCGGCGTAATTTTATAAAGCTTCAAGCAGCTTTCCAGCTCGATGTTATCAACAACATGGGGGCGTTTAGGAAAAAACCAAGTACAAGGTTCCTGCCTTCCAAACCGCGGTGATGATGAATAGTTTCCTCGATTAGCATCCTAACATAGCCTCCTGATCTTTCTACTATAATTTACTAGATCTTAGTAAAGTAACCGGATCTGATCGCAGCACTATTCTTCAGAAGTGAGTCAAGATATGACCGCTTTTTTGTTTATTTCTTGCTTTATTGACTTCTCTAATCATATCTCTCTGTATCGAATTATCGACCAGCCTTTCTAAAGATAGACACTCGTTCCGGCTCTTTGTTAGAAAGAAGACTTTCATCCACCGAAGACGCAACTCCTAGTCTTTCCCAAGTAGCCCCTGCATCTTTGCTAAGCCCTTTTGCTCCAATAATGAGTAGATAGTGCGCAGTTCAATTTCTCATTCTTTTGTTGATCTCGCTGCTCCCAAGCACGACACACCTTTGAATTTTCCTTTGTTCATTTTCTATGCAGTCATAAACAATTTCAGAAAGCGGGGATGTATCGTAGGTATATGTATCAGCAATCAGGACCTCAGTCAGTTCAACATGTGGATTCGGTACTCGCGCATGCATAACGTTTCCCCAGGCAATTCCATCAATACGGAGGTCTATATAGCCAATGGCGCCTTTGTGAGCTATCCAAGACCAGCTTAGAAGCAGTTGTCGAAAACCTTGGTGCTCTATTCGCTTCAGAGACGTTCCAGTGCCCTCTCGGCGCCATAAAAGGCTTCGGCACAACTCATTTCAGTCAAAAACCACGCCAGATTCCCCAAGTACATGGAAACCCCGAGAAATCATAGATTCGAGACTTTGCAATGCAAGGGTCCTATCGGTCTCATGTCTGAACTTGAGTCCGGAGTAACGCTCATATATTGGCTAGCAAACTTGATGAAGAGGAACCTCTGTGAATCCTTTTCCTGGATATAACCAAGAGAAAATCCTTTATCGGTGAATATCCGATTTTGGACTTTTCGCCCATATTAAATAGATCAGCGGAGTTCAACCACCGCTTTGCCTTGATGCCAGTATTGGAATTTGGAACTCACCAATATATCTTTGTGAGTGTCTCTGCGCGAGTGTCTCGATGGCATTGCCAATATATCTGACTCGAAGTGAACAATATTCATCGTCGAGATGGAATCTCTCTTGGAAAGCCCAAGCTCTGGAGCTCAGGAATGAATTTTCAACGTCTTTGTCAAAGTCGTCGATACATGGGCAAACTAATATTGTGCCCACTTTAGAGAGCAACGTTGCACTCTGCCTGACTATCCGTGGATTTAAGAGACCCTCATCTGCAGTTCTGGCCGAACTCGCAATCAATATAACATATGCATTAATAAAGACATCCCCCGTTTGATGGACCGAAGAAGGAGTATCATCCACTTCCCTTTCATGGTTTGTGTCATGCAATACCTCTCGATCCATAAATTCCGAATCCCTAAGTTTCTGGTAATGCTAACAGCATCTTGGCAAGTCGGTGGCATTTGGTCAAGCTTTATTTTTGTCCCAGTGGCATTCTTGCTCAGATCAGAACTGAGATCAAACTCTGAGGCCTATGATAATGCAGCATATTTCCCACCAGTATCACCGTGGGCTATGCAGATTTGAGCCGACGAGTCCAAATCACTACCGACATCAAGGAGTAGCGTCGGGCGGGCTATATGTCCAAATCCCATATCTGGCATACATTCATGGGACGAATCACAGCAACGAAGCCATCGTTTCATAACCTCAAATGAGACAAGGCCAGGAAACCGCTCAATCGTTGGGAAACCATATTGCATATCGTCGAACCAGCTGTCTGTGTGGTTTGTTAGCTAGATTGCCCTTGGTGATTCGAAACATTGTGCGCCGACCTGAATGTGCCACGAGAGACAGAACGGGAGGGCCCTCTTTGACCACTTTCATTGCTGAACCATCCCGTAGAAACTGAACAGTATGGCAGTTTGCTAGTCCAGCGGACACTGTCACCATTGCAGAACAGTTAGCACAGTTCACACTCTGTGTTGCTTACTAGATATGCAATGGAGTAGTGAACCGAAAGGTTCGGTGTATTCCACTTGAGGGATTTGCAGATGTTGCATAGTTGAGGCACATGCCTGATCAATCGGTGACCTATGATTCTGTGCACCCCCTGAAGAATCTGCCACGGACTTTGTGCTAGCGGTGCAGCTGAGGCGCATCATGTTGGATGGACAGGGCGAAATTATGTATCAGTGAAGAAAACCTCTATGGCAGACGGGGCCGCTGGCAGTGATGGATCGGATTGGGCGAAAAGATATCAACGTACTGAAGGTGACATCAAGAAAGTTGTCGATGATGCAAATATCGAGATGATTACCGGGGAAGGAGACGTCGTGTTGCTGCCCGATGTTGAGTCAGAAGATGATGAGTGAAGTGGCTTATCATGCAGTAAGCCAAACTACTACTTTCATATTCATGACGAAAACTTGCCACAATGGCAATCAACATCTACAAAACGCTGCCCCTTGAACAGCATCAACATATCAGTCTTAGCTAGTTCAACGCGCGTCCCTATTCATGACTTGATGCCCCAACGTTGCCGACTACCCGTCCAATTTCAAACGCTAATTTGATTCCGCCAGCCTTCCTATGTACAGTAAAGTTCCACAAATGTTTGGCGAGCGTACCAGTGAAAACCCCTGTTTGTTGGGTTCGGCTTATGCGCAGCCCTTCTAACCAGCGCTAGAGCGTACAAAAATGTGGCCATGCAAAACGTCAAGAGCAGGGGGCCTGTTCTCACGAGGGAATGCGAACAGAGTCTCGGGATGGGATCGAGTGGCTATAAAGATAGAGGCTGAAGCTCCCTAAAGACCAATTTTCCTTTTTTACCACTGAAATCTTCACTACATTCTTCAACCCCAGATCTTTCTTTATCTACACAATGAAGCTCACCTCGGCCTCTTTGGTAGCTTTTAGCCTCGCGGGTCTGTCAGAGGCCAGTGGCAGGGCCAACTTACGGTCTCGCGAGAAGAATTCCTCTGCTATCAATGTCAATCTTTCCAATTGGTGGAATGTTACTGACTACCAAGTAATTGCTCCATAAGACTCTTTTTATTGATCACTTTTGGGGTGTTTCACAAACTAACACCTGCTCAGTGGTATGGCAAAGTGTCTGTCGGAACTCCTCCGCAAGAATTGTAAGATATTCAGCCTATCAGCCCTCAAGATGAAACACTAACAGACACAAGCAATGTTCTATTCGACACGGGTTCAAGCGACTTAGTCATTGCAAGAAAAGGATGTACAACATGCGGCAACTACACGGTTTTTGACTCCTCCAAATCAAGTACATTTTCCAAGATACCAGGATACCCGTACCAGGCAAGCTATGGCACGGGCGGTAACGCAGAGCCATTAACTGAGAGGGCCACAATGAATGGAACAATCGTGTCCGACGTTGTCGCTATCAACGGTGTCTCAGTAGCGAACCAAACTTTCCTGCTCGTTGACGATTACCCCAAGGCGCTGGGTGAGAATCCACTTGGCCCCAACATTGATGGCATCTTTGGTCTTGGTCCTCCTGGCGCATCCGTATTCAGCTCAGAATACAACGGCACCTTCACCACGACTTTCTGGAACCTGGTCCAGTCAGGTGAATTGCCTGAGTCTGTGTTTTCACTTTATCTCAATTCAGGCTCCGGTACTTCTGGTGAGGCCACACTTGGCGGTATTGACTCGTCCAAGTACGAGGGAGATCTTACCAAGGTCGATATAAACCAAACCGTCACTGGTGCAATCGGGGAATGGTTCATCAACACGCCCAAGTTCTACGTCGACGGAAAGACGATTAAGAATTCAAACACAAGCCAAGAATTCCCCGCGGCTATTTCTCTCATTGATACCGGCACGGCCTTCATCCAGGCCCCTGATTACCAAACAGCCGCAGATATTTACGCTGCCATCAGTTCCGAGATCAAGCCTCTGGATGATCTAGGTGTTTGGGGGGCTCCATGCGATGTCATGGAGAAACTCACACCTGAGCTCACGTTCACTATCGGGTCGGAGGAGAAGAAAGCCAATGTGACCATGCCCAAGGCAGCATTCAACCTCGGTCGCCACAAGTCTCACCCCAGCATATGCCAGGCCGTCATTCTGCACGCTACTGAGCCCCTGTCCGAGACTGAGACTGTATGGGTCATTGGAAGTCCAGTGTTGAAGGGCTACTATACTGTCTGGGATGGCAAGAATATGCAACTTGGTCTTGGTAACCTGAAGGGTACGCCCACCAGCGTCAACAACACGGCCACCACTTCCAGTACTCCAAGCCCAACAAGCGGTAGTACAGTAGTATCCTTGGTGCCAGGGATCTTGGCCCTGTTCGTCAGCGCCGTGGTACTGGGGGTTAACTACTAAATCGAGTTGGTATTCTGTTAGCTTTATCACCTAGTTCTCGATTCTTCCTTTTCAAGGAATGCGGAAGGGAGTCATACAAGTATATAAAATGTAATAATTAGACGACATCGGCTTGTGGGGGTTAATACCGGGAGGGAAGTGATAGTGCGATGCTGGCTATCATCCAGTGACAGCTTAGGAGGATAATCCCAACCACATTCTCACGCCATACTACTACCGTGCAGTACCTTTGTTGCTTACATTGGCCGCTTATTTGGCAATTTCCCCATAAATCATTCCCTAATTCTTACTCTAGGCATTCCATTCTTCTTGTGCTTACGTTGTCGGCTTCTTCAAGAGTCGCTGAACCTGGAATCAGTGCTCTATGAGTATCAATGTTGTTGTTCTAAACCTAAGCCTTTTTACATCAGGCTCAGTCTGCTGCCCACTTCCGTCTTCATCCAGGGTTCACATCTGGTCGGTGCGCTCGAAGGAACTAGGGCGCGTCTCAAATCCCTGCCTCGCGCGTCTGGCTATTTATAGCCACCACATCAGTTTGAATTCACGTGCTGAAATACCGGCCTCGAGAGTTTACCCTACCTTGGATATCATAATAACTTCAATGCTATAATCTTTCCAACTGGTCATTAAATCAAGTCCATCGAAATAGCATCCGGAGATACATATGATTACGGAACGGAACGCGGGGAGCCTTGTTGCCGTCATGAATCGCAAAAGATCGAACATAAACTAGATGTCAAGGGGAATCAAATCGCAAATCTATTTTGGAATTTCTAGATGAACGGATTGTTAGAATGAAAGAAAAAGGAATCACAGAGGTTGCGCCTTAAAACTATTGCGGCTGTCAATATGAACTGAGCAATTAATGAAGAAACTACCCTAGAGCATCCCGCAATGTTCTAAATAGCCACGCCTTTTTCCAGGAAACTCAATATACCTTAGTGTTAGGTGATATTGGGTATCTATCAGCTAATGAATTAGTTTAAACGGAACGAGTAGTGATAAGGTAATATGGCAAGTTCTTATGTTCAGCCAAAGTTGCTTGCCAACCTCAGGTATGCAAAGGTGTTGGCTGTGTTATCAGTAAGAAGATAACTAAGGTATTGTCACTCCGCCTACATTAACATAATTGAATGTATTGCACGTTAACCCTTATATTGTCTGTACCGCTATATAGAATACCTCTATTGAAAGATGTTTTTTTTTTAAAGACAGACAATTATCAGCGCGGTAAAAGCAAAATTGTGGCACAAGTCGCGATGCCTCGGCGATGAAAATGGCGATCTCCGGATCGGCCAGGTTAAATTACACAGTTGCATTGTCAAGTGGCGAGCTTTGACCACAATAGCAGCTGGCAAAGTAAGCATCCGGAATATGGAAGGTATCTCTATATTTGAGACAGGAGAAAGGTGGTCTGCGAAAGCACATGTTAAACTCTAGGCGAGCGCGTTCCGGTGGGAATGGCGTATTCGCGATGCTTGTTCCTATGCTTCACGTGTGTGTATTTGCGCGATTGAGAAGGAATTAGACTACCTATTGTTAGACACGGAGAAAATAGCAGTTCAATTGAAATGATTGCTGACTCTTATCATGGTACCCCGACCGATTAAGTTCGCTCTCATTGGCGCCATGGCAGTTGCCGCGACCCTTGTTGTTCTAGCATTAAACTGAAGCCGTCGATTGGCTGAGATACGAGCTCAGGGTCAGATGCCGGGACTTGACAGAACTAAATTCCGCAATCCGGTTAGAATACGCTATCGTTGTAATTGCCGGCATCCTGTCTGACAGCGAATGGCATGGGGGGAGACCTGTAACAACGGAGGCTCCGACATGAGCCGGCTGTCCCAGGGATTGGCTCCCCTCCGAGATCGTGCCTTGCAGAAGCCGTCGATCGTCTTGATTAATGGGAGAGATCTAGAGAAAGCTTTTAGTAGTATAAAGGCTTGACCTCCGTTCTACTTTGCTTTTCGAAATATTCCATTCCAAAACCAACACAGTAAATTTTCTTCCTTTTCCTTTTCTTTGTCTTCTTCTTCTTCTTCTTAACCCTCTTCTTCTACTTCTGCTTCTTCAATCCTTCTCCTCCCTTTCTTGTCTAATAACGCCTGGACGCGTCTTATTTTCGCAAAATGAAGTTCACTCTCGCTGCTGCCATTGCAGTGGCCGTATCTGCCGTATCCGCCATCTCGCCCCGCGCAGTCACAGACACTGAGATGGGATGGGGAAAAGCTCTCGCTGGAGACTCAAAAGCCTGCGCTGATTTGGCTGTTATCTTTGCTCGTGGAACCTTCGATCCTGGGTAAGCGACGGTTCAATGCCGATATATATATGACAATGAAGAGACTAACCATTCGATATACAGAAACATCGGTCCTTGGGTCGGTGCCCCTTTCCGCGATGCCCTAGCGAAGACTGGCAAGAAAATTTCCTTCCAGGGCGTGGACCCCGGCGCGTATCCTGCCGATCTTGCTGGCTACATCGTTGAGGGAGGTAGTGAGCAGGGCGCCAAGTCCATGGGTGTTGTCATCGATGCCTACGTCAAAGCCTGCCCCAAGGCCAAGATTGCCGTATCCTGCTGGAGGTAAACACCCATTTCCCCGAACTGTTCCCTCTTTACAAGCTCTAACGATGGATATCTAGCCAAGGATGCTTGGTCGCCCGTAAGAGCTTCGGCATCATGAGCGCTGCATCTGCCAAGAAGGTCATTGCCTACGTTTCCTTCGGTGACCCGTATCCCCAATGGACTGCCAAGAAGTACCCCAAGATTCCGGCCAACGCCAAGCCGATCCCCTTCTGCACGGGTTCGCCGTCCGATGCTCTCTGCGGCAAATCTTTGTTTGACTTCCCTAACAACGCCGCCGATTTGATCGACCACTTCAAGAAGATCTTTACCATGTTCAACGACAAGAGGCTGAACGATGCCCAGAGGAAGGCCCGCGACGCCATGCTCGTGCAGCTGCCCTTGCAGGCTTCGAAGCAGCTCGGTACACTGGTCAGCGATCTCAAGAACGGCCACCGACAGCGATGGGAGCTGTCGCCCCAGCACTTCTTTTATGGCCTCGATGGATCTACCACCAAGGCTGCTCAGCAGCTCGTCGCTGCTATGTAACCGCCGCCAGTTAATAGAAAACGGTCCATCGAATTGGTTGGGCGGTTTGATTAGAACTTCATTTCTGGGTATATCATAAGCATTTCGAATTTTCGCTTTTGTTTATATTGTGATTATTAGACAAGGTGTTTTTTAAAGGGAGGCAGCTCTGGCGTTATGAGAAGTAATATTGACAATTTTCCCACACTTTTGACACTGTTCATTTCGGATTGAAATTTTATCTTGGATGTTATGAGATTAATGGCTGATCCAGCAATCAGCCCTTCACATTCACGCGTCGATCAATCACTCAATGGGCTTGACCGCGCGTGATTGACATGGTGATAGAATGCACTGTGTTTACTGTGCGATAACAAGCTTGATGTGCTTATCTTACAGTGCGAATAAATGGATTGCGTGAGAGTGAGTGAGAAACCGCATCTTCAACTTTCTTCTCCGCTCTTTGCTTCTACCTCATCAAACCAGTTCCAGCTCTTCAACCAGCTTTGTTGTTCCCTCAGTCCAACTTATCTGGACACCGAAACAATGACTACGAAAGTGGCAGTTGGACACTACCAATCGCTGGAGTACGCCTCTCCCACAAGCCCAGTGCTGATCCGGGACGAAATTCACGGAGACTTCACCGTCACCGAGCCCGTGCTGATCGAACTCCTCCACTCACCGTGCCTTCGCCGCCTTGTCGGTGTCCTCCAGCACGGCCTCAGCGGTTTCCTCGCCTTCACGCCCCCGATCACTCGCTTCGAGCACTCCGTCGGCGCGTTTCTGATCGTGCGGCGCGCCGGTGCAAAGCTCGACGAGCAGATCGCCGCCCTCCTGCACGATGTCAGCCACACCGTTCTGAGCCATGTCATGGACTGGGCGTCGCTGACGAAGCCCGGAGAGAGCTTCCATGAGGTCCACAAGGATCGCTACATTGAGTCCACGCCTCTCCCCGACATCCTCACAAGGCACGGCTTTGCCGACTTGAAGCCGCTCCAGGAGGAGCTGTACCCGCTGGTCGAGATGCCGTCGCCGCACCTCTGTGCAGACCGGCTGGATTACGGCATTCGCGATACTATTGCGTTTGGATATCTCAAGCTCGAGGAGGGCAGACGGATTCTCGCGTCAATTCAAGCCCACCCGAACGCGACGTCGCCGGACCGGTTGCTTGTCGCGTCGGACCAGGATCTGGCATTGGCCCTGTGCCGTGCGTATCTCGCCGCTGATCGAGATGTGTGGTCAAACCCGGGGCATGTTGAAATTACAAGGGCGATAGGGGATGTGATTGGGAAAGCTGTGCACAGCGGCCGCCTGCTGGAAGAGCAGATGTGGACGTTATCGGATAATGAATTCTGGGAAGCGCTGAGAGAAGCGACCGATGACGCTGGGCGTAAGGTGATGGATCGTCTTAAATCAACTACTTCTATGCCTCATGAGAACGGCCTTCACAAGGAGGCAAAGGTCCGAACGCTAGATCCGGATGTGGTCAACTCTCCTTCATCGGCAGCCCAGCAGCCAGTGCCGTTGAGTCAAGTGAGTGAGATATGGGCTGAGGAGAAGAGAGCGTATATTCTTGCCAGGCAGAGCCAACGCGTAGCTTAGATCACTCGGATGCGCGGGCATTTCATTATCTCGAACAAGTCGATAGAAGCCTTTCAACGATTCTGGCAATATTTTAGAACAACTACCTCGAGCCAATCGAGAATCGAAAGTTTATAGATTAATGTGTCCAAGCCCGCGCCCGTGCACCAGACCTGTTAATGCTTGATCGCTATATTGTGGCGTCCATTACCCTTCTTCTCAATCGAACTTGATTTCTCTTCGGTATTTAGCATAGCTGCGTATGCATTTCATGTTCGTAGCTTGCGATAACTCGGGTTCAGAGCCTAGAAACATCTCCCGAATTCTCTCTAAGATAGACGTAATAGGACAGTTCAAGGTCACCAGACACCACCGAAGTCTGCCTGACACAAACTACGGCGGTAATCCTTTAAAGAGTGATGATCAATCATAAAGCTTTGGGTGAAATTTGAAAAAGCCAACCGAGCTCGTGAAACCGCTTCGCTGACACCTTGTGACCCTTGCTCTAACATCTTGGCGTAATATTTACCACCTTATTCCTCTGGATTACTAGAACGATCAGTTGGCTAGCGACTCTTTCGCATCAACAAAATGGATTACATTTTGCACTTAGCCTTGCCTCGCAAGTCGCAAACTGGTACCTATGAGCGGCTGTGCTTTAAGATCAAAAGGCTACTAACACGCCTCTTTGGCATTCTTGGCATCTGCTCTCGGAAGTGGTCAGATGGATCATCTCGTATTCCCAAAGTCTACACTCTCAGCAGAGTGAAACAGGCCAGTCAGGTGATTGATGACACTGCGCAATGAGCTAGCAAGGCTATGTATGAGGGCTTTGGCACCTCGAAAGGACTTCGGTCGTTAGTCGCCACATAAGCTCAGAGTTGTCATGCGAAATGACCAAAACAAGTAGGAGGTATGCCGGCCGCTTCTACGACGGGCGATGCGTTTCATGTAAATATCGGATGTCGGTCCAGACTAGCGGCGATGTCGACCAGGTAATCTATTTGGGGGCTACCGATCGTGAGGTGGCAAAGAAGCAATAATGTAGCCCGTGTGGGATCACAGGGTCCTGCCGCGAGTTTCAGATGGGAACATTCTATCCGTACCAGGTATAATACAATGTGCACATAGCTACAGCTATCTGGACTATTCAGAGTAGAGAAATGACGAAGAGAATTCATCCCAGATACCATTGGGTGGAAAGAAGGACCTTTTTTCTCTTTCTAAAGACAACCGATTGTGGCACAGATGATTCTTGACGATATCCCTTTACCCTCCCCTGCCCTGCTCGGCTCTTTCCAGAACGATAGCCCCCTGTACATCCGCAAATAGGATCAATGGAGGTTCGGTGCCCCCCAGATGTGCCCCTAAGACAGTATCACCCTCCCTTCGAGCCCGGCTAATTTGCCTCTGGGCAGGATGAGAACTTTGGTTTTACAATTAAGCTAACCTATGGTAGAGGGCAAGAAAACAATACTAAGCCTTGGCTTGCAGGGATAGGTAAGCTCTACAACATTATTGCCTTTTGGGATCAAAGTGCATACCTACCTCGAGTCTCGGAAGTATTTATATTGGCAAGTGCCCCTTAGACCGGACTGCCTTATCCTCACCACGTCAGTCTTTAAGACACTATCACTCGAGTCCTAATCATTAGCCTCTCGTTCTTCAAAAACATTCATCATGTTGTTCTCAAAGGCCTACATCCAGTCTCTTCTGCTCTTCTCCGTCCAGTCTGCTCTGGCAAACCCGGTGCCCCAAGATGGCGATGAGAGCTTACGAGTTCGATCATCAACCGACGAGTTGCCTGAGCTAGCTGGAGAGCCCCTCCTATTCAAGATCTCCGGCGACGAAACCCAGGTGGACCTTCCCGTCGAGATCATCAATGCGGTTATCGAAGAACAAGCCACTCGAGACCTTGAGACCCGAGCCACAGAGGGTCAATTGAAGGCTGTGACTCTGCACAACAATGAACGAAAGAAGAAGAACCTGGCAAACCTTGTCTGGGATGCTAAGTTGGGCGCTGATGCTTTCGCTTATGCTAAGAAGCTTGCCAAGCTCGGCAAGCTGGAGCACTCCTCCGGAAGCTCGCGACCCAACCAGGGCGAGAACCTCGCCCGCGTCCCGTATGTTTTCTAGTTACATCCAAACTAGATAGATATGGTGCTAACAGACATTCACAGTGTATCCGGAAATCCCACACCCAGTGTCTCATCCACTAACCTGTGGTAAGTTAACACATTCAAGTTGTTCCAACTAGGCTATTCTAACTTCCTTTTAGGCTTAATGAGCGATCCAACTACCACAATGAAATTATCCCCAATGGAAACTTTGGAAGCTACGGCCATTACAGTAAGCAAATGAACCTCGCGTCTAGATAAATCATTTGCTGACCATTCCGTTCTTACTTCAGCCCAAGCTATGTGGAAGTCGACCAAGAAGATGGGTATCGCTGCTGCCAATGACGGCAAGGGTAACTGGTGGATCGTTGCTCGTTACTCGCCCCCTGGAAATGTCGTCGGCCAACGCCCCTATTAGTTGCTGTTAGAAGCCATCCTACGGTGTTATGAGTTTTTAGTTTTAATTTATGAGTCCTATCTATAACAGCCATCCATTGTTCGTGATCTTAAAACTAGTTGCGCTCGTGTTGTAACTGAGCCCGCCTCTGAGATTATGTGGTCTTCATACCCCTTCCGTGATCCTTACCCCCCCTCCAAGTGTGCAGTGCAAAGTTTTACGCAGAAGTCGCCCCAAACCCCACGTGTAACTTCTCTTACAGCCTCCTCAAGGCTGGTTCCATAGCGAGAGCCGTACGCAGCCGAAACAGCGCCCATATGCTCCCTGTTCCAGTGATAGCGGACAAGGCGTGATGTGAGCAGCTGAGAGTGCAGATCGTCCATTCTTTGTTTTGTTATCGCACTGTGTAGAAGCATAGCGTCACGACCAGGACGGTTGATAACACCGGTGAGAATATGCACAAGAATTTCCCCCTAGTTGGTGTCTGGGTTAGGCCTAATCAGAAACGGGGTTGTGTGGAACACTTACAACTAGGTTCTGGCATTTTTGTAGTATCTCTCGAGCAAGATTTGAATTATACTGATTCTGGTAGAGATCAAGTAGCTCTCGAAGATAGGTAGCACTCCCTTGCACCAAGATCTCAATCAATTTTGACTCGCCGCCCGTCTCGGATTTAACGGCCCTTCGAAGATCCTCAACGTCTTTCGCAGCTCTTTCCTTGTCAACAGGAAGTGCTTGTCCGCTTGAGTCGAACTCTTCCATCTGCCGCTCTTCAAGAGCAAGAAACACTGACTTCTTAAACTTATTTTCCTCGAGTTCAGAGTTCAGACACTTTTGGAGGCTGTTGTCATATTTTTTGTCCAAGAATCCAAGCTTGATGCAACGAATCTCCTCATTGGTGCGACCCATCAGTGACTCAATCAGCAGCTCGTGGCGAACTTTATCGCTATGATACCAGAAATTACACCAATATGCCTCGCTTTCCCACTTGCCCAAAGCAACCGCGTAGCAGGCTTCCATTAGATTTGGAGACTCATCTTTAAGGCGCGCGCGAATGTGCTTGGCGACATTAACGCCCTTGCGTAGAAAGCCTGTTTTGACGAGTATTTTATACTCTGTTCGAAGCGACATTATTTGCTCGTGAGTGAGAAAGGCTAGGTCCTGGATGAGAGCGCGTGTATCTACTGCACCCGAGCCTTTGAGGGCCCGTGCCACTCTCTCAGCTATAGTAGTAAGCTCGAATTGCGGACTCGCACGGGGTCCCTCGATAATGGAAACAGAATCAACAAATCGCACAGTTTTGGTGGTGCGGATAGATTTTAGGATTGATGTAGGGTCCTGAGACGTGGATTCTGTCGCCGTTTCTTCCGGTGATACTTGAGAAAGGGGATTTGGATGCTGTTCCTGTCGGGGATCATGAGGCGAGGAAACTCTGGATTCTTCGAGTGAATCTGGACCAAGGGTTCGCATATCTCCTTGCCCGTTCCCTGAAGATGTTAGTTTCGTCCTCTGCGAATTTTCCCCATTGTCTTCTCCTTTGCCAACTTCGGATATGGTCTTTTGGGCTGTGTTGTATCCAAACATCCTTTCAAATTCTTTAATGTTTTGCGCAGCTTTTGATTCTAATGGATATGCCTTCTCGCGATCACTCTGGGTGGATTGGGTCTGAGGGCTGTGATTAACAAAGCTGCGTATGATGTGGTCGTGTTGCAGAGCCTCAGTTGGTTCATCAGTCTGGCGAGTGATAAACCCCCACTCAAAAACCCGACGAAACTTGATAGGTATTTGCTCAAATATCTTGTCCTCAACGAAATACCTCGATGGGTCGTTGTGCCATAGAAACCGATCCTCATCTTCCTCGCGATACATAACAGCGAGATGAGGAAATTTCTCGGTTGGGTCGGCTCCCATCTTTAGAGAGCTGGAGTAACGCGATTCGATGTAGGCCTTATAGCCTCCCCATGGTTCGTAAACGTTTGGTGTGATTTTCTCGGTGTCTGTCAAACTCCAACTTGAGATATCTCCACAGGCCTCAAACACGACACTGATATGTCTCTCAGGATCCTTTCTGATAGTACTTCTGCTTGCCGGCGCGGACGTAGATGCGGAGCCTGACTCACCGCCTGAGCTTCCAGATCCATCTTCTTCGTGTGGTGGGAGAGATCTTAGTGCAAGGGACCTCAAGTGACCTACAATGTGATCCTCCAAGTTTTCTGTAACCTCATCAGTCCCACAAATTGGACAAAGGTCAAACATTGGAACAATTGGTCGAGCGTTCCGCTGCGAGAGAGCGCGAAGCTGGGGTTCTGTCAAAGACCGCGGGTGATCTTGTCTGACATGGTCCAGGTACTGATCCTCCGTAAGAAAGCTCATTGGGTGGTGCGCCTTGGAATTGCAGTTCCACCTCAGTGTATGTTCGCGCATATGACGGAGCCAGTCGCTGCTATGGGAGAAGAGTTTGTCGGCATTGTGACATTCATCAAACAAACACACGTAGGCGTCGAGATCATTCGTGACATGAGCTCTATGCGAGGTTTGGTTAAAATTCATCATGATATATAATGAGAGAGACAGATTCACTTACTTCCATTTCTTATCGTCAGCCACGGACAGGCTTGGAATAGCGTAAAGACAATAAGGGCAGGTCAACTCTCCTATGGCCTCATTACATCCAATCCAATCCGAGTACAGGACATTGTAGATAGTTTCTATCTCCCGGGAAAGTAATTCAGGCAGGTCACTCATTAGCCATTCCGGTTCATCTATGTGAGTCTCATTCGTTTCAAGAAAGATCTTGGTGAGCTTGAGTACCCATTTCTGCCACCGAGGTGACGGCGAGCCTTCTAGAGCGGAATCTAAGCAGGAGCGTAAGTTATTTAGGATCACTGTTCTCTGAACAGCTCGACTAGTCGATGTGAATGTTTCGTCGATTCCAAGTCTTAATTCTTGGCGCCTAAGCTCTGGTATCATTCTCTCTTTAAATCCTTGCCAACGTAAGTGTTTTAGTTTCTTGTATCTTTGCTTGACTCGTCCATTTGGTATAGGGGGGAATACAAGCTCCTCGTGATTCGCTAGAGCAACTGTCTTAGTAGCAGATATGACAGACGGTGTTGTTGTTTTCTTATAGTCCTCAACTACTAGTGTTGTCGCGCTTAGTGTTTGGGACTGTATAGAGCTCTTAGGTGCAGTGGTGCCTACAGCTTCGATGCCTTCTGTCAGCTCCTCCGATGGCTCATCTGCATTAGGAGCCTGGGTACGGGCTTGCGGAAAATTGATCTTTGGTTGTGAGACGTTCTTGTCGGCCCTGATGGGATTGGTACCATAACGAGCTCTCCTGTATAGGACCATCTTCCTTCGTAATACCATCGAAGTTGCAAGACGTGACCGGAGTTTGTTTTCGATGCTGGGGAATTTTCCCAGGATGTAGTGAGAGTACAATTCTTTCAGAAGGGGTTCTATGTCGTTTCCCTCATCATCTCTAATGCGGTACGATTCTGCTGCTTTGACATTCTGCCTCTCTTTACTGGCTCGTCTGATTGTGTTTGTGAGGCGATATAACAAACTTATTTCCTTCGCCACGGCCTGAACATCTAACTTGAAATCGTCGTTTTCTCCATCCAAGGCAATGGAGTTCTCGTGTAGATTTCTAGCTAGTTCCAAGGAAGACAAGCCTTTTATTAGTTAGTGGAATTCAATGTAGAGATCTAGCGAGAGGTTTTTTGAAGCTAAAAGTATCGTTGCTGACACCCGGTATGCGAATTGCATGTCCTGTAGCAGTAGGTCTACGGAGAGATAGAAGAAATAGAGAACTTACAGGCCTGAAGACTGTCTTCTAGAGCCTCCAGTAGACTGCAAATAGCCAGTCGTACGTCTGGTGCCTCTCTTAGACGATGGTCCATGGAAGCCCGCGCTTTAGCAAAGACCCCATTCCCGGATGTCCATATTGAGAACCTTGCCAGCTGATCCTCGATTAACGCTAGGTAGCGTGGGTGATGAGAATTTGATAAATTAAGGCCTTCTTGAAAAGTGCTGAGGCATATCTCAGCCAGGGTAGCTACTGTTTGTTGATCCGAGCAGCCACTTATTTCCTCGAGCTCGGCTGAGTTGGTCTCTGCCATCTCGAAACGATTCTTGAAAGGAAGAGTAGGTGTGAGACTCAGTATTCTCTTTCAGTTGGCAATTAAATGCCCTTTTCTAACCACCATCCTGGTGAATCTAGAAAGGTTATTGAGAGGTCTTGGTTCTCGCACAATAACATTTAGCTGCCTCGCTGCTGCCTTACCCCGCTTCATTGACGCAATTAGCCAATAGTCTTTGAGGATGCCCGCTGACAAAGCTTTTATGCATGCATCCACCTGTCAGCTCATATGAGGGGATAAGCTATGGGCGCCATCTTGCTCTTCCAACGGTCCATCAGACGAAGACGCTCGTTAGACCTCAAAAAGCGTATCTATGCGTTCTCTGTTAAAGTGCAGCAGTCAGTCGTCTAGGTTCCGAAACCACCTCTTGCGCGTCTTGCATGGCGCCAACCCTTGCCATGGGTGGAGGATGTGACCGCGTGGATTTAGTCCTGGCGACTTCGAAATCCATCTTGCAGATTGCTAAAGTTCTCAGCGGTCGCCAAACAGAGAGAGAAGTCAGAAAACTCTTGCGTCATTTCATCGTTCACTGCATGCTGGTGTTTGACCAGGTCCAGCGGATTAGGACTATACTGGTTCCAGAAAACGACCTCCTTCTTCGAGCCCTTGGGTTGTTTGAGTCGCTAATCGCGCTTGATGCCACATCAAATCATCCTTATGGACGTCAGCTGGGACTGAATAAGCGTTGGTATGCTATGCGGACTCAAAATGCCGATGCAAAACTTGCTTTTGCCAGCCATTGTTTGGTCTTGAACCAAACTTCGACCCTCCATGCTTTGGATGAGTCCTTCAATACGTGGGAGGAAGAAGTCATGGCAAGATATCCAGAAGACGGACTGGACTGGTCATTAGATGACTACAACCCACCAAAGGAGAAAAGACCAGAGCCGTCATACACTATTCATATCGCAGCACGGTTGATGTTCAAGGCTCTGGCTCGAAGCACGAGTTGTGAGTGCTGTACCAAACATGATGCTCGGCTCTGTCTTCGCACATACAGGACGCTTGATGTACGTCAAGATGATGATGATGAGACCAATTACTTTGAGATGCTCCTTTCATCGCATCATGACTGGCAAGAAACACGTGTGCACACTATCCGGAAACGTGTTGTGCGCTTCATAGTCGACAACGGGACCCAGCCATCGCCACCATCGAAGAAAAAGCTGGACTACACGCCTATGCCAGTCAAGAAACTTTGTGACCAGCTAAGAAAGATGCAAGCAATGGTCTCAAAAAGACTCGAGTTCAAGGTCGAAAACGGCCGTCTCTTAAAGCTACGGTCCGAAAAGAGCAAGTTTCGGATCGACAAAAGAAAAGCACCCATGTCATTGCAACAATTCATTAGAGAAAGCCCTAGATCTCTAACAGAAAAGACCAAACGAATCCTTGCTGTTTTATTAAGCTACACAGTCCTTCATCTGCATGACACCCCATGGCTTCAACCCAGCTGGAATTCCTCAAACATCTTTTTCTTTCAAACATTGTCCTCCAATATTCCCTTAAGACCGTTTATCCAAACTCAACTGACTGCTCGAGATCTCAATGATGAGGCACAGGACGAGCAAAAGCCTCAATATAATGCTGGTCGTGTTGAGCTTGAGAGAGATCTAAACGGTTTGTATTCTAACAATCTAGATCCTGACGATCTAGACCCCGACGACCTGAATCCTGACGACATCTATACGGATCCCGATGACATTGAGCACCCATTTCCGTCTCTAGTCACCCTTGCTATTGTACTCATGGAGCTTTACCTAGCGGCGCCGTTCGACATACTCGCCAAGAACCGTGACTTGCACTTTCCAGACAACGTCGACAGCCGCACAAGATCGCTCGATGTGGCATCCGTCTTCAACGAATATAAGCGAGAGATTCCTCAGAATTCTCAATTTCATTATGCTGTAGAAAAGTGCCTTGATCCAAGGATCTGGGAAGACGGCAATGGTCGAAAGCTTGATGATCAGGCGCTGGGCGTCAGGATTTATGAAGAAGTTGTCCGACCACTTGAAGATGAGCTTTGTAACGCTTTCGACTTTATCAAAATTGAGGAACTCGATGCAACTGCCGAGAATTTGGACTTCAGGAGCTGGGGACAGGCCATTTATCAACACGAGGAAGATACTTCTTCCAGGGGCACGCCAGTATCTCTAACAGAGGGAATGTTCTCTATTCAACGCCATGATTGGGCAAGAATAAACGATTCTGTTTCGTACTGTTTTCCTAGCCCTGATTTGGAATCAAGCCGTCACTCAGTTACCAGCTCCAAGTACTTGGCCGCGAAGTTCTATGACGATGAAAAGCCTTCCGATAGCCACTCACGTTTAGAGTAAGGCCTAAAACTTTTCTTACTCCTGATTTCTAGCTGCCCCTCTCTTCTTTTCAATATCTTTTACTTAATTTCGATGAGATACTATCCAGTAATCTGACCTCTCATGTGCGTGCAGAATGGAGGATTACATGCAATGGAGATTAAAACATCAAGCGGTCCTTCGGAAGTTTATAGATCCTTTTCTAAAGCATCCACCAGCGAATCCTGTCAAAATTGCGGTCCTTGACTCTGGTGTGGACGACATCCATATGTCACTCGACACTGGTCAAATCAAACTCAAGAGAAACTGGACGACAACAAACAAGAAAGATGTTGCTGATAACATTGGCCATGGAACCTTTACGGCTAGTTTGTTGATAGATTATGCTCCAGATTCGGACTTATTCATTGCCAAGATTGCTGAAGGGATTCCCTCGCCGCCTGAAGTAGTTGCACAGGTAAGTCTAACTCAGTATTGGGTATGACACGCAGAACACTGCAGTCTCACTATCATTACAGGCAATAAGAACAGCTGTAGATGAGTGGAAGGTCGACATTATCTCCATGTCTTTTGGATATCCTACCAATCAGATGGAAGGCTATGCCCAGCTTGAAAGTGCCATACTGTATGCCTATTCCAAAGGGGTTCTTCTTTTTGCAGCTGCCTCAAACAGCGGGGCGAATTTGGACCGAGCATATCCTGCTCGCGATCCACACGTCTTCTGCGTCCACTCAACGGATTCGAACGGGAACAGGTCGAAATTCAGTCCAACGCCGCTTTCTCAAGAATTCAACCTTGCTACCATTGGGGAAGCGGTCGAGTCTGCATGGCCTGTAAAGCTCTGCAACACAGAAACAAACCCACGTTGTGTCCAATGGAAGTCAGGAACCTCATTTGCCACACCAATATTAGTAGGCATTGCGGCGTTCCTCATCCAGTATGCTAGGATTCACCTGCCAGACAAAGCTCATATGCTGAAGCGCCAAGAGAAGATGAAGAGCGTGCTTTTGAAAATATCTGACAAGACTCAGCAATCCATAGCTCGTGATGGTTATAGCTACATTGCACTCAATCTGTTTGCGGATAATCTCTTTGGTAAAAGCAAAGCCTTCATAGATGAAACCATTGGGGAATTGTTGAAACGTTAATAGCCTAATTCTATACCTATATCAACTAAATAAGCCTCTTTGAGTACAAGGCTTCGATATGTCATTGACCATTAGCAACATGTTCTTTGTATGCCCAACCATAGATATCCCGATCACTCATCGTCGGAGCTCTCATCCGCCGAAACCGCACAAGTTACGGCGCTATCGCCTTCCATCAGAATTTCCTCACGATAGCCCATCTCCTTGGCAGTTACTTCATCTTGCGACAGAATTGAGAGCTCCGGTATGTCCTCTTTGACCCTGAATGCATCATCCCTATCGAATTTAGCGCCTTTGGTATAATCATCATTTTCTTTCACTACCAGTGTCTTTCTGCTCACTTGAACCTTGCGAACTCTAAATGCAAAGACGAAATCGCTGCTTTCTTCCCAAGAGGTGCTCTTCTTGTCCTCTGTCCCGGCCCCAGTTCCAGGTGCTACGTTACCGCCGCCCAAGACGTTTCCATCCACCGCTATCGATGCCTTATTGTCCTGAGATCGAGACTCGGTCGACTTAGCACTTGCTCCGTATACGGTTTTGAGCCCCGTGATGACGTAGACTGGCTTTCGGTAACGAGATCTTTCCAGAAATCGTCGAACCGCTGGTGTCTCGATACACTTTTGGATGTACTCATCTTTAGGGATGAACTGCTGAGTCTCAACTTTTTGAAACCTATAAAGCTCTTCATTGCTAGTTTCATTTAGCAGCCTAGACATAAAAAGGCGCAGTGAGAGCATACCTATGCTCCCAGCTAACGGTGACGTCGACGCTGACGCCGATGAAGTTCAAAAACTTGGTGAATAGAGAGAAATGTCCGTCTCTGAGATTCTTTATAGAATGTTCAACGTCTTTCTTCTCTAATGAGAAGACCTCATTCTCGGTTGGAGGAGGCGTTGTCGATAAGGGCTGCTCCGGCCTCTCGACTGAGGTTAAGACATTTCCTAGCTTGATAGGTCCTTCCGGGGGCCAGTCCCAGGTTGGGGCGTAAAAGAAATATGCGACTTGGTTCGCCATTATGATTCAACTATATCAATGAATCAATATGCTAGAATATCTGACACAGTTCCGTATCTTCCTACAGCTGAATCCTTCGAGCGGGGTTAAGGTAAGATCTGACAACCAGGATTTATATTATAGTATGCCCCACTTTGCCTGTTACAACCAATACAAACGCTGGAGGAAAGCTTTGAAACCTGAGTACGAAATCTTGTGAACATCCGCGACAAAAGAGAAAATGGATCCAATGTCCAGATTTCACCGACATACTTCTTCAAACTGCTTAGGGTGACCCGGATTGTTTTTCTCAACTCACACATATTCGTTCGACTCTCAAGGTGCATTATTATATGCTGGGCATGTATTTCGCAGCGAATTAGCACTCAATGTAGCTAAACCAGTTCATTTCTAATTCCTATAGAATCTACTAAACGCTCACTCTGACTAGAGCTATACAAACACCAAGACAGCCGGCAACTTAACATGGCAGAGCTCCAAAGCAGATCATCGGACACCAACCGCCCCCACATCAAGTCCAAGCACCATCTTCTTCCCCATACTTGATACCGGTCGGCCTTTACTCCTTGGGGGCTTCCTCCTTAGGTGCGGCAGGAGGAGCCTCCTCCTTTCTAGGGTAGTATTTGGCCACCCACAGATCAACCAACATGTCCTTAGTAACATCATGCAGGTAATAGTTGATGGGAACACCAGAAGTGCCATTAGCAGCCTTCTTGAGATAGTCCTCTAGGGCAGTCATCATGGAGTTGATGTCGAGGATCTTGTTCGAGCCGTCATCAATGTCAGCAAGGGCAGATAGGGCGGCCTTGACGTCGCCCTGCTTCATGGCAATCATCTGACCACCAGTCCTGGCGGCTGCAGCAGACTGCTGGACACTTCCCTGGTTGGCGTTGGTGGCGTTCTGGAAGGTGGCCAAAGCCTCCAAGTTCGCCTTCGGGTCAAAGGTGGCAAACTTCTCAACACCAAGTTGGACTTCGTGAGCGACCATGGATGGGATGGTACCCATGCAGATCATTGTAACATGGGAAGAAATGTTCTGCGTGCTCAAAAGATTCTTGACATCGTTAGCGATGGAGGCACTGGCACCAAAGCCACCGGAGGCAGAGGCGAACCATGCGGCGGCGTCCATTTGAGCCTGCATTGAAGTGGCCATGGATGACATCGTCTCGTTGACATTGGTGTCAGAGGTGTTGAGAATGTGAACCATGCCGACGAAGCTGGATCCAAAGGTCGTACCAGAGATGATGCTGAAATGGGTTTCATTCTCCTTCTTCTCCTTGCCCCTTTCAGCACAGAGCTTGGCCATGTCCTCCTTGTTGGCGCTCAAGAACTCAGAATCGCCATAGATGTGGTTCCAGACTTTGATTCCCTTGTCCACATCGATGACAAGAGGTGCCATGATGTTGGCATTCTTGTGAGTGCAGGAAACAGAGATGACAAGCGTACCGGAAATGCTGTGCCTCTTGACCTGCTCATTGACCTGCTTGCTAACTGCATTGGTCAGTTCTGTCGATGCCGACTTGCCCAGCCAGCTTCCCTGACTAGCAATGAAGGAAGTGATCTGGTCAGAGTGGGAGCTGGAGCCCTCCTTGTTCATGTCCTGAGAGAAGTATTGAACATCCATGTTGATGGAGTCTGCGGCAAGGGGCATGGTTTTGATCTGAGTCTTGACATAGTCAATGGGACTTTCAACATCCGCTCGTACGTCAGACAGACCTGCACGGTCTTTAACAAGCTCTTTCTCCATCTGAATCTTGGTGTCGACATATGTCTTGGCAGCAGCCTTGAGGTCGCCATCCAACTTCTCCACCTCGGCCTCGAGGTCAGCGACATCGATGTTCATGTTCAAGAGCTCGCTCTTGGTCATGTCAAGGCTTCTCCTGGTGGAGAGAAGGGCATTCATATGGTCTTGAGCCGCATCAATCTGCTTCTGTTTGTCGGAGATGGCTTTCACAGTTTTCACGGCCTTCTCGTTGACAACGCTGGCCAGAACCAGACTGGGATCGTATGGGATGGTAGAAGGCATGATGAAGGTAGAAACTGAGAGACAGAGTGGATGATGGTTTTAAAATAGGATTTCTCTTGAATGTAGTTGTGTTTGTGAGTGGCTAAAAACGAGATCTTGGTGAGCGAGAACGGGAGGTTATATAGTCAAGTCAATGCTCTCAGCCAGGAGCATAAGTCATAACGTTTTTATTCAATCTTATCCTCTACCTTACGATGAGAGGGTATCGTAGACTTCCAAGCCATCCATGGTCGGCGTTTGGTTGAGCGGCCGCTCATCCCTGGCTCAAACTTTGCTCTACTCTCACCGCTCACTCTCAAGATCCTCTAGGATTCAAGAAGATATCATACCATCAACCGAAATGGTATGGTCTTCCACGTCTCTCCGCTCAATGAGGCCTAGACGTTCGTCCCAAGCTCGAGTGACTGACCAGTTGAACATCTTGGCAAAGCCACCAGCGCGTCTTACAGCTCGTGTCTCCTCGAATCAGACCTTGCTTCACCAAGCTACTATTCGATAGACCGGTTCTCGAACAGGCGTTGTACTCGTCCATGTGGTGATAGGGCGTTCTCACGTGCAGCCATGCCAAGTTGCGCGGCAATTTGATTGGGCTTGGCGGTGGAATCAGTGTCAGCAAGGAAGCCACCTCAGCTGTACATATAAAGAAAGACTAACGCAAATCATGGAAGCTTTTACCCCGCAAGCAGCTGAAAAGGAATCCCAAATTCCCTTTCGGGTCAGTCCCAACTTCTAAGTCCCGGCCCGAAGCGTACATTGGACGACGGGAATGGAGGGCAGACCCTTGGGCATACCCAGTCCAATGCCCAATGTGGCCCTCCACACATCCTAGTCCAGCGTAGATTTTCTTAGGCGGAAGCCTGGGAAGTCCTGCATTTAGCTATTGATCTAGTGAGAAGCTAGACCCTTAACAACACAATGTTCCGCTGATGTCATTGACTTGGGCCCTGTCCGGGGCTGATGGTACATACTGACCGGTCGGAGATATTTTGGCCTACCACCGATCATCGTTGATTAATAAGACGCACACTGGGTATATATAGACATCGTTCTTCTGAGGACAGTCATCAATCAGCCCTGTTGGTCATGGAAAATATAGATCAGAACCGACTCCTAGCCACTATCCGTATGGCGAATCCCTAGTTTCTCTTTGAATTGATTCTTGTTCCTCCTGAGGGGCATACCAGGGGCTGTGGCAGGGGATCAGAGTGCTCTGAGATGAGAAACTGTATGAGTGGCCGTTGGAACACCGTTGGAGCTAGACTTGCCCTGGTCTAGTTCTAACGGACAGACGGTGATAGTCAACGCCAAAGCCCAATACAGAGAAGCGTCCGCATTAGTGTGTGCGTTTGCCTCCACAGCCCAAGACAATAACAACATGCAGGCCAGTGCTGACCCGACCACCCAATAACAGCCACAAATTACCTTAGGCTAGAGGAGTATGACTCCTCCCGCAGCTCGGGGGATAAGAGCTAGATGGAATAGGAAAAATACTGGCAGCATAGCCGCCGGGAGGCAAGCTGAGCTGCATTGTGCTAAAGACTACCGCTACCGAATGCCGGGCCCATTTCCCAGCTCAGCTGGATAGGCCTGTGCTGTCATTGGCGTTCTCAAATGACCGTGAGAATCTTGTGCCCAAATCCGAGATTCAGCTCAGTTCTAGCTGGACCCAGAACTCTTGGCGCTATTCAGAACCCGGCATTGGATGTTGCTCGTCAGGCGACTTCAAGGCAAATACCCGATTAAGAGCGATATCCACGGTTCAAGTGCAATAGGTGAGGAGAGTGGTGTTACCGCCGTCTCATTATGTCCAACGATGAGGAAAGACTTCTTGTCTGGATCAAGTTGTTGTTCGAATTGGGATTGCACAGGGAGATTGTGATAAACGTCACCGAATCCAAGATATATCCTACGTAGTATATAAGGCTCGTGGTCGAACACCCTCACAGCATCTGAATACATGCAATCCCAACACAATTCTCTTGCCCATTACCAGCAAATAACCATTTCCCTTATCTCAAAGTCTATTCTACCTACGCCTCCCACTCTATCAAGATGTTCATCTACAGCGGCAAGCTGCAGTGGTTCAACTATGGTGTGGGCGAGCTACTAGTCGTCGTTCTCCCCAACGGCCCAGTTCGTGTCGGCGATACTGTTTATCTCTCCACTCAGTGGACCGTTGATGCCGCTGGCCATAAGAAGCAGAAGTGGTTCTCCGCCCAGACGGTCCAGCAGGTGGTCAGGGCTGACAATGGCGACGACACCTTCATCCTGCATGGAGGATACTATCTCTATGAGATCAGCAGCCAGCAGGGCTACAAGACTATCAATATCACCATGTCCAACCCCGGCGGCTCCAAAGACCATATGACCCTCGAGCGTGTTTACCAGTCTCAGGGTGAGGTCGCTGCCGAGTCGGCCCGCATCTGGACGGGGAAGCTCGACTGGCCTCAGAACGCGAGCAATGAGCCTTTCACAGTTATCGTGCCCGAGGGGTTTGGTGCTGGAAAGCCGATCTTGGCCTTCTGGCAGTGGACCGTCGATGCCAATTTGGAACCCAAGGTCCAATGTATTGCCCAGGGCACTCAGACAGCTGAAACTCCCGCCAACGACAAAGTCAAGTTTACCTTTTCTGATCACTACAACCTCACTTGTACCTGGGACGTCAAGACAGAGGAATTAGCCATCCATATGCAAGACCCTGGCAAGCATGAACAAGACATTGGACCTTTCAAGTTGGCTGCTCTGATCCAGTTCCATTCCGAGTGAGTTGTCCCATCCGATCCACCTTTCTTTTCTCTATCCTAATCCCCTCCTCTTCCAATCGATGCTAATTACTCGGAACTCGTTTACTAGAGACGTCACTCCGCCCGATATCCCTCTGGAGAAGAAGACTTTTGATGTCCGGTATCCTCAGGCAGAACCTAATCTTCCCCGAATTCAGGCACCGCTACCCTTTCCTCGAACTCTGCTCGAC